TTGTACGAGGTGTTACAAGTCGAGACGCCAGCGGAAGCTTCGCGCCGAGCTTTCGCCGAACGCCTACTAGTTACGTAACCGACGTCCTTTCTCCGCCGGGCTGTTGGCGCAGCGAGATTCTCATACGGCTGCTGCAAAAGCATTGCGTTGTATCGACAAACTTATCGCCCGAAAAGAATAGCTCGCGTTTTGTTTGGCCGTGACAAAGAAGGGAAGGGAAGATGAGAGAGGGGAGGGGGAGGAATTCCGGAAGCAATAGAGCGAGCATCTCGGATACTCGCGGTACTGGTAAGAAGTGGGGTTGGGTGTACTCGTTGGTGCATCGACGGATGCGAGGTGGTGGTCGCGCTCGCGTTCTCAACACATACACCGCGTGCAGCGTGTCGTAAGTGGTTGCGGTATTCGAGCAGTCGTCGCAGATCGATGAGACGCCGTCGCCGTGGCGCCTCGTAAAGGTCCGCGCCCCACGCCGCACGCCCCTTTCTCTCCTTTCCAATTTTCCCGCGGCCTTTGCGCTCTCGCGCCGAGCCTACTGTCGCTCCTTCCCCGCGAACGTTTGATCGCGCCCGACAAGGAGATCCGCGCGAGCGCCGATCGCGAGTGTCGCTTGTATCGCTCGCTGCCCGTCGGCGGAGAGCACGGATCGGCGCGGTTCAGCAGGCGGCGCGCACGGGAAGCGCAGCGTCTCTCGCAATTAGCGCGGCGGACGGCTCGGGGGACACCTCCATTAGGAGCCAGAACTTTATCAGCCCGACAGCCTCCGCTCCGCGCTCTGCCAGCTCGAGCCTCGGCATTCACTGTCACTCGCTCGAAAATGATTACGCCGCGCTTCGCTTTCATACATAAATCCTCGGCGTCCCAGATGTATTCCACGCGGAGACGCGCGAGTCGGCTCTCGTATAAGTCGCGCTGAGCCGAGCCGAGCGACCGAAATAAGAAAGCCGCGGCGCGTAATTCGATTGCCAGCCCCCGACTCAACGGGCGTGACAACGCTCGATTCGGAACTGGGATTCCCGGTGGACTTGGCCCATAGACGTCCTCGTGACCTTAGCGCGCGTGCGGCCAAGTGGCGAAGGAGTAACCGAGAAGAAAGGGCGAGATGACGACGGATGGTACTTCGACAGTGCGTTTCGCGTCGGGGGTCGGCCACGCAAGTTTATGACGCGTGCATAAGATCTTCGACGACTCGGCGACGCCGCGCACGAGCACGAGTCGCCCGGAGTCGCCCGTCAACGGAAGCGCACCCAAGTCCGAGTCTCTCCAAGAAACTCGTCGTCGATCAAAGTGGCGCGGCGCCTTTTACGGCGGGACTTTGAAGAGAAAGTATGTGCTTGGACGAGAACGAACGACTCCCTGCCGTGGTGGCGCGCGCGCCAATCCCACGAGCAATACAGTATTTATATTTGCGCTGGAATCGACGTTTTCGGCTCAGCTAGTAACGAGCGCCGCTCAATGCGCGACAGGCTCGTATCGTCGACTCGGTGCGGGCGCGAGCCCCAACGTCGATCGCTCGGCTTCGGAAGCCAACCGAAGGGAAAAGAAATCCGTAATTCGCCCGAGAGGCGCGCAGCCGTCAATCGAATCTCGGGCGTCGGATTATCCGCGGCGCTTTTCATACGCGCAAAGTCCATTCAGCGACGGCTAGAAAATGCCGGGGCCGCCGCGAGGCGAGCTCGGGATGCCGACGGATGCCGTCGTCGACTTTCCTTTTTGTTTCCCCCGCCCCTCCGCCCCCGGTCGCGTCGCTGTGCGATCGACAAAGGTAGCGTCGCGCTCTATTCTCGCGAGGAGACAGGCGCCCCTGCAACGCCGACCTTGCTTCTCGCCGTGCGCGTTCGATTCCTCTTCGCCGCAAGCGACTTTCTCGACGTGAGAGCGTTCCAACTCGGAGCTCCGCGTACGCAGTTCTGCGCGGCCGAGAGAGCTTTTCGCTCGGCCGTTCTTCCATTCGCGAGGCACGCACTTCCGTTGCGCGAGGCACCGGCCGGCGTCGAGTACAATACCCAGCTTGAGTCGACGACGTCAGCGTGTCAGCGCCTTTACGCGCTCGCCGGAGCGGAGCGACGACTGAAGGGTGACAAAGCTGTGTCGCAACCCCTGTGTTATCACAACATATTCGTTATATTACAATAAACAAGACAAAATTATATGACTTTCGGAAGGAGCTTTCCCGTAGCGTGTGCTTGTGATGACAAGACTGGACATCTCAATAACTCCAAGTTCTTTCATGTAAATATTAAGAAATGACATCACAAAAATACGCTTGGTCAACACTCCTCTCATCGGTAAAATAAATGTTTTCCTTCTTTGGCGCAATCCGCACTACAAGCACTTCTTTCAATCAATCTCAGAGTCATCGAGCAACAATTTTTGGCCGTCTCATTTTCTACGAAAGGCTATTTCTTATTCTTTACAAAATCCGAGAGAATACCCAAAATGTTAGCTAAACAGTGTCAACTTCTAACACTGGTGCTTCTCCTATTATTTCCAATTTACTGAAATTTTGGATGAAGGTAATAAAAATTAGAGGTAGAACGCAGTCGTGCTTTGGGGATAATTTTCACATTTCATTATCATTGTTGAAATAGTTTCCTTGAAAAGTATTAAAAAATTGTGTTTCGCGACTACGACTCCAGGCCAATTTGTCAAGACTGTCGGATCATTTTTGTGCGTCAAGCTAGACAGACGTCTTAGTGTTATAAAACTAGTTTACGTTATCGTTGCGTCTTATGTCTCTCGCATATTCAAATAAAGTTTACTACGTTTACTTCATAGCCTTGCATTTTCTTAATTTGTTCACGAATCATTAGCATTACCTAAATCCCTGTGGGGACGTCACCAGTCAAGTCGTTATTCAACAGTGTAATTGTGAATTATAACACCAATAATGTCGTTACAAGATATTACGAAGGTATCGTCGTTACAAGATGTTTGAAAAGTAACATCGTTATAATTTTTTTAAGTAACGACGTTTAAGCCACGGAGTTACTTTTGTAAACAGTTCGCTGTAACGTTGTTATAAGTAAAGTCATTACTTTTGGAAAAATAAATTCAGTTAAAAAGATTTATGACATTACAACTTACAATGACACCCTTGCTTTTTTACAAAATTTCTTTACAATTACTATAATAATATTTAATTTTTCGATAAAGCTCGATAGACTCTAGCCTTAGCTAAGCCAATCTTTCGCTCGGCCGCAAGCTCCGAGTAGACTTCTGTGCTCTCAAAATTATCGACTTTTTCAATATTTTTTCAGAAATGCCATACAAAAGTTTAATAGTTAGCAATAATCAAGCTTCCGTAAAACCTAAAAAATACTCGTACGAATCCAGCTTTTTTAATTCAATAAATTATCGAACATACTCAAAGAACCAAACGAAACTCGAAGCTTTAATACTTAAAAATTTGTCATAGGTAGCGAAAATAAAATACAACTACGAAGATTAAACCTTCATTGACAAGAAGAGGGTTGTAATTCTGGATTACCGGTTTCTCTGAAATTTCGAGGATTCATTGTTATAGTCTCCAATCTGAAAAAAAATTGTCAGATCTACCTCATAGTCCTGTACCTCTAGATAGATTAGCCTCAAACGTGAAAGACTACTAAAATGAAGGCTGTATTCCGTCGCTCAACGCTAATTGAGCTAGAATCTATTTAAAATATTCATAAAATTATAAAAAATAATAGGGATGGAAGGAATCGAGGGCGTTGAGTTGATGTCCTGTACGCCGAAAATTAATGAATTATGACTTCGATAAAAGATTTTATCGTCAAAATTAAGTATTCGAACGTATTTCATAAATCATGTATCAATGTTTTATGTCCTTGTTAATGGGTTTTAGAAATCAACGATACTGCCGTTAAAAATCATTATTTTTCCTTGTACAAAGTACCAAATTAAGCTTTTCACTTCTACCATCCATTTCAATTTTGACAATTTAATATTTTAGCTAGAGCCTGGTTCATTCTACGACTTGATGAAATAACTTTTCGAGATTTTAGTGATTTTCCTCACCGAAGCATCTTTATGAGAATAAAAGATCTGTGATATAGGTTTGACACTTACACAAATAATTCCACTAAATTTCAGAAAAGTCAGTGATCCACAAGTCTGAATCTGTCTTCGAATATGACAAGATACTAATTTAAAGAATTGAATACAGAGCACACTCGCGAAAAGAATGTGGACTTGCTGATTTCGACCGATGTTACAATTTTCGTCTGCATATAACTAAACTTTTCAATACTACATCAAGTTGTTGTACGAAGTGCAGATAAAGGACTTTCGGCATTGGAACTTATTATTGCAGAGCAGTAATGCTTTTTATAAGAATGAAATGGTCGGTGCGCCTCACGCAGGACCTATGCATCTACTTGGTAGGATTTGTTATAAAACGCGAGTAAAATCATGCCTGATGCATACATTCGATTGTTCGCGATGTTCGATCAAGTCGACATCCACTCGCACTCGTGCAGCGACATTAACATGCGGATTATTACGTACAAGCGGATGCTTTCGCTCGACAGATGCAATTCTTGACATTGAAAGCGTTATCGATCAACAGGCCGCGTATAAGCGCGAAGAGACGGACGGCAACGGAAACATCCGACCATACGCAGCTGCGCCAAACTCGAAATCGATTTCCCGCGGCGCCGGTAACCAGATTCGAGCGAGGAGCCGACGATCGATCGGAGCTCCGGTGATAATCAACACGCAACGGTGGGACGAATGGCGGGCCCGAGGGCTGGTCGCTGAAAGTTTAATCGGCGAGGGGCGCACGGAGGACGCAGAGGCAGCAGCCCGCCCGAGGAGGAGCAGGAGGAGGAAGCGCGAGCTATCGACGGTCGGAAGCAGCACCGTGGAGTCGGCGCTTGCGGCCGACGAGAGGGTGATGCGGCACGCGCGCGCTTGCGCCTCTGGCTCGCGACGGTGGGGGAGGACTGGCAGCTCCCGCTCGGTGCGCCAAGCCGCGGCGGCAGAGAGCCGGCAGCCTTTGGAGCGCGCAGGCAAGCTCTGCCTCTGAGTGCGCCAGTGTGTGCCCGTGCCGAGGCGAGCACTCGCATCCCAGGCCGCAGCAGCGAGCCAGTCGGCCGAGCACGATCGCGAACACGGCCGGACCCGTCGAGGCCGGCTGCAGCGCGGCGCCGACAGCTAGATCCCGCAGCAGCGGCGGCGGCGGCGGCGGCGGTGGCGGCGCCGGCGGCTCGGCCAGCGCTGCGCTGAGACTAGGAGCGAGCCGCAGGACTCGGAGGTGAGTCAGCTGATCGCCATATTGGTCCGGGCCGCGGGCGCGCCGAGCGCCCGGCAGGTGTGCGACGCGCCGCCGAGCCCGGCCTCTCGATCGGCCGTTGCCGCCGCCCGCTGCTCGCTGCTGGGCGACCGGGCCGCGCGGCGCCTGGCGCAGTCGGCCCTTAACCTAACGCGGGCACGGGGCCGCCCGCGAGTGCGAGAGAGAGCGAGCGCGCTGGCTGCGGAGGTGCTAGGCTCGGCGCGCGTGCGCGACGCAGGAAGCCGGCTTCCACATTGACCGTCCGCCGACTCGTGGCCCACGGCCGACCTTCCGGAACGTTCTTCCCTCCGGATTTCCGTCCTCGTCCTGCCCGCCGGCCCCGCCGCTGCGGGCCGCTCCGGGCCGCTCCGAGAGCCCGCGGCGGCGATCCCGATGCGACCGACGAGCTCGCGAATTGGCTGGCGCTCCCCGAAGGAAAAATCGATAGCCGTCGCAAGCTCCTCGCTCGCCCTCGCGGCCGCGCGCGCCCTCGGCAGCACCTGTCCCGAGAAGTCCGTCGTGCGGGCGGTCGTTCGGCCCATCGAGCCGCCTGGCGATCCGACGCGGGTCCCGCCGGAGCGCGCCGGCGCATCCGCGGTTAATGCACGCTGTGCGCTCCACAAATGCTCGAACGCGTCGCTCGCTCGCCTCTCGGGGGGGACATTCGCGCGACTGAGTCACGCAGCCGCCGGAGGGTTATCGATTAGTCGCGCAATCTCGGTCAGCGGTTGTCCGCACGACGAGCGGCACCGCCGCCGGCGCTCGATCGCGCGCCGAAAGCTGGCTCGATCCCCGACGGTCGGGCCGCAGCGCCACGGAAATCGGCCGCCGATCGATCGCGCGCCGCCCGCAGCGAGACTCTAACGCCACTTGGCTCGACAGCTATGACGAGCGTGGCAGCTGCCGGCGAGGCTGGAGGAGGAGCAGCGGCGGGAGGAGGAGAGTCCGAGGGGACTAGCGCGACTGCCGCCACGAGCGCAGCGCCGGCGCCGACGACCGCGGAGCAGGCTCCGAGTGCGGGCGCAGCCTCGGCGCCGGCGGCTCAGCAGCCGCAGCCGCAGCCGCAGCAGCAGCACCCGCCGCCCTCGCCGCTGAGCGGCTGCTACTTGCTGGTGGTGCTGCCCGAGCCCCACACCGCCCAGCACAAGGATCTGATCCTCAATCGACTCGCCAAAGGTTAGTCCAGTGCGCGCGAGCCTCGGGCCTGCTGCCGGACGTTCGCCGTAGCCAGGTGGGCGCCGAGCGATGCGGCGCGAGTGCGCGCTGCGTGGCCGCCGGTTGGAGGTCAAGGGCGTCGCTCGCAGTCGCGCCGGATATCAAGTCGCGTGTGCGGAGTTTCGCCGCTCCGCAATGCGCCATTGGCTGCGATTCTTATTTAGCTCCAATTGTCGGCCGAGCGCTAACCAATATTAGCCTTCTCATACGCGACTCGGCACTCTCGAGGCAATTTCCAGGGACCGGAGCTGCTTTTCTCGCCGTCGCCGTCGCCGCCGCGGCCGCTGGAGCTCTTTACGAGCGAATCGATGAAACAGGCTTCCGTTACGGCCGTCAACACCCACGACGACGACGACGCAATTTAACACTCGGTCGAACGTGTTCGAGTGGAATTCGATTAAATTTAGAAACGAGGGAAACGGGGGAGGGCCCCAAGAAATTCGAGGGCAGAGCGCGCTGGAACAATCATTTGAAAATCAATAGCACGCCGTCCGCGCGCGCCATCAGTCGCGGTGTGCACTTCATTGGCTGCGCGCCCGGGAGGGCTGGACCGACCGACGGCTCTTCGAACGACGACCGGCATTTGGCCCGACGCGTCTTCGGCGCGTTCGCCGTCGGCTCGTCGCGGAGCTCGGATGCGCGAGGAAAGCGAGCGGGTGCACTTATCGGCTCGGGCCCGAGTCGGTGGATCGGCACGGGTCCGCCGCGCCGAGAGCCGATACGGCAGTCGAGTGCTCGGACGGCACGGCGCGCGCGCGGCGCGGTCGCGGCCGAGAGTTAAAAGTAGCCGGGCGCGCGCGCCGTTCGCCACTCGGCCGGATATAGAAAGGCGAGGAGCGCGTGCATCGCGGGCATTAGAATGCAGCTGTTTCGCGGAATACACGGCGCGGCCGGCAATCGATGACGCGCGCGCGGAGCGAGAGTCAGCGCGAGACGTCGGCGTGCATCGCGAGGGGCGGAGCTGCCGCCACCGGCACGCCGACGGCGACGGAGGGTGCAGCCGGCCGTTCTATTTCCGTCGGTGCGCCACTGCTCGCGCGCCGCGTCTGGAGGTCATCGCCTCGCTCGCCGCCGCGTCGCGAGCTCCGCGCGCTCCGCTCCAGCTGCTCGCGGGCGCCCGAGCAGCGTCGCCGATTCCGCGCGCGCGACGTCCACGCGGCCGAGCCAGCCGGCTGGCGCTGACGACTCGCGAAGTGGAGGCGCGGCCAGAGGCCCGAGATTGCGGCGAGCGAGCGCGCCGTCGGATCGATGGCCCCCGTCCCTCGCGACGTTCCCTGCCGACGTTGCCGATCGGTCGGCGGAGCCGCGGAAAGGCTCGACGCGCCGGGCGACCATGGCGGGCTCGCACTTCGGTCGGCGCACGCTCCCTGCTTCGCGAAGTCGGGGCCAGAGGTCGCCCGGCGCGTGGCTCGGCAGTCGCGAGCTTCGTATCGAGCGCTTTCGCCTGCCCCCAGGATGGCGAGGACTTCGATTCGCCCGCCCGCCTCGACGGCGAAACGCGCGCGCCGTCGAGGCGAGAGTCTATCGCGCCGGGGCAGCTGTGGCGAAAGCGAGCGAGCCTGCGAATACGACGATGCAATCAAATTAACGGCGGCACTGAAAAGAGAGCGCCGCGACGCGGGGAATGAGCGAGCGACGTGCCGCGAATCACTTAGGGGGGGAAGGCGACTGTATCTATCGCGAGTCGTGCGCGAGAGGCGTGATTTCGGCCGACAATGCACGTTGATAACGAATGGATTGGGGCCGCGACGTGGGACACTGCACGCGACAATTGCCCGGCAGTCGGCACAGTCATTAAACGCCTCTCTCTCTCTCTCTTTCTCTCGCTATCTCCGTGGCTCGGGATTTTTAACGCATCGCCACTTGGCGGTAGGTCGACTCGACGCGACACCTGCTGCGTAATAGTCAGCGCGCTGGAATTGGCTGCAGCCGAGACTTGCGTTGTTGCGCTGCCTGGCTGGTAAAAAAGACGCGCCTCGACGATCGAGCGCGGCGATGCGAACGCCTATTCTCGACGGCGACGACTGGCTGACGATGCGCGTGCTTCGGAAAGGCCGCGAGACAGGAGCCGCGATAATCAAGTTGGGCGCCACTCGAAATGTTTTGAGGAGGAAAGAAGGAGCGTTCCACTTGCCTGGCGCAACTCGGTTGATTAGTTGGCTAATTCGATTCGCGCGAGTTTTCCCCCATTCGACTAGACGACATTCGCGCTACGCGCGCGCGTGGCATTCGTATTTCCGCGAGTCATCCGCAACGGATGACGCAAGACCGAGTCGCGCGGCAATGGGCAATTTTGAGAATTATCAGCCGGCTGGTTGCTCGCGTGCGGCACTGTCATCGGGCGTTTCGTTGCAACATTTCTCTCGTTCCCCGCCGCGCCTGGTTCTCCGCGATGCCTTATCGAGCCATTCCATAAGTGATAAATAATCCAAGAGGCAGAGTAATGCCTTCTTGCGGGCGAGTGCCGCCGTCGAGCTTCGTTATTCCACGTGCGCAGCACGAACGTGAGGGCCGGAGCTTGCTCGCAGACATTGCGGCCGCTTCACTCGTGACTCATGTGGGCCGAGCAGCCTCGTAAAAGGCCCACCACGGGAGTGAAAGCCGCCAGCGAATTGTTTTATTATTTCCTCCCTCGAACGCCAGCGTTGCGCGGCAATCGATCCTCGCGATAACGGGCGAGCGGATTTTTCGAGGTGCGGCGATACGAGTCGCGGAAATCCAATTAGTAAACACGACGGCAGGCGGGTGCGCGTTTAAGCGAGCGCGTTCGATTATTCACTCGAGTCATGATCGAATACGTGACCGGGATGCGCGAAAACGAAGCGGCAAACGTTGACGTTTGAGCGGGAGAGGGATCAATTGACGAGCGACGAGGGCCGCGCAACTGCCGCGGATACTCGCTTATAAATAGGCGGCAAGACGCGGCCCAACCGCGAACGCGTCCGCTTCTAATTTTGGACATCTGCGCGCTCGCTCGCAGCGTTTCGCACTTGAACCTGACCGCGCGCCGCGGGACACGGCTACGCGCCGACCGTTCGTCCGCTCGTCGGCGCCGAGGCGCCGTCCTTGCGGCGCGTAGCGTAATCGTAACGGCCGTGGAACGAGGATCTGGCGCTCTGGCGAGCGAAGGGTCGCTGGAAACACCCTGCGATGCGCGACTCGCGTGGGCGGAACACATTCGCTGACTGGATAATCAGATTTTCCATCTCGGGGCTGACCTTGCGGGAGCTCGTGATGGCGGGCTGTGGGGGGGGGGGGGGGGGGGGGCGGATGTCGCAGCGGAGCAAGCTCGCCTCGGCGAGGAGTGCAGGCCGCGAGACTCGCGGCGTCGCATCATCGAGCGGCACGCTCTCGATCAAAATCTCAAGAACTTTCGCCTCGTCGCGAGGAAGAAAGAGCGCGCGGAAATCGATGTGTAGCCGAGGCGGCAGGAACGAGGAGCGCGACTCGCGGAGCAATTACGCAGACGTGGGCCGCGGGTTTGCCGTCTATTCACAGACGGGACGTGCGTGAGCGCCCGCGGGAACGAGTCTAGACTCGGCTTAATCGCATTTCGCTCGGCGACACCTACCGTGGCGTCGCCCCTAGCCCGCAGCCGGCTCTTATCGCGCGGAACAAATCTCCGAGCCGCGCTTGCTCAGCGCGATCGCCCCACGGCAACGACGAGACTTGGAAAGCGGAGTGGCCCGTCTTTATTTGCTCGTTTGTTTGTCCTCTCGGGTCTCGGGTGCGCAGCCGCAGAGCCGTAGCCAGCCGATCGACGGGCAAAAAGGCTCCGTCCTTCTCTCTCCCTCGTTGAGCGGACTACTTTTTCTCCGACTGCCAATAGGTTTGCGCGCGTATAGCAGCCAATATTACGGCCTTGACGCCGCTCGCGCAAACACATAAGTCTAGAGAGCTGCAGCGCCTTGACGATCCTGCGAGCGTGATTTAGCGCCTGCAATGACCGAGTCGTCCGAGCGACGCGGGATCGCGGTGACGGCTAGCAACGAGTTTCGCGGAGGTTTCCGCGGAAGATCGACGCGCCAAACGATGTCCTTTGTCGAGCTGCGGCTCAGCGTTTTTCTCGTCGAGAGCTTTTTGACCCTGTTTCGAGACAAAGGCTCCCCGCCCCCTCTCCCGAGACGTCTTTTTTTCACACTTCGATCGCGCGTATCACTATTTAGAGTGAAGACGAGAAAGAAAAGGAGATGTAAATTTAGCCTCTTTTGATTAAAACTTGCGCCTCTCGCGGCGACGCGCCGCGCGGCATCTCTCAGCGCGAAATAATGCACTCGAAGCCTGAAATAATACGGAAAGCGCGAGCCAGGGGACAACGTTTCCGAGAGGATAATTTGCCGAGCTTCGTCGTCGCGCGCGTGTCGCGAATGGCGCGGCGAGAGAGGCGGAAAGCACAATATCTATACATAGCCGGGACGGAGCTAGAAGTTTCTGTGTTCGAGCCATCTCTCGCGCTTCTCCACGACGCGCAAATAAAGGACTGACAGACTGCAAAGCGAGACGCGAAGGATCAACATGCTTTACACCGCACTTAAGTCATACGCGCGGCTAAACATAGCCCACATTTCTATTTTCGCGCTCACGGGCGACAAGCTCGCGCCGGGTGCATCTGTGTTCTCGCAAAAAAAATAGGCGCGAATTGATTTATCCCGCTATGCGGCACGAAATAACACGGGCGCCCTATCAAACTCGCTTCAGGCTTTTCCTTTTATTTCTCTCTTTCTCTCGCTGGCAACGTATCCTTGTCCTTCGCCGCTCATCGTTTTGCCGAGTTTGCACCTCGTTACGACACGTCTCACTTTTCCGTAAATCCACCTGTCTTTACAATTTACCGATCAAACTCTCGTAATTGCTCGTGGTGCTGTTGCTTCAAGAGGGCAGCATCAATAATGAGCATTTAAAGTTTTCCTAATTGTTGTGCTGCGATCACCCGAATAATAATGTCAATTTGAAACTTGTTTCGCCTTCAAGTGATCGACGAACCAATATTCTTCGTTGCATGTTCCACAAAACCATCGTTTGCATTGCATCTTATTTATTGAAAAATTGAGCCTAGACGTTGGGGCGAACGAGAATTATTTTGGGACGGTCTATTGTTTTCGTTAAGATACTTTGCCTTGACAAAATTATTTTTTCACGTTTCAATGCAGTTGATTAAAAATTTTGATTTTTTTCTACAGATTTCGAACAGTTGATATTGAAGCGTGAAAAAGTAACTTTCTACAAACTATCTCAATCGTTTCAATACACAGATCTCAGCGACGAAAAAGAGCTCCCTCGGAATAATTGCCCTTCACTCTCGAACGTTCCTAAAAGCGTGGTGGAGGTAAATTGTTCATTAAAATAGATGTAGTGTAAACGATGACTTTGCGGGACGTAGAATTAAGATTTCGGGGTGTGTAACAAATAAAATACAAGCTTTTACGGATGATTTTAAACGAAGGAAATTTGGCGTCGATATATTCATTAAGATAATCTTACTACGGCGATTAACAAAACTTTCCCTTAATACTATTGGATTCCGTTAGTCCCCTTGCAAACTTTTCGCTGATCAAAGATTTTCTGTGATCATTTTCAAGCGAACGTTCAGTATGGTCGAACAAGTTTTTATTTAAATTGCGATTGCTTTTAAAATTGTGTCTACTCGAGTGAAATACGCAGCGAATGCAGCGATTGCATTGAACCATGGCGCGTTATTGACATAATTTTGCAAGAGGCTTTCAGCTGAAAATTGAAACAAAGAGAGTAAGTTTTTTTCATTGGCGTTATAAACGTTATGCATTGGAATTTGGAACGAGACCGCAAGCTCAGTGGTAATAAATATGACTTAGACTGGTTGGCAAGCTGAAAAAGCGGCGAGCGCGTGGCGAGCGCGGAAGTTTTGTAGGGTATCGCGCGGCGGCGGCGGCGGGGGAGGGCTGACATTAATCAGCGGCTGCAAGAAATGGAGTAGCGTTTAGGCAAAACAGAGAGTGTGCGACCGGTGTGCGAACAAGGGATATGTAACAAGGGTGACCAGGGGCAGCTTGAGCGAGCATCCAAGACGCAAAACTACTCGGCGCGGCTTGGCTTCGTATCACCTCCGGGGCTTCCGATCAATTTGACAGAGCTCGCGCTCGCGCACCACTGCAATACGGCGATTTCGAGGCTTTGACGGACCTTCCTGCCCGCCTCGCGCTCGTCGATGCCTTGCGCCCTCGCAAAGCCAACGACTGACCTCGCCTAATAGTCATTGATTCGAGGTTCGTCGTGCCCGGACAGCTGGCCCGACTTGGACTTCCGTCCACTTCTCGGATCGACTGACTATAGCCCAGATACGTGCCGTGTCGATGCAGAGTCAGCGCGCTGACGGGTCATTCGACGGAGCGCCCTCGCATCGCACGAGCAGAGCTCTCGCGGTGGCCCGTTTCTCAAAGACGACGGGCATAATGAAGTCGCGAAGGTCGCTCGCGAGAGCGAGCGGACTTCCCGAGCGCAGCCTTGAACGCGCGCTCGCCGAGAGTCGCGCCAGTCGCGGGGATACGCGGGCTCGAACGGCAAACGTTACGACGCGCGCGGTGGTCTTGGTCGCCGCGACGAATGTTTATCGAATCGACGTTGGCTGGCGACGAGAAAGAGAGCGAGAGAGGTTATAGCGCGGATCGATCGCCGGCTGCTAAGGACCACGTGACGGCGGGTGCGGTGCTGGTGACGTCACGGTGTACCACGGACGCCTTATACCTCCCTTCTGCGCTCCCTGCTAGTCGCTCTCTCGCGGAATCCGATATTCGTTATCGGCAGCAATTTGTAGTCGGGCCGGCCGATCTCCTGCGCGTCGCCCGTCGTTGCGGCTGGCTCACGCGTGACGCGCCGTGCGTACGGGCCAACTCGTCCGCTCGATCGACTTACTCGGGCGTCGTGAGGCTCTTCTCGACAGCGTCTGCCTCTCGAACGTACGTGTTCTTTTTATTTTTAACCTTAACCTTACGTTATCCCTCCGGCCGTCGGTTTATGAAACCTCTTAAATGCTATAGGCTTACCCGATAAAGCACGGCGATTATGATTCGATAACAGCTTCGATTTGCCGCGAGCCCAGTCCAACTCGAGTTTTCATTGAAAAACGCAAATTCACACCACGACATTTTCCACGCTCGTGAATGTCAAGTTTGACCAAGTCGTTGCGTAGGTTTTCTGTCGTGGGACAAAGACAGCTGCCACGTCGATCTTGAAAAGGAATTGCAGGCACTGGTGGCACAGTCTCCCGAGGGCGAGGAAGCCAGAAATGGTAAGATTTCTTTGACTACATTGAGCGAAAGTATAGCGTTTGATTAATCGCTGCGTATTATCGATCGACAGGCGAACGTCTCATTCAATACGCAACCGAAAATCTCGTCACTGAAGTTCTCATATATCCACAAAGCAATACCTTGTTGCAATGTATTCGCAATCTTCTCGCAAGCTTCACGAAGCATCGTCACATCATTCACGCTGGATACACATTCGGAGGCAATGGTTCCTGGATATTGCAGGTTAGCCATGCTTTATCGACGCGCCGAAAGTATGACAGAAAATGACAATGAATTGTTCGTAAAATCGGCTCGATTTGCAGGATGGAACCTTCAGTTTGGCCGACTTTTTGGACGCATTCAGCGAACACGAGGTGCAACGCGTGCTTCGAGCTTACGAGAACAGCGTGACCGTGGACATCCATTGCGCGGGAGTCGGAGATTGGACAACATCTCGTCTTTCCAAGGAAGCTTGCACAAGGTACCGAGAAACGATTCGCGATTCGCGATTCGCTGATCGATGGCTTTCCACAAATTGATCGTGACATTGACTGGGGAAACGATTGCAGAGCGTGCCGAGTGAGAGTCAATCCCGACGACGTTCTCACAGCCGGCGTTCCAGCCATCACAAGCTTTGTGGGCTACATCGGACAGTACCTGATTCCCCAAACGTTGGATCAACTGATGGAGCCGTCCGACGTTGTTGGCAATATACGCTTCAGTCATCCAACGCTTTACGTCTTCCCCGGGGGTCAAGGTGATGCTGCTTTATTCGGCATCAACGGATTCAACATGCTCGTTGATGGTGGCTTTGCTCGTAAAGCCTGCTTCTGGGATTTCGTGCGTCATCTAGATCGACTCGATGCTGTACTCGTCACGCGAATCAACAACAGCAATGTCGGTGGAATGTCAAGCGTCATACGGAAAAAGAAAGAAACGCACGTCTACCCACAGATTGGCCATTTTTTCTGCAATCTCGTCGTAAGTACCAACTTGGTGTACGGCCGAGCCAACTTGCTCAACGACTCATTCTTTTCAAGCTGCTCAAGTCTCAAAATTCTTATTTATAGGAAAGAAAGCATTCCAATTCTCCAGATGGCGACAAAGATATTGATCCTCTCATCTTGAATCTAATCGACGTCGGGCAAGAAATGATGTTAAACTTGCGCCACATAAATCTTCGTCCACATCCTTGTTACCGAGATCCCGAGCCAATAAACCTGTATCACAAAGTTGGTCATGGTACTCTAGATATGTACGTCCTAAGTCCAAGTAAAGATAGTCGCGAAGTTCGGGAATTCATGGCCAAGTGGAATGCCTCTGACTCAAAACTTTTTGCTGGTTCACACAGAAAAGATTCCAATAGCCTTTTATTTCCTGTTCAAAATTTAGTGTCGATTTGTGCATTATTAGTGTGGCAGCCAGCGAATCCCGAGGATACGATAACTCGTATTCTTTTTCCTGGCAGTACACCACAGCACAAAATCTTTGAAGGTTTCGAGCGTTTAAAACATTTGGAATTTTTAAAGCGTCCCGTATGTACAGCTAAGAGTCTTTCTCCTTCAACGTCACTTGCTACACTCAAAGAAAAAGCTACTATTTTGAAACCGAAGTTGGGATCTATTGAGCGAGAAACCAAAAGGCTCGCTGAAATGCGAAAAGAAAAGAAAGACTTGTCGGAGAACAAGGCTGTGAAAAAAGATTCTGGGATTGATGATGCAACTCCTAAAATTGCTATGGCCAAGCCAGCCCCATCTATTCAGCAGCAGAAACCAGAACCAAAAGCGAAAAAGGTCGTTGAAAATAAAAAAATAGAGTCCGAATTGAAAGAAAGTAAATTGATAGAAAATGGAATAAAAGAAACAAGAAAAGAAATAAAGAAGATAGAGAAATCTGAAGAAACGAAAAAGACTGATATTGTGAAGGCGGAAACCGAAAAGACTGCTCCTGTGAAGGAATCAAAGACGCAAAAGGTAGAAACTAAAAAGAAAGAAACTAAAGAAGTAGCAAAACCGATCGCTAAACTTACTAGACCCGATAGTACAATTAAACCCTCACCAAAGCCTGTAGAGAAGAAGCCTAAGCCAGCTGGAGAAAAGAAGGACATAATGAAACCATCACCTACAACACCGAAAAAATCTATCAATGGTACGGCGACAAAAACAGAAATAACAAAAACTGTGACAAAAAATATCAAAGTAGTATCGAAAGCTTCGTCGGCTGTTCCTGCAAAAAGTGCTAAAGATGCAAATAACCGCATGGTAGTTGAACAGAAAAACATTGAACTGTCGTCCAAATCAGCTATTGATTCGAAAGGAAAATCCAAAACGGCTACTACAACTAGTGCTACTAATGAGCGTAAACCAGTTACTCGTCGAGCAAAACCTCTTAGTCCAAGTAAGGCACGACTTCCAATAAGTCCTGCAAAGTCTGCAAAAAGTACACCATCTTCTGTCAAGTCAGAAAAAGATGCCGTTATTCGAAAGATCAAAGGTGGTACTACGGATTCCTCTGCAGTATCGACTCCATCTGGTATCGATATTTTGGAATCTGGAAACAAATTGACCGACAGAAATTTAACTGAAAAATCGGAAGATATGTCGATGGACTCAATTGAAAGTAAGGTTCTGGCAGATTTAAAGGAAGAGCGTGAAGTTGTTGAAGAAATTGAGGCTGTTCTTCAGAAAGCCGAACGAATAGAAGGAACGCTTAAGAAATTTAACAGAGACGATGAGCTCGCTGTAGAAGCGGCGGATAAAAAAGATGACGACGTGACTGAAGAAGATGTAACGGCTGAGCTCGACGATGTACCGAAAAAAATTTCTAGAAAAGAAAGCCAAGAACTGACAGAAGAAGATGAATATTTGATCGTTGAAAAAGAAGAAATATTCACGGAGGATTCAGTACAGAGTGGTGATACTGAACAAAAACATCATCTTGATGAAGTAGAATCTGAAAAACCCAAAATACGTTTAGAAGATCCACCACAAGAGCTTGAAGAACATGAAGATGAGAAAGATATTGATGAGAAAAAAGATGAGATTCCAGAAAAAAAATTAGTTAAACCGGTAATTGAAAAGGAGGTAAAAAAATCTGTCGATTTGTCACCAGAAAATAAAGAAATCCTTGAAGAGGAACTCAAACACATAATTGTCTCAGCAACTGAAGCTGTCCAAAAAACAGAGGAAAGAGATGATTCAGCGAGAAAAGATAGTGAAGATATCACGAAAGAGCCATCAAGTATTAGTCCAGAAAAATTTGATTCTCCCGGAAAGCAAGACGTTGATCGAAAAGAATCTATTCCTGAAAAATTAGAAGAATCTCAAGAACGTATTTCGACTCTGGAGTCAGGTGCGACTACGACTGCTCCAACTTTACCTGACGATGAGAGAGTTCCCCTTGATGAAATTAAAGAAGAAATGGAAAAACATGTTTCAGAAGAAATAAAAGAAAAAGAACTCGTGAAAGAAAAAGAGATTATACCGCAGATACCATCCATTGCTCCTAAACCGGAAGTTAAGATTTTAGACGTAAAACCCGTTATTCAGGGAATTGCTAGAGATATTGTGAAAACTCCAGATGAAGTGGCCGATTTACCAGTTCACGAAGAAGTTGATCCTAAGTTGTATAGAATGGATGACATAGAGAAATACAAAGACATGAAAATCTCTCCTCAGGAAACAAAAGAACCTCCAACTCCTCCGTCTAAAGAAAAAGACAAAGGTGTGTTTAGTTTCTTTGGAAAAGTAGCAGATACATTTGAAAAAGGCCTGGACAAACTAACGAAAAAAGCAAGGCGAGATTCTGAAAAAGATGGAGAAGATAAATCCTCAAAATCAAGCTCACCCAAAGAACCGAAGCCTCAAGACAAAGTACTACTTGAAGAAGTTGATATGAATAAAGTTTTTCCAAAAGTAGGTAAACGTGAAGAAACGCTTGAAACCCTTGAAAAAGCCAAACAAGAAATCAGCGATGCTATCAGTGGAATTGATGCTACAACGGCACTTCTACAAAAAGATATAAAAGAACTCAAATCAGAAGAAAAAGAATTTGGCTTTGTTGAACCAATTCAATATACCGACAAACCTCAAAAACTTTTGGAAGACGATGTAAAGCAAGAAAATGTTAATGTGAATGAAGCTTTGCCAAAAGTAAGTGAACATGAGCAAACACTTGACCCCTTAGAAAAAGCCAAGCAAGAGATCAACGATGCAATAAGTGGGATCTCTGCAACAACTGCACTCCTACAGGAAGATATGAAAGAATTAAAAATTAGTGAAGAAGAATTCGGATTTATTGAACCAATTCAACACGTCGACAAGTCTCAGGAATTTGTGGAGAAAGAGATCAAGAAAGAAGTTGAAGATATCGAAGATGTAGAAGGATTAATGGAGGAGGCATCCAAAAAATTTAAGAATGTTAAAGATAGCTTACAAGACTCATTAGAATCGCTTGAAGATAAGTTTGATGGTGTCAAGAAAGTAGCTTTGGAAGAAAAAGATACAGTCAAAGATATGCTTACTGGCGTCGCTGAAAAACTTGAAGATATAGCAGATATTGATGTAAAAGAACCAGAAAAAGTGAAATTTACTATACCTGAAAGTGACGATGAGAACGACACTGGTGGCGTAGTCCGAGATTTTAAAGAAGCGGTGCGTGATGTAGCTGAAGTACTTGCTGGAACAGCTGGTATTGAAATTGAAAAAGGAGAAAAAACAAAAGACGTTGAAAAAATCGTTAAAGAAGTTGCAGAAGTGCTCAAAGAAGATACCTTTTTACCAGAAGAAGTTCTTTCAAAATCCATACACGATAAAAAACAAAGTCTAGGTGACGTACATGAACAAATTGCTTTATCAAAACCCGTTATTGAAGAAATTGCAAGAGATGTGAAGGAGCAAGTAGAAGAGTTTCTCCAGAAAGAATCGATAGAGCTATCTCAACCAGAAAAAGTGGGTGACGTTCATGACACCATCGAAGAACCTTTCATAAAATCTTCAAAGGGTAAGGAACTTGTGTCATCTCCTGTCAAAGATCACGCAACTAGTTTACAAGAAGCCAAAATATTGTGTGAAGATATGTTAAAAAGTGATATTATTAGAGATTCCGTTGTTGAGCTGCAATCAGATACACGAGCAGATGTACTGGATTCAGGTTTAGAAGAAATGTGTATTAAGAAGATTGCAAAGCGAGAGACTTATGAAGAAACAACCGAGGATAATGATAAAATTATCGTTGAACCAGAAATCAGCTTCCAACAAAATCTTTCACCAGCTAAAGCAGAATTAGTTACTGTCACACCAGGTTCAACGCCTACATCACCGAAGCTTGCGACAGAAGCGGAATTTTCTGATCTCTCATCAGATTATAAAGATATGATCAATAGAGATGCAAATTTAGAAGATATCATTGAAGAGTTTATTGTCAAGAAAAAACATAAAATAACGAAGAATATAATAGAATACATTGTGATCGTGAAGCGCGTGCCTAAAGAAAAAGTGATAAACATTATTCAAGAAATCATTATCAAATACAAAATACCTCGGGAAAGTGTTGCAGATAAAATTGAAAATTTACGATCAAATGATAATATTCCTATTGAAAAATGGACAAAAATTGAAAACGATATTACAAATGAATACTTGAATAAAAACAAGAAAATAAATTCATCTATCGTTGACGAAATTGCTAAAAGTAATATAATCTCGAAACGAATTGTGATAGAAATAATTGAAGAAATTATAGTTAGAAAGAAATTTTCCAGAGAGTCTGTTTTTGATATTTCAGATGAATCATATTTTACAATAATGAATGAAGATTTAGATAAAGTGCCAGAAAGGGAGGTGCAAAAACAAGATTTTCTCGTTGATGTTTCTAGTATAGTAGATTCAATAGATGTTTCGAATAAATCGATTCATATGCCCACAAGTGCTGAAGATGTAGGTGATGAAATTGTGGATGGTTTTGTTAGCATATCGTCTAAAGATGCAGTTGAAGCCTTTTTACAACAGGAGAAAGATAATTCACAAAAAGATGATTTTGAAGCGGTAGAGCAAGAATATAAAGTTCGAGATGTTTCAACAGCATCGCCAAAGACAATTGTAGAAGATCAAAAGACTAAAGAAACTGAAGAAATATCTGAATGTATGAGTGATGTTACAGAAGTTGATGAAAAGTTTGTTCGAGAAACTGTAGAAAAAAGTACAAAAAAAGATTATGTATCTGAGAACGAGAAAAAGATCAAAGATGCGAAAAAAGACGACGAAGATACGAGCCACGATGTTGATATCTCAGAAGTATCTGAAGTCGAAACAAAAGAAAAGTATCTCGACGAAGCGAAAGAAAAGACATCTGATTATAAGGAATTCTTAAAGTCTGTTAAACCCATTCATATCGCACAATCAACTCTTTCTTCTGTAGAACATCATACCAAATCATTAAACGATGAAAAAGACGTACAAGAGTCGGTATCAGTTAGAAGAATGGTTGTCACAGCCAGTAGTGAAGATGGTGGTCAAGAAACAGAAATTTGTCCAACTGGAACAATTACATTTACTAAAGTTTCTGGATTGGAAGACGCCAAGTCAGATGTCTTGAATGCCGATCAAATCAAACGAGATACAACACAGTCCCCTGACTCACTTCAATCTGGAGATGCATCACCAGCAGAAAGTGTGTTCTCAAAATCCCCTACAGAAAAGACTAGTCCCCATGATTTAGAATTCGTACTTTCAAAAGAAACGGTCATCAAAGAAGCATCTGAAAAAGTCTTCCATAAAACTGAAACAGTAGAAGTTACTCAAAGTATCGATGACAAAGATATTAAACATGAAATATTAATTAGCGACATGCCCAGTACCTCCCCTGTTGAAAATATTATGACTGATACATCAAAATCTCCAAATGATGATAGAGAATCACATGAAAAAGAAATTTCGCCAGAAAAATCTGGTCATGATTCCCAATACCGTGAGAATGAAATCAAAGATAGATCAAAATCTCCGAGCGTAGAGAAACAATCTCACGAAAAAGAAGATTCGCCTGAAAAATCTATCTATGATAATCATGAAATCGAAATAAAGGATAGATTAAAATCTCCAAGTACAGAGAAAAAGGAGGAAAAAGAATTGGTGCCAGAAAAATCGATTGGCACAGATCTCGCCAAACCCCAAAGTACTGATATAATAGATAGATCAAAATCTCCAAGTTTGGAGAAAGAAACTAATGAAAAAGAGACTTCACCCCAAAAATTTATTCACGATGATCATCGGCATCATGCAATTGAAGTTAAAGATATATCCAAATCAGCCAGTGCAGAAGAAGAAATTAAAAAAGAATCATCGCCTGAAAAATCTACTCATGATGACCATGACCATCACACTATTGAAGTCAGTGACAGATCTAAATCTCCAAGTGTAGAGAAGGAAGATAAAACAGAATCGCAGGATCTTGAAGTTGGAGATAGATCAAAGTCCTCAAGTGTAGAAAAAGAATCTTATAATAAAGAAGCTTCACCTGGGAAGTTATTACAAGATGATCATGTACAGCATGCCATCGAAGTCATTGATAGATCTAAATCTCCAAGTACTGAAAAAGAATCTCATGATAAAGAAGCTTCAATTGAAAAGTCCATTCACGATGATCATGACCGTCATGTAATTGAAGACAAAGATAGATCGAAATCTCCGAGTGTGGAGAAAGAAGACAGAAAAGAATCGTCCCTCAACAAATCTAGTGATATTGATCATTTACAACAACATGAAAAAGAAGTCAAAGATACGTCTGAATCCCCAAATGTAGAAAAAGAAGTTTCATCGTCAAAAACTATTCACGATTATGGGGTAGATATCGAAGATAGTTCGAAATCTTCAAGTGCGGAAAGAGAAGAGAAGAAAGAATCATCGACTGAAAAATCTGTTCATGATGATCATGACCCTCATAAGGTAGAAGTTAATGATATATCTAAATCTTCAACACTAGACAATAAGTCTCATAAAGAAGCTTCACCTGAAAAGTCTATTCATGAAGATCATACAGAATATCGAATTGACGCCAAGAATAGATCTAAATCTCCAAGTACAGAAAAAGAAGATAAGATAGAATCATTATCTGGAAAATCTGTTCATGTTGACCATGCCAAACCATACGATGTTAATATTAGTGATAGATCCATATCTCCAAACTTGGAAAAAGAAGTTTCCCTCGAAAAACCAGTTCATGACGATCATGTAACAGATACCAAAGATAGATCTAAGTCTCCAAGCGTAGAAAAACAATCTCATGAGAAGGAAGCTTCTATTGAAAAATCTATCCATGATGAACATGTGCATCATGAAATCGAATTGAAAGATAGATCAAAATCTCCGAGTTCAGAGAGACAAGGTGAAAAAGAATTATATCCCGAAAAATCAGTCGATACTGAGCATACAAAATCACATGATATTGACAAAAAAGATAGTTCGAAATTCCCAAATGTTGAAAGAGAATCACTCCAAAAAGAGAGTACGCCCGAAAAATCTATTCACGACGATCATGTGATCGAACATCATGAAATTGAAGTGAAAGATATATCAAAATCTCTAAACATAGAAAAAGAAGAAAAAAATGAATCATCGCTAGAAAAGTCTCTTGAATCTGATCATATCAAAACGCAGGATGTTGATATTAAAGGCAGATCAAAATCGCCAAGTGTCGAAAAAGAATCAAATGAAAAAGAAGCTTCACCCCCAAAATCTATTTATGATGATGAGAAACATCACACGGTAGATGTCAAAGATGGATCCAAATCTCCAAGTGTAGAAAGAGAAGATAAAAAAGAATTGCAACCGCAAAAGTCTTCCGAAACTAGTCATATACAATCACAAGATGCTGATGCTAAAGAGAGATCAAAGTCCCCAAGTGTTGAAAAAGAATTTCATGGGAAAGAGACTTCATCAGAAAAATCCATTTGTCATGATGGAGAAACTCAAATCAAAGATGGATCAAAATCACTAAGTTTGGAAAAAGAAACATTGGAAAAAGAGGGATCATCAAAAAAATCTCTTGATGCTGAACATATATGTGAAGAGCAAAATAAAGATAAGTTAAAATCTTCAAGCATAGAAGAAACTACAGATATAATGGAGGACAAACATGTCGATGATAGCGCTACAATGCAGAATCTTTCGATAAAAGATGGATCTAAATCTCCCAGTACAGAGAAAGAAGACAAAACGGAAGAGCGAATTATAATCAAAGATATATCCAAGTCTCCAAGTGTAGAAAAAGAATCTACGAATTTAGAAAAAATAGTTGCAAACGAAGGCTCGTCAGAAAGATCTGCAAGTTCAATGAATGCAAATAAGGGAGAAGAAAAAGATGAAGCTCAAACTACTAGAGTCGAAAAAGAAATAACCTTAAAACAGGATACAGTAGATTTTATTCATTTCGAGAAAACTCAATACTCAGCAGCTGATACCGCAACTGATAAACTTGTGGAACCAGAATCATCAAGTACAGAAAAAGCGCTTTTAGAAAGGAAATTATCTTCATCTCAGTCTCCAAATTTTGATCTAGCCGATAACAATAAGGATAAGGAAACCTTGCCAGATAAAATTGTTACTGATCTGGCAGCTTCAAAACCTGAAGTTACAACTCAAATTGTGAGCAAATCAAGGTCTTCCAGTATTATAGCAGATACTAGTAATAAAGAAAGTATGCTAGTAAAATCTAATGTTTTCGAGGAACTGGAAGAGTCAATGATAGTTTCAGCAGTTGATGCAACGGAACAATCGAAATCTTTAAGCGTTGAGCAAGATATTAGTTATGAAAAAAATATGTCTGAAAGGACTTCTGTTAATACTGATACACGGTCAAAGTCACCTAGCGTTGAAAAAGATGTTGGTAGGAGAGATAGTGTACCGAAGAAGGATATCGATGATAATAAACAATTAATAAGCCATGGGACTCTCGGTCAACATGAAGATATATCTCATTCTTCTAGTGTAACCGCAGATAGTACGAAAGATAGTGAGCCTTCTAGTAAATCCCGATCGGGTAGTATACAATCTGTAATTGATCACGGAGTTCCTTCATCATCAAACGAAAAAGACAAATTATCGGATGAAAAGTCAAGAACTGGAAGTATATCTGAATCAGCTGTATCGGAAGTGCCTACTCACCAATCAAAATCACCAAGCCCAGAAAAAGTTGATGTTATTTCCGAACAGTATAGTGATACGTTTATGGAAAAAGCGAGGCTGAGTTTAATTAGCGATAAATTTGATGAAGATTCGCTCGATAGAACAAAATCTCCTAGCGTGCTGAGTGATAGGTCAGATGAGAAAGATATGGTAGATCGGTCCAAATCACCAAGTGTAGCTGGTGATAAATTCGATGTTGAACAAATAGATGATCCAATGAAGGAACATGTGATAGAAGAGAAACCTAGTGCACCCAGTTTATCTGAAATTATTGATAAAAATGATAGTGAAAAATCAAAATCGGTAAGTCCTGTCAATGAAAAAATTCATGCAGAATCTACCAATGATCGTAAAGCTTCGGTGACTAGCGTAGAAAGCCGTGGAGACGATAAAGGAAAAGATCGTTCCCGCTCACACAGTTTATTTGACACTGGCGATAAAACACCTTTGGTACGTTCAAGAGCTGCGAGTCTGTATGATGATAAACTTGTAGAAAAAGTGAGCTTGCTAGAACATAGAAAAGATTCAACAGGACACGGTAAAGGTATTTTTGAAGAGGAACATGAATTCCGATCATCACAAGAAAGCTTCGATGACATTCATAAAGATATTCCTAGAAGAGATTCGAAAGAAACAGATTTTTTGAGTGATGAAAAGAAACAGGCGATAGAAAATTACATTTTAAATGAGTATATTCGTAAAAATAAAGTTATAACTTTAACGTCTATTAACGAAATAACTACTATTTACAAAGTTGATCGATATGTTGTTATCAAAATTGTCAACGAATTGATTACGAGTTTGAAACTGAAACAAGAAAAAATTTTAGAGTTCGACGAAGATGAACACGATGAAGCCGATCAAAAATTATTTGATGTAGAAGAAAACTTGATGAATTATATTAACGAAGAGTTTGTTTTAAAAAAGAAAAAAATTACTTCAAAAATAATAGATGAAATTGCAAGCTCCAAGTCGGTTCCTCGACCTCTAGTTATTCTAGTGATTGAAAATATCATTTTATCGCGCAATCTTCGAAGAGAATCCGTGGTTGACTTTGATCTGTGTGAAAGTCAAGATCTTCTGAAAAAAGATATGGGCGTAGGCGATCCTGCTAGTAAATCAAAAACAAGTGCAGAGATTATACCAGAAAAAACATCCGTTAAAGAAGTCGGTAGTGAATCGAAAAGTCCTAGTGTGAGTCCGGGACCCGGACCTTCTATAAGTGCCACGTCTGAAAGGCCCGAACCACGTATAGATGAAGAAGTAACTATTACGGAGAATAAACGGGAAGAAATCGAATCTCTAATTGTGGGTGATTATGTCGACCGAGGTATCAAGATAAACGAAGCTATTTTAGAAAATATCATTGCGCGCACATTAGTACCAAAATATATAATCATAGAAATTATTCAAGAGATCATCGTGAAAAAACTTTTATTGAAGAATGTGGTTGTAGATGAAATTATTTTCAGTGATGATGATTTGGATGAGACGCCGCAAAAATTAGAGTACGAAGAGTCTTCGCAATCTCGAGAGTATGAAGAGCACAGTTGGCATAAAAGCATGCCTTATTCCGAATTTGAGAGTCCGTTTCATAAAGCGTTCATGGAAGGCATGACGGAAATTCGAACTACGCATATAACAACATTGTCGGGGAAATCAACACCTGATCTTGGACAACAAGAGGCGACTCCCGAGCCTTCGTCTGAAGTGACGAGCACAATAATTAAGACAATCACTTCTACATCTGGAAAATCCGAACCTGATAGTAAAGACAAAGTAATTGGCGAACATGATCAAGAGGATGAAACGTCGGATAGAGTTGTTATTTTAAAAACCACTCAAATAACTACGTACCCTGAAGATGAACAAGAAATTGTCAGAGAATTTGTGCAAAGACAAAGCCTTTCAGGCCCTCTAGAGATCCATAAAATCGACGAAGAGACCGATAGTAGAGTAGGTACTCGAGAAGTGTCCTCTATTGAATCGAAAATAGATCATGATGGCGGTGAACATGCAATTACCGAAATTATGACAACAAAACTTGTCAAGACAATCATCAGAGAAACTGAAATGGATCAAAATACAACTACCACTAATATGATCAGTGAAACTCCGTCTGAAACAACGACTTTTACCACACACAGCAAAATTACTACTAAAGACACTCATGAGACAATAATTCCGACAACTGTAGCTGAGTCTCACGTGAGTAGTAGTAGCTCGAAAACCGTAGTTACAAGCACAGTCATTGACACTGACAAGTCAATACCAGACAGAAAAGACGAAACCGATCAAAGCCGAAAATCTTTAACAGGTAAAGATCTGATCGATCATACTGTTTCCGAACAAGTGGAACAATCCGTTTCTCCTGTAATCAGAGATTTAATAAGCGATGATCGAAGTTACTCTGGGAAATCATCGCCAGACGTTTCTCTACCCAAAGATATAGCTTACGGTGATTCAACTGGAAAATCTACCCCTGATTTATCCATGTCTCCATTGATTCGCGATGGGGTAATCCAATCACATATCTCTGGACGTTCGACACCCGACAAGCGATCCGAGAACAGATCGAGAACTGCTACTCCAGAGGGTTTCCGTGCTGGTGAAGTAATACGTACAATTATAACGACAACAAGAACCATAAGCGACGACGGTGAGCTGATCACAACTACACAGGAGGTGACAGAGACGACAAATGAAAAGGGCGAAACTGTAGTTCTGACCACGAAAACTGACGTGACAGTTGACGAGCCACTGGCCGAAAGTCTTACAGACGAGGCGAGATCGGCGGATGCTCAACGGGTCTCGAGTCCTAGCTCGGATCTAGTTGACAAGGACAAAGACCCAACAAGTCCTCGCAGTGATTTAAGCAGTGGACACAGTCGAGCTGCAACCGAAATGTGGGAAAGTAGCGAGGAGCGACACACGTACTCGGACAAAGATCAGTCGAGTCCTCTCTTCTCGTCGTCGCCGCACCATCAAGATCCTCACTTGTCTATCAAAGAGGAGACCGCCAAGCCCAGTGCAGAGGCCGATTTTTCCAGCTCGGCTATGAGCAGCAGCTTCTACGGTCAATTGCCCGAAGAGCTGGCCCACTTCACTAGTACAATCACGCAAATAAGCGAATCCCATGCGGATCAAGACTTCACATTCAGAAAGCTGACGGTTGAGAAGGAATATGCCGGCGGATACGTGGAAAAAGACACGAAAAAGTACATAGACGAGGCTGACCTCGACTTCGAAAAAGCACTGACAGTGGCTCCGGGCAGCAGCAAAGATTTGGCTAAGCCCGGCGACAGCGAGTCTGGCGACGTCGATGACCGAAAGGATCCATTGGCCAGCTGGGGAAGCCCACTTAAGTTACCGTCGCCGAAGGCTCCACGAAAGTTCAATCTTCGCAGCCCCATTCAGCCGACTAGCTCGGCTGATCTCAGTCCAGACAGCCTCAACTTCGACGTGATCAACGACTGGGGCGAGCCCATGAGGCTGCCCTCGCCTGCACCGACGGCCAATGAGTTCTCGAACAAGGGCTCGCCGGGCACGCCCAAGAAGGAACGTGGCGAGCAGGCCAGAAAAGTGATGTCGGAAAATATTAAGAACAAGAAGCGCTCGGAGAGCCCGAGCAAGAACGATAAGAAGTACAAGAATGCAAAGAACAAAGTGCAACCAGTTTACGTTGATCTCACCTACGTGTCCCACCACGGCAATTCCTTTTACACAGCCTTGGACTTCTTCAAAAAGGTGCGGGCTCGGTACTACGTGTTCAGCGGCACCGAGCCCAGCCGCGAGGTTTACGATGCCCTACTCGAAGCCAAGAAAACATGGGAGGACAAAGATTTGGGTAAGCGACTTGCGCCCTCACGTACACACAGACCATTAAGAAAAGATAAAATTGGAATGCAAGTAATTAATAATAACCCATGTTACAATTTCTATTCACTTTACGATTATTAAAAAATTAGTGTACATAGGGGCGGAAAGGAAGAGGGAAATGATTTAACTCGGTGTAAAATAATCATGAATATTCATAGACTTAAATATTTAAAAGTATTGCTGATGAACGATATAAACGGATCGTAGCGTTGAAGATCTCACAACGGTCGAGCCGATATTTTTTTCGGGTAACATCAGCTTTCGGAAATCTCGATGTTAACACATAGAAGTATTGCGCGGCCGGCACTTGGTGGTTAACTGTGTTCCTACTCGCGCCGGCGGCCCTTGATTGAACGAGGTTGTTTGTTACAGAGGTGACCTTAATCCCGACGTACGACACCGACACTCTTGGCTACTGGGTAGCGGACAACGAGGAGGCTCTGGCGGCCAACCACATCGATCTATCGCCTTCAGCCTCGAGATGCACGATCAACTTGCAAGACCACGAAACCAGCTGCAGCGCTTACCGACTGGAGTTCTAGGCCCTCACAACGTGCTCGGCTGTCATGATTGAATTTTGCGAGCCAAGCGCATCCAGGCCTAACGAAACGACGACGAAGACGAAGACGATGACGACGACGACGACGACTAAGTGATCAATTGTTTTGGGTTCGTCACTAATTGACGCCATCTCGATCCTTTGGCTTTAGGCTATTACAAGCTAACGCATTGTCTGTATTTTCCGAAATTCCCGTCCTTGTGATGACTATTTTCGCGGGCATGTCGCGCGCGCGCGTGCGCATGCCAACGAACTGATGTATCAAACCGTCACGTATTTTACGATGAGTCGATAAACAAGCCGCCCTTGCATTTTCCTTTGCAGTATAGTTGCAGAAGCGTTGAGCAGTCGCTCACTTGATCACCTCGACCTTTATTTTTCGGCTTTTATATGCGACGTTTATTAGCGAAAAAGCATCTTTCCGTTCAATGATAACAGTGGGACACACGTACGGGAGGGACAGGTGATAATATAGCTTTCGTATCGAGTAGCGAGGGTAATGTTACAGAATACGTGGCATCCGGCTATCGACTCTGCGGGCGGTGCACCAAACTGACCTCTCGAGTCGACTGCACAGTCAAAGCGGAGTAGACAGGAACGCTCGAGGTGGCGAGAAGCCATCGATGGCTCGTATTTATAATAGCTAACCGGATGCCAAACAAATGGACCCGAGCGCAGACTCGTTGAGTTATATCGGTGCACCTCGTCCATTCTCGTGATTTCCTTGCACAAAGACTTTCCGATGACGATTTTGCGTCTTCCTTGGTGTCAATGCAACCACCGACGACGTACGATACATATTTTTTTGGAGAACATTCAAATTGAAGAAATTACAAGTGCACGTGGAGCGTCGTTAGGTAGAGCCGAACGTTTTTTAAAAAGCCCACGCCTGTCCAGAAAACAACCAACCAAGCAAGCAAACAAACAAACAAACAAAGAAGCAAACAAACAAACAAACAAACAAACAAACAATTTTAGAAGCGTTTACTGTCGACGAAAAGTCTGTTGCCGGTCGGTTTGCATTGAGACTGCTCGGCGCATTTTCAATTCGCTTTCGAAGGGCACTGAAGTTTTTAGATTAGCCTGCAATTTCATAAATATACGATCGCCAAGTCTCGTTTAGATTAATGAACAACAATTAACTTACACGGCAAGTAAGACAATGCCAAAAAATAATATCTCAACCTTATACGTCCTACCATTCAATCAAGTTTTTGAGATGTGAATCACACACATGTCTTCTCCTATATAAATTAAAGCCAGCCGTTAAAATTCTTAATAATCTCTTGTCAGTTAATAAGATAATGTCTATACGTATAAAGAGATATTGTATTCTCATACAAAGTCGTGAGGGTAAAATGTAGTCATTTTCGAGGGATTTTTCGTTCCTTTCAAAATAACTGTCACGGAACCATTTTGAAAAGAAGCGTTGAAAATCTCGTTGCGCAATTCGTCTTAACTTTAGAGGGAAGATTCGTACGCACGCACGTACTAATGTCGATGTCGTGACCCCCCCCCCCCCCTAATGTCGTAGAATTTGGCATGAAATACAAGTCAAAGCAAACGAAGCATTCCTAATGTAATAGTTGACAAATGCCGTTGACACACGTCCCGGAATCAAGACTTCAATCGAAAGGTTGCGTTGGCAGGCGAGAGCAATTTGTCGCGTAGGACGCGTTGCCGGACCGAGGCGAACCAAAACATCCATCCATGCGGCGACGAAGAGGTCGAGATCGAGGCTCGAGGAGACTTTTCTACACTTGCGCGCGCAGTCGCCAGCGGCAGCGACCAAGCACTGACGAAGTCGTGACGCAGATAGCAGCCACGCAGGCAGGAGGCCAATTGACGATGATAACGATGATAGCGTTGCCACCTACCTAGTAGCGCGTCACCCACGAATCAAAAGCAACTCGTCGACGTTCTTACGCTCATGTTTTACGTTTTTTGCCCATTGTCTTTTATTCGATTGGTTGGAAGCTTTCGGATGTTCGAGGACAGAGCCTGTTACGATTGGCGAGACAGACAGTCGAGGGGACGACGACGACGACGACGGCTCGCTCGGTCGAGCCGCGAGACGAGCGGGCACCGGAGGGGAGGAGCGAGGACGACGCTGCGCTGGACGCGCTCCTAATAGTCTATAACAAAGTGCGATTCTTATTGACTGTAGAGGTGTGTGGGTGTCGCGGGTGCGCTCGCAAAGCAAGTCTGGCTCGCGCCTCGCGCGGCTCTCATTGCCGACAACCGGCGCCCTCGCGAATACACGCATAGGTAAGTTTTTTACCGCCTATTTTTCAGCTGGCCTTAGGACGACCCGTATGCTACTCGCTTTCACTTGTACATTATTGTTTGTCCGTTCTTTCGCGGCCGCGCACGCGTCCGACGGTGCGCGTCCCATCAGTCCTAGATAGTGCGCGTACGACGAACATTCGAAATGAGTGAGCACGGTAAGATTTGTTATCGCGCGAGAAAGTCAATTGGCGTCGCTGACGTGCGAGAAACCATTAATGACGATGATAATAGAGTAGCGGGAGAGGCGGAGCTACACCTGTATACTGTATGGCGGCGAGGATACACCTGTATACTCGTATGCGTTGCATTTTCAGGCGAATCGTCTGCGATTTGCGAGCCAAGTCATCATGATCATCGTCGTTCTCCTTTTGATTCGCGACGACGACGACGACGACGAGGACGACGACGCAACCAGCCAGGCTTTTTATAACGTGCATTGTACCGCGGCTGTGCGTGCGAGAGAGAGAGAGAGAGAGAGAGTGAGCGTGAGCGACGTTGAGTGCGAGAGAGCAAGCATGGTGTACTTATTTATTATTTATTGTACGCTTATCCGTGTGAGCAGCGTTTAGGTAGAATGCGTATACGCGACCACAGAGTGTTTGGCGTTGCCGGTGAACGAGCAATAACGATCGTCCGGAGCATGGCAAAATGTATAATAACGGGCAAACCAGGAAAAGAGCTGCGGGCTGAGAGGTTGGCAGAATCCGACGCCGGACTAACGGAGTCGCGCGCGTGCGACGTTCGGGAGCAAGAGCGAGCGAGTCGAGATGGCCGACAAGCTGAATGTGGATGGACAGAGCCGTCGTGATATTTATGCTCTATGATAATAATTAGAGCGGCATCGAGCTTTCGATTTCGCATGTAGTGGCTGTCGCTTGAGACGCTTCTTTGCATACGTAAAGCCACCAAATTGATTTCAAGAATCTTCGAGATGACACGCTTGAGAGCTTCTCTCTTTCTTTTCAAGCGCGCCCACCCTTCGTTTCCAGCATTCTCAACCAACGTCACTGCAAGTACTCGAGATTCTAGTCAGCTAATTATTATTGTTATTATTACTATTAATTATTATTATTATTATTACGAGTATTATTAGCGTGGAGGAAAACAGATGACGTGTCTAGTCAGGAGATAAATTACGCTCGTTATTATTCTTATTGACGCTTTAAAATTATGAATTGTTGCTTGAAATATGGCATTACGCGGAATTCTCACCACCTTCGGTTCTCATTCCTCGAAGCGCACCGTCGCATCGCGTTTTCGAGTAACGAATTAAAACTTAATGTGGAGTGTTCATGGTGCTATGATTATTATAATAGAACTAATAATGTTATGCTACATGATTAAAATAACAATATAATAAATATACACTATACCTGAAAGTTGGCCTAGCTTTATTTCAATCCCCCTGCTGTATCGTCCTCTTTCCTCCATGAGACACAAGCAAGGCATTTCAATGACAATTATAAAGCAATTTTATTCAATGTCGTTATCTTCTTCACATGTTATATATCAAAGTGACAATGAAGACTTTGTCTGATAACTAAAAACACTTTCGAACTCAATTGACATAAATTCATAACCAGTGACAAAGCCTTCGTTCGGCACCGTTTCTACAATTTCTCATTTCGGTCGAACCTTCTCATTTTTCTATTATCATTACTATTCCGTGTGACATTGGATGCCTTTTAGGCTGGGCCCCTCGAAGTGAATTCGGATTCTACAAACTCGATTTTTGTTGCTCCAAGTTTTCTTATCGGAATTCGAGAAATCGCGTGGCAGCACCCGACTAGAAATATCAATCTGGTACGCGTCATTGAGGATTGCGTTGTTTCCAAGTTCTTCCACGAGAAAATAAAACCAAGTGTGGCTTTCGATGAATAATTTAGCGGAAAATCTGAATTCGAACTCGGACCGCGGGCGTCACACGTGGCTTTTCACGAGTGCAAAATAAAGAAAACGCGAATCACGACGTTTTCGCTTTCGTTTTTATCGACATATCGGAGTGGGATTCGGACAGCTTCGGAAGCAAGATGGCCTCGGTAGTTCGAATCTCGCGACCGAGCAGATAACGTGCCGAAACGGTGGCGAACGGAGGCACGCGTAAAATTAAGAAAGATTAATTAAGCTAAGAAGGCTTTGGAAGGCGACGAAGAGGAGTCGCGGTCGCGCGCAACGACGAGTGCGGCTGCGAGGCGGAGAGGCAGTCTTTGGCGCGGCAACTAGAACCTCATGTCGGCGGGCATCTTGATGAAGTAGGCGATCTTGTCCTCGGCCACCCTGTACTGGTGGAGCCAGCGCGAGCCCTTCCTCAAGCTCTGGTCGATGCCGTCCTTCCAGACGCCCGCGGGCAGGTAGACCTCGCGCTGCCTGCTGCCCGAGTGCAGGATGGGCGCGACGATGATCTCGTCGCCGACGGAGAACTCGTCGACGACGAGGTGGCAGGCCGGGTCGCTGGGGTCGAGCATCCAGAGCGGCCGGATAATCGGCAGGCCGGTGTCGAGCGTGATGTTGGCGTACTTCTTGAGCCGGGGCGTGACGTGCTTCTGGCGCAGGGTGGTCAGGCTCTTGGCGATCTCGAGCACGCTCTCGTCCGCGTACTTGCTGGGCAGGTGGGTGAAGCGGATGACCGGCAGGAAGGTGGACAGCTGCAGCCACCTGCGGGCGAGTGAGTGGGCGGGTGAGCGAGCCCAGCGGTTGGGGTGGCAGCGGCGGCGGCTCACCTGACGTACAGCTCCTTGTCGGGCAGGTTCACCTCGAAGTCGTTGTCGGGGTTGTTGTCGGACATGGGCAGCGCGACGTCGCCGCCCACGGCGCCGGGCATGACGAACGAGTAGCCGATGATGCCGTAGCTGAGCACCGTGGGGATGACCGTCTTGATGGCCTTCCAGGAGGAGGGGAAGGGCGGCAGCGAGACGAAGACCGGGGCGCGCGGGCGCGCGATCGCGCCGGACACGCCGATGACGGGCACCGCGGCCAGGATCGCGTCGATGAAGAGGGTCTTGTAGTGGTCCGGGTTGGCCAGCGGGCGCTCGCACTGGTAGTAGTGCGGCATGTCCTGCGCGGTGCCCAGGTCCAGGTAGAACGCGTCCACGCGGTAGCGCTCCACCAGGCCCTGCAGTTTGGCGCGCAGCCAGGGCAGCGTGCGGTTGCCGGTGATGTCGAGCACGCCGGCGCTGTTCAACTGGCCGTAGCGCGTGAGCGCGGGGATGCGCGGGTCGCTGCCGCGCTCCGAGATCAGCAGCCGCGAGTCGACCGCCTCGCGGAAGTTGCGCGACTCGGTGGAGATGAAGGGCTGCAGCGCGAGCGCGATGCGGAAGCCGCGCCGGTGGATCACGTCGATGGTGTTGTTCATGGAGCGGAAGCGGCTCTCGTCGAGCGCGAAGTCGCCGGAGCTGGGCTGCCAGCGCTCGCTCAGCAGCACGTGGCCCTGGCGCAGGAAGCCCAGCGCGATCACGTCCTCGGTGTAGTTGTAGACGTCGGCCTCGTTGGTCGGCGAGACCTGCCAGACCGGCTCGGTCAGCAGCGAGTGCACCGCCTGCAGCTCGTCCGGGCGCAGCCCGTCCCACAGGAACTTCTCGGCCGTGAGCGCGTGCAGGCTGCGCATGTTGTCGCCGGCGCAGATGCTGTAGTTGAGCTGCGGCCGCGGACTCAGGTGGTTGATGTACGCGAACGCGTCGTGCTTGGCCATCAGGCACATCTCCTTGGTGCGCGTGACGTTGATCGACACGTAGAGCGGCGTCTGCGGGTCCACCGTCACGCTCGCGCCCTTCGAGTTGATGAAGTAGCGCTTGAGCACGTTGCCGAACGGGTGACGGCGCACGTCGCCCGTGATGAAGGGGCTGGCCTCCAGCCGGCCCTGCTCCAGCGGGTAGGCCACGTTCTGGATCTGGCCGGCGCCGTACCAGTGGCCGCGCTTCGGCGACCAGTCGAAGCAGTCCTGCGGGCTCACGCCCACGGCCAGGCTCTGCCAGGTCACGTGGTAGCAGTCGATCGAGTCGCGCCGCGTGTGCCCGAGGTACAGCCGCGAGTGCTGCAGCCACTCGAGGCACACGGCGCCCGGGCGCTGCTGCTGCGGCAGGCACGAGAACACGCCCGTGTCCGAGGGGATGCCCACGCCCAGCCGCGCCGCGATGATCTCCGCACCCGCGCCGTTGTACACGTGCAGCAGCCGCTCGTTCTTGTTGAACCTGCGCGCCGAGGTCGCTCGTGAGGCCTCGCACCCTCTCCGCCTCGCCTCGCCTCGCCGCGCCTTACCTGAACTTGTCGAAGTAGGCGCGCTGCAGCACGTGCCGGCTGTAGTAGATGTGCGCGAAGCCCACCAGGAACACCACGCACAGGAAGAGGAACCCGACGAAGCCGCGCAGCCTGCAACGAGGCCGCCACGCTTCACCGACCGCCGGCCACTCGACCGCTCGGCCTCTCGTCCGAGCTCCCCGCGGGCTCACCTGTAGTCGGCCCTTTGCCTCTTCTTGCTGCTGCGCAGGGCCTGAGGTATCGTCCACTGCAGCTTCTCCTTCAGCAGGCTGCTGATGCTGTTCACGCTCGTGATCGTCGAGTTCGTGCTCTGCACGTTTGGGTATTCCGGCTCGCCGTTCGTCCTCCTGGAGTTCGCGGCCGAGGCCGAGCTCGCCGCCTGCGCCCGACTCTGCAGCGGCACCCTGCAAACCAATCATTGCCGACGTTCGCCGTGCGCGCGCTCCGCGAGCCGCGCGGACGCGCTCCAGCTGGCCAGTACCTCTGCAGCGACATGGCGCTCCCGACGTCGTACCTCGGAATCATCTCGAGGCGAGCGAGCGCGCCCAATTGCCGATAGGTGTTCGCGACCAACGACGACGATCGTTTCGAAAGGTCGCGAGACACTGCTCGATCGCGAGCCGCGTGCGAGCGTCACGACGGCCGGACAGCTGGTCCCGCGTCTGCTCCGCGTGAGAAGCTGCGATAATTATATTTCAGCCGCTGATAATTTGTCTTCGGGCCGCGGTTCGTGCCTGATATCGTGCTCGCGTTGCGACTCAGATAATTTGAGAGGCCAGAAAAAAAGGAGGAAAAAACACCCGGCGGAAAATATTGTGCGATTCGATACAATCGTCTGACCAAACTCGAAGCCGATAAGGGCCGATTTACAAAGGCACACGTACTTGGAGGCTTCTTCCTCGTTCCCCTCATCTTCGGTCTCCGAGCCCAGTGTGCTCCCATTCAGAGTGGAGCCGCTGTTACTGAAGGTCGCGCTGCTCTCACTTTCTCTCCTCGGAAATTTCAGCGACTCTCCCTGAACGGAAACATCGAGAAAGTTAAATGCACGAGAAAATTCACGGTTACGGTTGCGATTGCGTTTCGCATATCGCATTTATTTTTTACGTTGTCGCTTCATGGTCACCGACGTCGAGCCGCGGACTTCGGAAACACAGCTGACGATTTTTTCTCGATCAGAGACAATATTGCGATGACTGCTTTGCCGCTCGTTAGCTTGATAATTACGATTGGTCGCGACAACGCGAGCGTAACAATGACGCTTCGGCGGCGTTCGAAAATAAAATAAAAATAACAGCGCGTTGATAAGAGGGATGGATGTAGCAAGAACGGGTCATTCGGCAGAGTTGACACCGAAAAAGCAGCGTGATATCGCAGAGTGTCCGCAGCGTATGCAACATTGCTAAATCGAAACGTACCTCTTTTATCGAACACAAGCGCGTGCCAGCCAAGCCGAAAAGTACTTGTTCCAGCGAATATATGGAGCTGTATCTGTGATCTTTCGCATCTCGCGCGTGCATCGATAAAGCGCGCCGTGCGCACGCGTCAGGTCCGCCCGAGCCGTAAACGAAAGCCGACAGTGGCTTACTGATAGGAGGAGAGGCAGACCTGGCTTTCTCTCGCGGACCGGCTATCGGGACTGTCAATACGAGCCAACTTTTGTAAACAACTGCTGCGCGACTTTCGTTCGGCGTGCTCGGCAAACCTGCGCATCCTCGGCAAACCAAACCATTCGGCGAGTCACCTGTTTACTTCCAATGCGAAGATCTTCCATAGCATCGAGTTTGGTCGGCATCGATAAGCTCAGCTTGCGAGTGTCGTCGATCGGACGATCCTCTCCGATCGCGCGATGATCGCCCTTCTCGTCGATTATTGAGCTTCTCGTCCAAAAGCAATCGTCGGTGAGCACCGAAGATCCGCCGTTGCCTGCAAAAATATTCGGATCGCCGGTTGACAATTGCATTTCGAACGAATGAAATCGAGCGGCGGAGCTCACTCCGTCGCGCGTTCCAAGCATCTGTCGACGACCGTGAATTCGGAATCACGCGCAATATCGCCGAGTAAACTTGCGCGATCTGCTTGTACTCCGGCAAACAAGGCGGCAAGTGCGTCGTAAAGGACGGAAGCCCATTATCGAAGTTTACGATCGCAGTAAATCTATAGGCGTGGACGAGTCGAGCTGATGTTTACCCATGCGCGAGTCAGCTTTTTAACCTATTATAAATTCAGGGCAGCGTGTTTGCGCAGTTTACCATAAGCCGGCGCGCGGCCTCGTCGGTCCGAACAAACAATTCGGCAAAGCGAATAAAATGGAAATGTGCGACTGTACGAGCGAAGACAGCGACGAACCGAAGGCACGCGTTCGCCAAGCAGCCGCTAGCGATGACAGTGTGCAGGCAGACGCGATCGAATTATGCGACTGCACGAGCGACGACGACACGAGAGCGTCCCCGTGCAGCTGCCGTACGAGCGAAGAGAGCAGTCAGGGAAAAGTGAAAATTGGCGAGGACTCTGCCGCCGGCAGCGAGGACATCTCGATGTGTCCCTTGCCGATCGTGCAAGTCGAGCTGCGCGGATCAATGTTGAATTTAGCGTCGTCGAGCGCGTCGTCCACGAGCGTGAGTGCTCCGAGACTGCGGCCTCGAGCGCAGCGTCTTTTCGGTTTTGCGTGCTCGCAGTGCGACTGCGCGAGTTCGACGGGCGAGCGCAAGACTCGATCGAGCCGCTCGAGCCACTCGAAGACGGAGCCGCCGAGCTGCGACTGCACTTCGGCCGGTAGCGAAAGCGCGAGCGCGAAATCCGAGGCAGAGGAGAAGAAGCTGGAGTGGACTTTGGCGATAATCAAGCCGGAAGCGCTCAAGTTCCAGCGCGAGATCGAGCGAGCGATGGAGGAGGAGGGGTTCGGCATCTGCCAGCGCAGGCGCTTACATCTGACGGCGGAGCAGGCCTCCGAGTTTTATTGCGACGATTACGAGCGGAAAGAGTTCGCGCGGCTGGTCGAGTACATGAGCTCCAAGCCGATAGCCGTCTACGCGCTTGGCAAAGTGGCGGCTATTAGCGAGTGGCGGCTGCTGATTGGCCCGAGCAAAGTAAGCGCGCTCGACGGCTCGACGGACTGCCGGCTGACGCGATTGGCCGCGCGAGCAGGTGAGCGAGGCCAGGCTGTATGCCCCGGACAGCATCCGCGCCAGGTACGGCACGGTCGGCGACGACGCGCGCAACGCGGTGCACGGCAGCCGCGACGAGAGGGCCGCCGTCAGGGAGATCCGCTTCTTCTTCCCGGACCGTGAGTAGCCGCGGCCGGCGTCGGCGTCCGGCGGAGCCTGATTCGGAGCCGTGCCGCAGGTGCAGCAGTGGCGCCGCTGCTGCGGGGCGAGGCCGCGGAGGAGTATCTGTGGCGGAGCATGGGCGAGGTGTTGAGCGAGGGCCTCGCCAAGGTAAACGCGAGCGGCCGGCCGCGGCGGGGCTGACGGCGCGCTGACCGCCTTCGCGCGCTTGCAGTGCTGCGAGGAGCGACCCGACGACCCGGTGGCGTGGCTCGGCAGCTGGCTGCTCGACGGCCTGCGGCCCAAGTGCCTGTGAGTGGCGCCGGCCCGCGGCGAGCCGGACTAAACGGCCGCGCCGCTTCTTCTAGCTTACGTTCTACATCCAACCTGAGTGATCGGCGCTGCTGACGGGCAGCGGGATGGGCCTGGCGCGCCGCCGGCGCCTGCGCTGCAGCGTCGGCGTGGACTGGTACCTGCGAACGCGCACCTCGAGAGCTCAGTGAACCGTCGGCGAGCGCCCGGCCCGGACTCCGGCGGCGATTACCTGGCGCGCACCAGCTCCTCGACGAGGCTGCGGATGAACGATCTGTCGCTCAGCCGTCCGCGCGCGCCATCGCGACTGGCGGCTGCTGCCTCTGCGGGTCCGTCGCCTCTGCTGCTGCCCGCAGCCTCGGCAGCGTCGGCCCGCGGCTTAATTGGAACATCCGCGGTAGCTCGGCCGCCGCCGCTGCTGCCACCGCTGCCGTCGCCGCTCGGCCTTTCAAATGTCATTTTGTATCATTAGTCCGCGCCTCGCGCGCGCACGCGCACGCGCGTCCGTGGGCGCGCATTTTGGAAACGTTGTCCCCAGGCTCATCGGCGTAAACGCCTCCGACCCGTCGCTCGACGTTATTCCCGAGCTGGCGACCGCCGAGGAGATGCGCACGGATGAGCAGGAGGAGAAAGCGCGAAAGTAATGGCGCGTTGGTGTCGGAGCAGGCTCAGCTGTGCCGGTGGTCGGGGAACCAAGCGAGACGCCTACCTGTGGGCGCCGGTCGACGCGCCGGAGTAGCTGGCGGGCTTGTACCAGGGCCAGGGCGTCCGAGGGCTGCTGGATGCGAGCGAGGAAGCGCTCCGTCGGTGCCGCTCGTCGCCGTTCGAGGCCCAATCGAGGCGTCCGTCCACCGACGCCACGCTCACGTCCCACGGGTCGACGATCGAGAGCAGCACCCTCTGCAAAAGCCACACTGCATCTCGTGCCGGCGCGCGGTCGACGCGCGGTCGACGCGATCACGAGACTGGCGGGATGCCGGTCGCCAGGCTCCTCCGCGCGCTCAGTTAGCTCGCCTCTACTTTCTTTCTGAGTTGCCGCGCTCGAGAAGTGTCCACGGAATCCGGCCTGTCGCCCGAGATTTCTCTTTCGGCCGCGCTTGCGCCGAACAAGCGCGAGCTTGCGCTCGACTTTGGCGACAAATCCGTTGATTGGCGAAAGTCACGATGTGAAATGCAGCGCACCTGCGTTGGCTCCATAAGCGACCTTCGCGCGAAATACAAACGAAACGAAAGTGGTGGCAGCTCGCGCAAATTGTTCTTTCGAATGAGCAGTACAAAGGCCGGAAAATCACGCGCTGCGCCACGCTAACCAGGCATCAGTGCGCTTGTCGACCGACTGGCATATATTAATTACTCGCGAGTCCACGAGCTACCATTACAACTGCACCGCGCAGTGATGTAATTTATCGTTTATTATTTCAAGTATCGTTTGCTCGGAGCAAACAGCGACTCTTACTCGGATAAAGCCAGCGATGCTCTATTGTTACGTGCGATTCTTTCGTCTGATAAAAAATTGACGATCGTGGCTTTGTGCGCGGTGCTCAACGCGACAGCTTGAGCTTTTCAATCTTCGCCGACACTCCGATGTCCAACGGACGTCAGGAGTTCGCAGTTGGACGGCGTAGGAACGCGTTTTTCTCAAAGAGCCTTAGCGTTATGCCGAGTGCGATCCGAAAGAAGAAGAATGAAAAGAGTCGAAAGAAAGCGCCGACTGACAATGTTAATCGAAAGCTCGCGATATTTATTTGAGGTTGAAGTTAGCATCGCGCGCGCGCGCGCTCGCGCCTCGCCGGCCAGCTGAGCCAGCGGCAGCAAGCTGTACAGGCTTTCAGCTGTAAGCGGACAGTAGCCCGTGCCGCCGCTGAGGTCCCTCGTCTTACGGATAATCCGAAACGAATGATCTCGCGAACGTCACGCGATGGAATCGGACGAAGGCACGTGATTGCGCGCACTCAGCCACGCGCCGTCGTTTGCATCGATCGCCGATCGAACGTCCAGCCGGGAGGAGCGAGCTCGGCGGCGCGCGACGCTTCGACCGCGAGCGTCGAGCGATCGGATGGCGACCGTTGTCCCGCTGCTCGCCGTCTCGGATATCCGCGGATCGGGCCGCGCAGCCAAGCGCGTTGGTTAGCAACAAGACGACGCGCTCGAGCGCGTTCACGTAACGCGGCACTTTCGGCTTCGTCGCCAAGAGCTGGTTTACGTAAACGAGCGTCCTCCGCGCTCCCGCTCGTTTCGGTTACGCGAGCGCGTCGCCGACTCGGCGCACTGGCTCGGGTGGCCAGCGGCCGAATCCGAACGGGACCGGGCAGTTACCTTGTTCTTGGCGGGCCTCCTCTTCTTGCGGATGCGGTCCATGGTCCATGCGGCGGGCGCGTGCGGTGGGCGAGCAAGCAAGGAGCGGCTCTGCTCCTCCGAGCGACGCTGCTGCGGCTCTGATCCGTGGGCGGGCGCCTCGCCGAGCGCGCTCGGCCTATCTCTCCTTGGCGCGTTCTCCACCGCCCGTCCTGCCGTCCACGCGCCTCTTCCACCTGCTCCTCGCCGCTCCGGCGCGCATTCCGCTCTCGACTCCCATTCCGGCCCGGGGTGGCCACTCCGGCGGATGGCTCTTAGCGCGAGCCACTTAGCGCCTCGCTTTCCGATGCTTCGCGCCAATTATCGAGCGTTGCGTCACGTGGCGATGCGGCTTGTGCCAGCTCTATATAATATTGCTGTTTACGCCGACGCAGCTACTATCTAGTCAAGGCGCGCGCCACTATCGCTGCCGTTTCTTTTCGATTTTAACGACGCGCATCTTGATAAACAGCGAGCCCGCGAACGGGATGCCTCGAGTGCGCCTCCGATAAAAGCCGTGCAGGTATTTATTAGCGGCTCTCGCGGACGGACTCGTACTTCCGCGAAAAATGGTCGATCACGCGAGAGGGCTCGTGACTTTATGGAGCGCATTATCGTCCAACTTAATTACACGAGCACGAACGCGTCGGCCTGATTTCGATAAAGCCGCGCGCTGCCGATAATACCACTCGTTCACCACGTAGTTGGGCGTCAGTGCTCTTTTCGCTGCCTCTTCTGTGCGCCAGATCACGCGGTTTACCCGTTTTTTTTTCTCTCTCTTCGATTCATTATACGTATCTCGCGGACGATAAAGGTGAGGCTTTCGTTGCGAAGCAGAAAGAAAGAAGACAAATGAAACGTCAACGCTCGAATCACTTGTCATTGTTTTCCATTCGCTTGTCAAAGTGGCGAGCAGTCGCGACTCGCTGCAAAGTCCATCGACATCTCCGTTTCCCATTGCAATTCGCAAGCTGCCGTATGAACCCGACACCGTATACGCGCCATCAATATGCCCGTGAACATCGGCTGATTCGATAACTCGTGGACAGGCGTGGCGAGCTTGCAGGCTACACGAGTAATAGATTCGTACGTGAATTTAATTTCAAAGCAAACAGCACAGAGACAGTCGATTAATCAGAAGAGCTTTTATTACTCACAATACGCATCAGCAACATAATCGTATTTCATCGCTAATTATGTCTGGACAATCGTTCAATTAACTGCTAAGTGCGTTACAAGTCAGATCGCGTTCGACTAAACGTTGATTTTCTTGAATTGCGAACGGGCGCCAAACTAAGTTGACAACAATTATTTACAAACCAGACTTCTCATAAATCAACACAACTTGTACTATTGAGATACCATTTCTCGTGTGTGTTGGCTACTTCACTCAAATTCATAATATCTTCTTTTTTTATTATTTCTGCCTCTGTCTCGCAACGAGAAGCAATATTTACTTATTAAATCAAGTATCTTGTATAATGTTGCAGTTTACAAAAATTCTTTTAGCAGTACTTTTACATTACAATAATATTATTAATTGATGCTTCTGTCAGTTTACTTTATATCGATTCTCATGATTATCATGTTATTTGTGATCTTTTCGATTAACTTTGTACTACAACTTTCGCTTTTTATTTGCGATCAAGTGAAATATATCGTTGTGGCTTTCAAAATATACACACTGGTTCTTTCTTTTCAACAAGTATGCACATCAAACCAATTGATCAGATTAACCACAAATACGAGTCAATTGTAAGAGCTATTATAATAATATTTACGCAGTTACTTTCTTACAATTCTTAGTCAATCTTTATTTATTGCTATCTATCAGTTACAATTTTTATCAAATTTAGAACTTTTTACAAAAAAGTACTTTTTGAAAAATAATACATATTCAATTGTACTCATTTTGACACCATGATTTTGCAAAAATTTCCAACTTAATGCGGGAAAATGAAAAAGACAAATTGTGAATAATTTTAGATTCTTTTAATTTCCAAGGTAAGATTGTTTTATATAACAATTAACATCGCGACTAACAAAATAAAGTAACGATACGCCTCACAAAATCGTGACTGTTATGGACGCGCATACTAATAACAGTGAAATAAAGAAAGGATGTGACATTGAAGACAGGTTTGAGTTAAAGGCTTTACCCCTACTTTAACTATGCTAACGTTTCAATTGAGAATTCGTCAAGATTCGTGTCAGTCAAACACACGCGATGAATACTTGTGTGCAAAAATGAGCGAGCACCAAGATACATTGGCGCTACGTGCATTTGACTGATGATTTCTAATAATTAACCGGCGACTCGTGTATTACCTCAATTATACAGCACAATATCTTGAACAGTATTGTTGCATTTGTTATACTATTTTTCTCTTTCATTATCTGGAATCGCATATTTCATCACATTCGTGTATTCCCCACGAGTACATACTTTACATAATGCACTTTCTCACGTGTCTTACGAGCCTTCCATAAAGTTTAAAAACATCAACGACAATCGCATATGCGTTTCCCAATGCGCGCGCAAGATCTTACGTGTAAATATGTAAATAATCAGAGCTACTAGTCTGACGATAATCAAAATTTTTAGACGAGTTTTACGATCGTTAGATTATTGCAAAGAAAACAATAATTATATTTATCTCAACGGACAAATTTTTAATTCAAAATGTAACAGTTTCGACAAATAAATGATAATCAAGTGTACAGTGAAATTTGATTTCAATCATTGTCGCAGATCAAAAATATTTACAACTCTTCCAAGAATTTCGCTCGACATGATTTTGACTACCGTCAGTTCGTAAATGTACATACGTCTTCTTTTTGTAAATGCAGCGAAAACTTACACCCATTGCCACATTATTCGCTTAGCATTATGATGCTTAATTACTCCTCAACATCGACGGCTCATTTCAACTAAGACAAGAATGAGTATTAACTTTTTAGGATAATAAACCAAAGCTTTTTTAATAACTATTTTGCGCCTTTTAGAATATTTATTATTACTTTCTGTTCTTGCCTATCCCACATTTTATAAAATACAACAGAGCAGTAGAGCTTTAGAAATGAATGATTTAAATATTTCTTATAATTCAACACGGTTATCCGTTCAACTTTTCAAGTTTCCAAGTAATTTTCACGAATAATGTTTGAAGCTGCTTATGGCACAATTTACTGCAGCGAATAGCAACGAAAAAATAACAGAATATATAAATTTAAATCAACAACAATCTATGTTTATCACAAAACGTTGAATAAATCCAATGAAAACGTATACACTACAGAAGAATGCATGTTAAAGTTGAACAGTAATGCAATAGTAGCTGCCAAAATGTAATAATACTTACTTTACACACGTGATAACGGTACATTATACTATTCTAATCGCAAAATAATGTAGGCTTTCCAGCTACAGCAAAGTAAGCTAATGATAAAGTTACTCGGTAGGCCAATTCCTATACTAAAAACAAAAACGATATTCTTTTTGCTGAATTAATTGCACACATGATCAAGTGTCAATGGAAAACGTGTAAAAATATTTACCTAATACGTTATTGCTTATGCTAAATAAAAGATTAAAATAAAAATTTATCTTTTGCATGATTTGTAACGAAAAAAAAAATAAAAAAAAAGATAAAGAAAACTTGAAAAAAGATTAGCACGTTAAAAATAATTATCAAACGATATCAAACGAAAGAACAGTGCCGATTCGTTGAAGGGACGGTCTTGACAGTCTGTATTCGAGAAGTGGTGAAACGAACGATTGCAGCTAGATGGATATCGTTGGCCAATAATTAGGCGCGGCAGAGGTCGCAGGAATTTTAATGCAATTCAAGTGATGTTTTGGGAGTTTGAAGGCTCCGATGCAGTGTCTATGAAATGCCAAGAGTCTCATTAGTTTCGCAGCTTTTGTCATTCACCCGAGTCCTCCCATTTGGACTCCTCGGCTATTCGATCGAAGCAGTCCGACAAGAACATATACTGCGGAAAGTCAAACAACAGAACCCAAGTGAGCGCGAACGAACGAGTCAGCCTTGCGCGGCAAGCAAAACCGAAACTTACGTAGGGCGTGAAGACTTTCAACCAGCGGGTCGGACGGTTGTCCGTGCGCGTGTACTGAAAGCAGAAGCCCATGCCCTCGTCGTCGACCTCCCATCGCGTGATGGTACTCCACTGGAATTCGACCACCTGAGATTCTAGAGTTCCGTCCTCCTTGGCGGCGTGCAGCTTGAAGGAGGACATGCCCACGGCGGCAACCACGTGACCCTCCTTCCTCGAGTCGCAGGCACAGTGCGGGAACACGATGTCGCCGTAACCGCTGAGTTCGCGCGCCAGCTTCAGGTACTGCGAAACGGCGAGCGCGTTATAGCTGGTCGAGCGCGTCCTGCGGCTAGGGGAGAGCCCGCTCACCTCGTGCTTCCGCGAGGCGTCCTGCAGAGCCTTCAGCTGGTAGAGCCTCTCGCCGGCGGTGACGTGGCCCCTGTTCACCTCGTCCACCGTCTGCCAGAAGATCCAGGTGAGCGCCTGCTCGCTCAGCGGCCTCGAGATGTTGAAGAGCCAGCGGCGAATGGACAGGCAGGTGGCGCTGGCCGTCGAGTAGTTCTGGATGTAAAGCGTGTGCGGATGCTCGTGCGGCTGCAGCTTTCGCTCTACGCGAGAGAGGGAGAGGCTCAGCGCAGGGCGAGGAGGCGCAAGGCCGGCGAGCTTACCGAAGTTGTACTCGACGATCTCGAAGAGGTAGAAGTACTTGGCGGTCTCGGCGTCCAGGCCAACGCGGCAGCAGACCGACTCGTAGACGTCCTTGGCCGAGGCGGCCTTGGCCACGGTCACGGTGACGAGCTCGCGGTCGGGCAGCAGCACCTTGAGGTCGACCGCCGGGCCCTGGTCGCCGTCCTCGTCCAGGCGGTCGGTGAGGAACTCCTGCATGGCGTCGCTCTCGGCGATCACCCTCACCGCGCACACCTTCTCGAGGTACTGCTCGAGGCCTCGCCGCCTCGCGTCCAGCTGCTGCTCGCTCAACCTGCCGACCGAACAACTCGTGAGCCACCCGAGCAAGCCGCGTCTTCGCCGTGGGCAGGGCCCGTGGGCCAGATACTGACTGGAAAGGCCATTTGCCGGGCAGCTTGGGGAAGTTGAAGCCGATGAACTCCTTCTTCAAGGCCATGTGGAGGGCGGCGAACTCGCGGTAGCGCCTCGAGCACAGGTGTCGGCCGGCCATGTGCACGTTGAACACCACGTAGCGCTCGTGCTTGCGCTCGCGCACGTGGTAGTCGGGCACGCTGATGGGCAGCGAGCGCTTCTCGCTGTAGTCCACCGTCGCGTAGCTGCGAAGCGCGCGGACGGCGGTTAGCTCGCGTACGCTGCCGACGCTCGCGGCTCTCACTCACCTCAGGTCCTCGCACGGCTCCAGTCTTTCGGCCTCTTGTGGTGTCACCGAGATCACAGTCAGAGTGAGCACGTCGCCCCCCGACTTTATCAGGTCGACCACCTGCTTGTGAGTAGCCCCCTCGACGTTCACGTTGTTCCTGCGGACACAGGCGACGCCGGTCAGACTGGCTCGTGCGCGCCGGTCCCTGTCGCCGGCGAAAAACTCGCCCTGCGCCGCGGCCACGTAGCAGGTAAGCATCTCCGGACGTCGACTCGGGCCGTCCCGGGCGCGCCGCCGACTGACGGGCGGGTGCGGGCGGGTGCGGCCGCGTGCCGCCGCCGGCACCGCGAGTGAAAGGCACGGCGCGCCGATTGGCCGGATTCTGGCCGTTCGGGAAAAGGCGCGAGAGCCGGGGCGCCACTGCAACTGCGCCGCTCGCGGATCTCCGCGGGGCTTATATGCGGCCTCGGCGTCTGTCCTCCGTGTCCGATAAGCGCGGACGACTCGCGCGCTTATCGAGGCGCGTCGCGCCGAGCGCGAGCTTGTTTTTTCGTTTGCAATCGCGTGCTCGTATTTTTATCGCTCGTGTAGGCGAACGCCGAGCGTCGCGCGCTAATTCGTTGCGTAATCCTGCGCTCGACGCCCTCGACGGGGCCAATCGACGGCACAATGCGAACAGCGCTAAGCGCCATCCTTCGCCCTGCTTTGCGCAACGCTACCGCTCCGAGTGCAGGTCAATCGGCTATCGTGAGTCGGGCGCGATAAGGCGGCCTTGACCGAGGCAACAATTTGCCGTGACGCGAGCCGATCTTGAAGCACCCGACGAACTTGTCCGAAGCCCTGCGAGACGAAAAGTAAGCGCAAAGAATAGCCAGCCGTGGCGGGGAAACGTCGGCGTTACGCGTCGCAGAGAGAGAGAGAGAGAGAGCGGCGGCGGGGCAGACGACGTCGGCTCTGCAATTCACTGCCATTATGTTATTTATCAACGAAACTCACGCCGGTTACATAAAATCAAGAGCGGAGTCGTGGCGGCGGACCATAGCGCAAGACACGCGCCAAACGCCAATCGGGCCGATACCTCGTGCGCGCGTAACGGCCCGAAATTGCTGAGAAATAAACGAGGCGCGATTGAATTCTCCGAGAAAGGCCGGCTCTCTCGCGACTCGCCGTCGTCGCGCAGTCAACGACCCGCGAACTTCGCGCCGGAGTTTTCGGTGCTCGATTAGTCGGAAAGTGCGCGGGGCAATCCGCTCCCGCTGCTCGCCGACTCGCGTTCGCGTGGGAAACGCCGCTCTCCCCTCCTGCTCCTCTTGCCGCCTTTGGCACGCGATCAATTTCGCGTTGACGCGCGACACGAGAATTGCACCCCCTCTCTCTCTGTCTCTCTGTCTGTCCGTCTGTCCGTCCGTCTGTCCGTCCGTCCGTCCGTCCGTCCGTCTGTCTGTCGAAGGGTACCGACTGAATCGGCCGTTCGAAAAGTGGCCGGACGATCACCTGTGCCGACAGGCCTCGAATAATCAAGGACACCGTTGAGCCGGATCGATAACCCGCCGACGTGTTCCGAGCGCTAAAGAGCGAAAGGAGGAAGAAGCAGCCGTTCGCTCGCCAGCGAAGAGAAATGGGTTGCGGGCTCGTTCAGCACGCGAGGCGATCGCGGCCCGGTGACGTGAGCTTCCTCGGCGGACCGAGCGCGTCGCCGGTGCCCGTTGCCAGTGAATTTCGGGGCCAGCGCACGGCCAGGCGCACCGAGTAAACAAGTGCCAGAGTGGCGGCGCGCGACGCGCGCTCGGCCGAGGACGGCGCACGTGCTTCTCCTGGGCGCCATCGATCGCTGGCAGGTAGAGCGCCCTCGAGAGCCGGGTGCACGAGAGCCGTGGACGCGAGTGTCGCGGAAGCGCCTATCGATTGGCCGGCCAAGACGCCCCGGGGGCGTGCATCGCGCGCGTCAGCGGCCGATAGGAGACGCGCGGCCGCGTCAGCTGACGAGCAGAGAGCGCAATGCACATACTCACACTTCGAGGATACGGTCGCCCTTGCGCACGCCGGCCTTCTCGGCTGCGCCGTGGGGCAGCACCGCCGAGACGTGCTGCAGCGGTGCGTACAGCTCACCGTTGATGCTACGCAGCTGGCCGCCCTCGCTCACCTGGCCGCGGACGTTGAACCCGAAGCCGGTCTCGCTCTTATAGATGGTCACGCAGCGCGGGCCCTGGCTCTGCTGCTGCTGCTGCTGCTGCTGCTGCTGCTGCTGCTGCTGCGGCGCGTGCGGGTGGCCGCCCAAGGACAGGGGCGCCAGGCGCCCGTTGTTCCCGGCGTTGCCCACCATCGCCGTCACCGTCGCGTTCATCCTACCGCCCTCGCTCCGCCTGCGCGCGTCCGCTGGTGTCTCGCTGTCAGCGAGACCCTTCGCGAGAGCAGAGCTGCGCCGCCACTGCCACTCTCGCTCGCTAACTTGCTGCACTACCTAGCTCCTGAGCAGCGTCTTTCCTTACGAGCTGCTTCCGAGATACACCTCCGCCATCTCGCTGCTGCTCCGAACTGCTTCTTCGCTTCTACGCCTCCTCTCTCTCTCGCTCTCTCTTCGACCAGCCAGCCATCACTGCACGTGCGCTCGCGCTCGCGTTGCTGTGTCCCGGCAGCGCCGCTGTGCGGCGCCACCGATCCACCCTCTCGCCGTCTCTGTTGCTCCGTGTCCGCAACTTGCTTTCCTTCGTCGTCAGTCACCACGGCCACACTATTTCCACTCGTCGGCACTTGGCTGCCGATTGGGTTATCCGTCGACTTCTCAGAAGCCAAGGCCTTTGTGTATCAAGTAACCTTACGGCTCCTCCAACTCGAAAATACCTGCTCGACGAGCGAACGACGTCACGGTCATTTTATTGTCGTCGAACAATGACATTCCACAAGTTACGAGTTACGACTCACGAGTTCAAATTCCGACGTGTTCTCGTCGCTAGAGGGACCATTCAACAATGATGGTTGTTTACGACCTAGCCAATAGTCAATGGGATTTAAAGGGAAAGATTTCTAGGTCACCGTGCACTAACGACCTCTACTGAACCAAACTCGGCACTAAAAGCGTAAGCAAAGCGGTCGACGTGTGCTCTGTCCATAACCTACAACCGAGTCTCTTATCATGTCAAAATATCCGTGTTTATATTCGTTGTTTTATTAAATAATGTCAACCGACAAATTTCTCGATCTTGATATTAAAAACTTATTTGAGGAACACACCGTCAAGGACATCGAGTTGATACAAAAGCAAATTCAACATGAAACCGACCGCAAGAAAATTGAATTGCGAACGTTGGTCGGGTAATACTTTATTATAGCCTTACTTTGATCACCTTTTTTTAAATCAGCTCCTAATACGATTACAATTTCAGAGAACGATATCGTGATCTCATTCAGGCAGCCGATACGATAGCAGAAATGAAACAAACTTCCGAATCTGTCAACAACAAAATAGTTAACATTGAAAAAACTTTCCACGAATTACAACAAAAGTATCTTATTGGGTTTAAGATGGAAGTTGCTCAAGAGAATTTGAAAAGGTAACATCAATTTTGCAGTAGCATTCAAAAATTTCAATATGCTTGTTTGTGGAATATGACAATTAATTTTAGAGAGACCAGTTGTGTGGCCGATTCTATAGTTATGCAGATTAAAATTTTAATGGATGTGCCAGAACAGATTTGGTCTGCAATAGATGATAAAAATTTTTTATTTGCTACGCAACTATTTTTATTAGCAAGGCACATTAATTACAGCCTAGCTTTAGAAGTTGGAGACTCCACTTTAGCTATTAAATATCCACTTGTTTCAAAGCAATGGGGTATCATAAGTCAATTCAAGAATTTATTATTAAGTTTCTGCAATGATACACTGCAATCGATAGAATTGTCAATGAAGGTAACTTTATTACATGTTACCACACACAAATGTACAGTAATTTCATGATTTTCAATATTTAACAGGTTGCAGCAAATTGTTTAGCTGCATTAGTATTACTGGAAGGGTTAAATTCTGCTGAATTATTGGACAAATTAATGGCTTTTAGAAGCCAAACTGTACAATCTGTTATTACACCAGAAAATGATCTAAGTGTTAAGAATAAAATCAAACTATGCTTGAATGTTTTGATGGAAGCAGTTCCACTAATCGACAGTTGCTTCATAAGTAATGTGTATTTCAGAAGAATGAGAAAAGCTTTTACTTGCAATAATAATAATCTTAAAATTTCTTTCATTTTGCAGAATATGAAGACAATCAGGATGGACTAGTCTCATTGTATATAAATGATATTAAAGATATAGATGCTTTGTCTATGTTGTCCGAATTGGACTTAGATAGCGATTTGTTGAACAATTTTTTGCCTATTGTTGCCAAAAATCACAAACCATTTGAACAGTATGAGTTTGAGAAACTTCCATTGCTTAGTATACAAGAGACAGTAAATACATGGTTCAACTGGATAAATGACTTGTTAAAAGTAGAAGTAAAAAAGCTATTTAATTTAGTTGTTTCTGTAAAAGGAATTTATAATATTCGAGAAGATTGTCTTGCTGTCGCTATACCAGCAAATTGGGAAACGGTATGGGAGTCGCTTTCTTTACCTAGTGTTAATTTTTGGATGGAATTTTTTCAACCATTATTAACAGAAAGAATAAAAGGTAAATCAGTATTCATATTCAATCTAAACATTGATAAAAGAATGTACAACGGATAAAATTTCTTTTCATTTCAGATATTTTAAGTGACAAATTGAACGTTTGTTTTGCAAACTTGAAGAGAGATATTTTGGAATTGCTAGATAAAGTATCCTATGAATCTTGCCAATTTCCAGAGCATGACTTACGATGGTTTGTTTGGAAAGATTCATCATCGGACATTCCGCAAAAATTGATGGAGAATGGAACTTTTGATAGTAAACGCCCACTTCTTATGAAAGCAAGCGGTTTTTCTCCGAACATTTCAAAGTTGTGTGAAAATTTCGAATGCGGGCTGTCGGAAGTTTTGCTTCACATAAAACAGTATTTGTACGAATTAGAACAAAAGACTGGAATTAAAGATGATTTGCTAGTGAGCGACCTCTATTTAGCTACCAACAAGTTTTGCGACCGTACTGAAATTCAAGATTACTTGCAAGTAATTAGTGAGAAACTGATGAACGAGTTTATAGTTTTCGTGAAACAAGAGTGCGTAGTGGAGAAGCCGAAAACAGGGCGGCAAGACATCAACGCGATTGTGACTGCGAGGTTCTTACAGTCGGTGCCTCTATTGTGTTCTCACTTCAAGGAGTGCTTTACAATTTCCAGGTCAACTGGTTTGACTTTGACGAACGTCAAGTGGCAGGAAATCTGTGATAAACTAAAACAAGAAAGTACTTCAATATGGTCGGTTTGGGCCAAGTGCTTCGCGAGAAAAATACCTCAACACAGAACCAAACATTTGGTCAAGGAGTCTGCCGATGAAATACGAATGCACACCATTATCACCGACTGGGAAAAAGTATCGATCGAGGAAGAGGCTGAAGAGGGAAAGAAGATCAAGTCTGAAATTTTAGTTCCTTATCAGCCTACTGTGCATTTGCAAAAGTTTTTGGCTTCCATCTGTCAAGATATCAACAAAGTCATACCTCATACTATTCCCAAGTAAGTATAGATAATAAATACTTCAATGACAATGAATGCCGTATAAAAACGCTTTGTGCGAATCTAATTGCAGATCAGTTTTGATCGAAATAATAAACACCATTGCTTCTGAACTGCTTGATTATTACTCAAAAATGGCTACGTTCGAGATACTTCAAAAACAAGCAATACAGATACTATTTGATATAAAGTATGTAAGTTTGTTAATGGTGCCTCGCGATGATAAACCATTGTACGAAAGATCGAATAAACTCAGCAGCAACGTTATATCAAAGATCGATCCTTTCGATTTTGATGTATTTAGTCCGTTCATCAATACGAATGTCAAAAAAGCCGTTCAACGGACTTTAGTAAGCTTACATGAAGAAATTAATCAATATCGAATGCGTGACTAAGACAACAAATCCATGTAAAATTTATAATCAACAGTTACTTTACGGAAATTTGGTGCCGCACATGGAGCAATTACATTCCATGCTAGGTGCGCGAATCGAGCACAGCGAGGGATTGAAGTCAGTGAAAGACCCGCCGGGCATTTTAGCGCTCTGCACGGGCGCTCCGTGGTTTCCATCTTTGGCCGTCACAGCGCCTGTCAAACACATTCCCGCTGCGGTGCAAAATCCCGAGAAAGCACAGGTACTTACGCTTGTCAACAAAAATATTTCACTTTGGATTCTCGATAAGACGTGTTATCCGACAGCTATTCGAATAATTTATTCATGCAAATGTATTTTTACAATTAGATGGGTCTATTTTTTACCACATTTTAAACGATATATTTTGGTAAGAAAGACAGCGTTTGAGTTGTGTGTGAATATTGGTTGTGCATGGCCCTAAAAGTACTTTAAGATTTCTAACTACTTACCATGATCCTGGCTATTCAGATTATTTTATATGAAATTTTATTGAATGACAATTACTCGTTGGGTGTAGTCAGTTAAACAGCGCTCACTTTGTTTGCAGCAACAGAAAAAGCCACCGGGAAAGGATCAGTCAAAAAGCGATTCGGCCGGCTCGACAATAAAATCTGGAGCAGCCGCATTCTTCGGAGCGATGGGGGGTGAATGGTTTGGCACGAGCTAGACTTCATTTTCCATTTATTGTTGATATCGTATGCTTTTATACTACAACTACAGCGCATTTGTACATAATAGACAATAAAATTTCGTTTTTAAAAACGAGAACCAATTGTGTTGTTTGTTATTAACTATTTTTAGGAAAACCACAAGCCTACATCTTTGTAGCCCGTTAACATTTTTCATCTACTCGAGATGTTTTCCAATCTTTGCATAATAAACTTGAGATTAATTAGGTTGGGGGACATTGCAATCAAAATGACACGAATGAAGCATATTTAAATCACATACGTTACTTTCAAAAAAAGTCTTTATCTTTAGATTCTGAAAGAAGGGAGTATATCACACAAATAAATTTTCTCAAAGTGGTAGCGAACGACCATAATGGATATTGGAAAATGTTGTTTTACAAGTATCAATCTTCAAGTATAATATCGTAGGAGCTTTCCAAAGCAGACTTGTCCCCCAACGGGAGTTCTCGGATCGAAGACTGATTGGTTCGCTGACCGCTCTGTTGCCAAATCGACCATTTCCTTGGCCACGGAAAAAAGCCAGCGAGGTCAGTCCTGACGGCGCTGAATTAATTTTCATAGACAGCCGAGGGAGTCGGGATAGCAGGCCTTTGCCGTGGATCATCCGGCAAAGATTGCCGTCAATGAGCGTGGCTGATCAAGTCGAGCAGACTGATCGGGCAGTCGCGCTGGAATCCGCGACAGTCGTCGGCGAACTCGGCGCGCTCGACGTCGGCCTCGAGATTTTCGGCGAGCGAGCTGGAGGGCCTGCAACACCACAAGACAGAGCGGCTGCGTCGATCGATCGTCGTTCGCGGATTCGCGAAGCATCGCTGTGGGGCTCCGATTTGAAAGTCGATCGCGCCGGCTGTCGACTGCTCGGTTTTTCGCTGCTACGCGCAGGCGGGGCCAAGGAGTATCTCGGCAAGGAGCTTGTTTGTCGAAATGCTAATGATCGGACGCTCGGTCGGGCCGTTACTCACGTGAATATTATGCGGACCAGATCGCCTACCAGGCCGCTTCGTTCAAATGGAAATGCGGCAGACTCGCATATCGTGCGCTGCAGGCACGCCCTTCCCCGGTAGCCGTAACTGGAAAACACGAGGCTCGATGTTTCGACGTCAGTTCGAGGTCTTAAGCTCCACGACGCTCTCACCTGTCGAACTGGCGCTCGATCGCGTCGTAAAGCATCCGCCTGTCGAGAGCGCGTCTGCGGATCCGGTGCTCGCTGGCGTTCATTTGGCCGGAGTTGTTGATGTGCGGCGTTTGGTAGTTGGCCTCGAAGTAGAACGACAGTGAGACGGACTTGTCGGGCAGGTCGACGGGTACCCCGATGGCGAAGAAAATCTGCAGGCAGTCGCAGTTCATCGGTGGGTCAGGGCGTGCACTTAGCCCGCGCGCGTACTCACCCCCATGCCGCTGCCGTCGGGGTAGGCCAGCGAGCGGGCGTGTCGGCCGATCGCCGTCTTCAGGCTACTCGTGCGGCCGCGAGCCAGCAGCGCGCACTGGCACAGCCACAGCAGCCAGACCGCCGATCTAGACGCGCACCACGGATCAGCTCGTTATCGGCCGCCGATCGGCGATGCGCGCCGCCCGCAATAATCAATTCCGCGGCGCGCTCGATTTGCGACGCTCGTTAATTGCCCGGCAAAAATGTGCGCGACTATGCACAATGCGAGCGCGCCCGGTCGGCCTGAATATTCAGCGGCATTCGATCAATTTCTAATTAAGCAAATAATTAACTGGTTCGCGGCTCGGCCTTGTCATTAAAACGCGCACGGCCGTGTTTGCCCTTCTAGCCCTCGGCCAAACGTGCGATGCGCGCTTTGTGCGCTCGCGATGTATTATTAGAAATTGATCGAGCACCGACGAGCAGCGAGTTGAGCTTTTCACTTACCTCACGTGCATCCCGAGGCAGCTCGAGCGCGCGACTCAGCTGGAAAGGGGCGAGAGCGCGCCGGCCAGGCGCAGCACCACGCGCCTGCAAATCTCATTAATTTGCGCGAAATACGTTTAGTTTAATTATCAGCCGCTCCGGGCTTTTTCCCCGCTCGTTCGCTCGCGGACGGAGGGACGCTGTGATTAATAAGCCGCTCGGCGGGTGAACGCGTCGAGGGTACACCAAGCGGACCGCTGAGCAGGCTCCGAGGTGCAAAGCACACGAATGAGCGCTGGCAGCTTGGCGGTAAAAATTGGATCGGTCGGAAGCTGGTCGATCGACGTGGATCGGCCCCCGCGCGAACCTCTGTAATAAGGCGTTCAAATATTGAGCCATCGAATTGGAGCCATGTCCGCGCGTATAATCCGCGAGTCCGCGACCACCTCGATCGTCTCGGGCCACTGCTCGGCTATACGCAGGCGTGCTTCGAATGTAAATGCCGCGCGCGGTAATCGACTCGCGAGTCTAATGGAAGGCTCTGCGGCGGGCGGGAGCGAACGCCCCGGGAAGCGTAGCGAAAGGCGCCCGCGAGATCGCCCACGGCCGGCGAGCAGCTTGGACCGCGCGGCTCCAGATGGCGCCTGCAGTGCCGCGCGCCCGCGCGTCGCCCGGCGCCGCAGCAGCCCCGCCCATGTGATTTAAACGCACAGTGGCCCCGAACCCGCTCCTCGCCGTTCGCGCCCCCCGCAGCAGCCTTATCCGTCTGCTCTGCGCTCCCTCGGCTCCTTCCAACGAGCGCGAAAGATTAATCTCGTCGTTCGGTACGCCGCGATCACGTCTCGCTCGCAACTGCGCGCGGATGCGCCGGCTCGCGCCCCTTCGAGCGCTCGGGTGCCGCTGCATCGAGCGTCGCCGATACCGGCATCCGAGCCCTTTTGACACGCGCGCGCGCCCCGACACGCCACTCGCACGCGCCGGCGGAAGCGATCCGAGAGCCCGAGCTCGCTGGCGGCGATCATTTCACCGCGGCGCGCGGAGAGAAAGCGCGCTCTCCCTCTCTCTCCCTCTGTCCGAATGAGAAATTGCTTTTAAATCCCATTCTATTTCCAGCGAGGGAATGAACCGACGGGCCTCGGCCGTCGTCGCTGTAAAGAATGAATTTTCTGCGGTGCGCTCTCTCTCTCTCTCTCTCTCTCTCTCTCTCTCTCTCTCTCTCTCTCTTTGTCCTCCCTCGCCCGCTCGTTTCCTCCTTCTTTTGGAATGTCGCATCTGCTCCGAGCCGTCATCGGCCGATCAATCAGTGCACCGCCCGCACGGCTCTTCTGATTTTTTATCCAGTCCGCTCGTTAATTGAAATGTTGCTACAGCGCGACCCGCGGCAATTGTTTTTCCGGCCGAGGATCCGCGCGGCGGCCGCGAATGCCCACCCTTTTATTGGCTTTCGCCGCCTCCCCGGAATATATACGTATATGCCGCTGCCCGACAACCGCGCGCCGGCTCTTATTATACACTCTGCTGTTCGATTCCACCTGCGCACTTTTTACCCCGTTCACTCATGAAAATTCATCACACTTTGATTGCTAATAAAACTGTCGCTGCTTGGCTCTTCGCCTGCGACTAGCTGGGCTTTTCAGTAGAAAAACCTTGATTCGGTCAGGCGCGCGAGCCGCGAAATATTTTTTTCCTTTTTTTTTTCATGTGCCGCAATGCTTTCACGCGCAACCTTTGTCGATGCCGAGAGATCGAGCGAACTGTTACGATTGCCTTCCATCGCAGAGCTGAGCTATTCCAGCCGAGCAACCGGCTCTGTTTCGTCGATGACAGGCGTGCTGGTGCCCGGCGTGTTTTTTCCCTCTCGTTGTTCTTGTTCGGCGAATCCGGCCAATTCTAGGGCCGAGAGTCAATGAAGCCGGCGAAATAACAGTCGAGCTACAGCGAAGCTCGAGCATCAAAGTAGCAGGGGGAGCAAAAAACTAGAAGCCGCAGCTGCTCCTGGATCAAAAGACGTCGACGACCAGTGAACTTCGAAAGTGAAAAAGGAGAAAGCAAGAGAGCTTCGTTAGCGAATTAGCTAAATGAACTTTCGAAGGACGGTACGCGATCCCGAGGCGAAGGAGAGCTCGGTGCCATCGTATCACAACAAGAGCTCGTCACGATTCAGCCCCGACAGCGCTAATCCCGTACGTCTCTCTCCCCTCGGTTCGATAATGCATTTAGCGTCGGCAAATAATACACCTAACGAACCTGGCCAAGAGAGAGAGAGAGAGAGAGAGAGAGAGAGAGAGAGCGTGCCACCGCTTTTTCAAAATTTACACGCTTTTCAAGCTCTACGATCATCGTTGTTATTCGGCGCGGCCTCGCCCACGCGCCGGGCGGCGCTTCGCATTTTAACCAAACGAACGCGATTACGGCCTCGTGCACATCTTCCCCGCGGCAATGTATGCTCGAACCCGAGCAAGTAGATCTCGCGTTGCGTCGATCCGAGCAATGATTTTTAAGGGAATCCAGCGACACACCCGCGACTTTCGTGCCCTTGTCCGCGTGGCGCCTCCCCCCTCGAGGAGCTGGTAGGCCATTTGCGGCGGCGGCGGCGGCGACTCCGATGCTTTGACGACCGTACACAAAAGTCGGATAGACACAACGACACAACGACACAACGTAACGAATGGAGGCAGCTCGCGCTTATCGCGGCGCTGGCTCTCGGCGCGCCCAGGGGGATCGGGGGCGTAAAAATGGGGTACGGATGGGGTGACGCGTGTAGTAGGGTGCAGATATGGGCCGCTATACTATGTAGGCCAGTCGGACGTAGAAAAAGACTGAAAGGGCTCTCCGCGCGGCGCGTCGGCGGCAACTTGACCCACTCGCGCTATCAAGCGTTCGTATCGCCGTGTTTTTCCATTACCTCGGCCAGCCCGCCTTCGTACGCACTCCGCAACGATAAAGAAAAGACTAAAAAAAGCCTTTCGCCGAGATTCCCTTCTTCTTTCGAATCCTTGCGGCCAAAGCGAATCCACGCGTTCGCCTTCGCTACGGAAGAAAACTGCTTTGCAGTTCATTTTTATCAAGCGTGCGCGCTCTTGGTGTTACAAATGCAGGCTAAAAATGCAGCTGCTACGTTACAGCCGAGCTGGGCATATTTTTAATGCGCTATCAAATAAAAAAACTCAGCACGGTCGTGGGAGGGAGGAGGGGACCAGCCGCGCCAGTTGTTTGTCAAGTACTTTCCAAGTTAACTCGAACGTGAGAGAGTCTTAACAACCTTTTTTACGGGGAACTGTCGCGGCCAAGTTTGCGGCGCATATCAGCGCGGCTGCAACTGAAATTGGCCTGACCGGACAGCCACGCAGACCATTACTGAAGCATCAGCGCGAGATCAACGCGTGGAAAACCAGGAGGTGGGTGGGCGATTAACTAGAATAAGAGAGTTTGAGGGAAAATCTCCGGGGTAGAAATAATTGAGCGTCAGTGAAGTTGGCGGCCGAGATAGAGAGAAGCAAAGAAGAGAAGGGCGGGGCGCGCAAGAGTTTGAAAAAATATTGACTCAAGTTATCGCTCTTGGCTAAAAGTCTCAGCTGAACAAATTTCCACGACCCAGAAAAAAGCGAAAGGGGCCACGGAGGCTGGGAATTGAAAATTAGTTAATGCAATAATTGGTTGGGCTCGTTCACTCTCCGTGACGCTCGCAGCCCATTGTGCCGAGATGAAAATTGCAGCAGCGCTAGAGTTCATCTGATAAATGGCCTCAGCACGAGAGGGATGGCATCGTAATGTTGGTTATTCAATAATAAGAGTGGCCGTGCGCGCGCGCGCACGTGTGTGCTATGGGTGACGCAGTGCGTCGGGGGGAGAATTTTCCCGGAATGGCCTGTAAGAATCAATGCTGGTTGATAGCAGCGGCTCCCTTGCCTTCTCTCGCTCTCCTTCTGCGCAGTCGTCCAGCTCCAGCGACGCCTCGCCTGCCTGCCTGCCTGCCTGCCTGCCTGCCTGCTTCCTTGCCTGATTGCCTGCCCGCCCGACAATCCGAGGCAACGCTTATTTGTCGAGCAAAGCCAGCGCGCGGCAGATCGCGAGCTCTGCTCATTAGAGCCTCGTGAACTGGACGAGCGAAGAGGCGCGCGAAACGATATGTAAATGCCGCGCGGGACCCGCTTCTTTTTATTCTTCGGCCTCAGTTTGAAAACTCAGCCGAGGCAAAAAGTTGCACGAGAGCCGCAGCCGCCGTTGCCGCGCCCAAGCCATGAGAATTCGCGCGGACGACCAGTGAGTAACTTTCGCACGACGGCGAACACGCTTTTTCCCGTTGGCTAGGCACGCGAGTTTTAATGAATTCTCGATAATCGACAACGGCACGAGACCGAAAAGAAAGACCAACGGGATGTTTATCGACTGGTTCGATTTTTCAATCCCATTAGGTACGAGAGAGAGAGAGAGAGGAAGCAACTTAATCACTTACACGTAACTACAGCATAAGCGAAATATGAGAAATAGCCTTTTGCCCCTTTGAAGCTCTCTGCTTCGCCGAGTCGCGTCTGTGCGAGCTATTCGAGTGGAATAACGCGCGACGCTGCATTCCGATTTCGCATGCCCGGGATTTTTCAATCGGCGCGATACCAGCACAGCCGTGGCAATTCGATTACTACAGCTGTGCGCGCGCGCAGCTGTACAGGTTTAATGACGACGAGCTGAGCGGCTTTAATCACAGAGTACAGGCGTTCGCTGGAATCCGATGCGGCGCGTCACAATCGAGCCTCTTCTCTCGCTGCCCATGGTCATCGCGTGTGTCTGGTTTGCAGGCTGCTGCCGCTGGTGCCGATGGTGCTGGTGCTGGTGCTGGTGCTGGGGCCGAGCGCCGCCGGCGAGTCGCCGCTGGCAGAATCGGCTCGTCGGCGCATCCGCGCGCTCTCCTATCCGGAGGAGAGCCAGCTGGGGGTGAGCCTCGCTTCGGCTGCTTGGCATTCGGGGCCGCACGCGCCAATCCGGCAAAAGAGAGCCACTCAATTCGCGACGAACGCCCGCGCTCGGGCCGTTTGCGTTCGGCGAGTGTTATTGCGAATCGATTGCCGCGCGCAGCTGCGAACAACGGCCGAGCGCGCGCGGCCCGCTCGAGCGCTGATTGCCAGCGGCCACCTCGCGGCCGCCTCTCCCCGCGCAGCCTCGCGTGCCGGCTCTAATTAACGCGGCACCTTGCAGCTATTTTTCGCGCTCGCTCTGCCCCTTGACGAGCCGCGCTCGTCCCAGGCCGTCAACGTCGCCTTCTTCTTCGAGGCTAATTACAAGCTGCCCCGCGACGACGACCACGACCACGACGACGACGACGACGAGGAGGAGCAAGGGGAGACGAGGCGACAGCGGCTCGGGCGGGCCATCGACCGGACGACCCTGTACCGCGCGCTCGAGTCGAAATTCGAGTCGTAAGTAGAGAGTTTTATTATAGCAGTGACGAGGCGCGGCGAGAAGGCGAAGGCAGCTATAAATTCGCCGCCAGCTGCCGACTGAATAGTCGAATCCCACTATCGAGCCGAGTCGATATGCAGCATACGAAGACGTTCCGCGGAATACTAAGTATTCTGAGTAATCTCGTGTCGATTCGCAACGGAGTTGGAGAAATGGCAGCGAGTGCACCGCCGACTGCACGCCGAGGCGCGCGGGGCGTGCGTCGAGCGCGAAGCACCGGTCCCGTTGCTCGCTTCCGCCGTTCGCGACGGCCTTAACGCTCGCCGACGTGCCAATCCACTTAGCGCGTCTGGGCCCGAGCGGCTGAACCTCCGCTAAACCGCGCGCCCGGCGCCGTTCCGTTTGCGACGGGCGCTTCCGGCCTCCGCCGCGCCGTTCTCGACGACGCGCGCTGCACGGCACAGCGCGAGCATGCTCGGGCTCCTTTCCATCGGCCCATCGATCGGAAGTCGCGGCTACGACTGCCGCGCGGAGCCAGTCGGAGCCGCGGGACAGGAGCGAGCGACGACCCGAGCCTTGTTCTTGCCGGTACTGCTCGCGACCGCGCAGGCTGGGACTCCCGGGTCGGCAGTGCTTGCTGAGGTCCATCTGCGAGACGGCCAGGGAGCTGCGCCCGGAGCACCGGCACAATGGCCTCGTCGGCGATCTCATGCGGATCACGTTCACGTAAGTCGGCTGGGCTCCACCCCGACTCCGCTCCACTACTCTCGAGGCTCTCTCGCTTCCGCCTCTGGCGACTGATTTGTCGACTGACCCACGGCCGCACCGGCGCCCGCGCCGTGCCGAACGCGAGCGCGGAATCGCGCCGGCTTACCTTCTGCCTGGCTCGGGTCGCTCTGCTTTCGATCAATTATTTTTACGCACGGATCATTGGAGCGGGAAAGTGGGTTTCGAGGTGAGCAGTGCAGCGCCTGCAAGTGGACGCCGGCGCTGATCCGCCCGGAGGAGAAACGCAATCGACGAAAGCTAAACACACTTTGATACTTTGTGTGCGATATTTATTTGAGAGAGCTACAGTAATTAGCGAACGAGTACATAGCACGCACACGTAGCTTGGATAATGGGATTGCTGGTATCAGCGAGAGCGTAATTTCCGCGGATAAATGGTGAAATTGACGATGGGAAGAGTCGAAGCGGCGCGAGGCACGAGGCGCGGGCAGGAGGAAGAAATGAATGAATTATAGGCATTCGGAGCTCGCCGAGCGACGGACTTATTGGTGTATCGAGTATCGATTAAAAAATTCATAAAAGTCGGGCTGCCGGTGTCGTTGCTATGCGGATGAACGGCGAGGAGTGCGGAGCGGAGCGCGACGCGGTGGATGGGAGGAGGGCGGGAGGCGAAGCGACGGCTTGATCTACGTTTATGGTCGCAGGCCTTCGACGAGCGAGAGCGAGGAAGGAGCAGACTACCCGGAATACACGTCGGCCGAGGAGCACGGGACTGGAGATGGCCTCAGCGATTGCGCGGCGATCTACTGGCGCTGCCCGTTATCCATTTATCAGCACATAACCGGGACGCCCGAGTGAAGGATGGTCCTCCGCGGAGCCTCTCCGCGGCGAGCTTCGGCCACTTGGACGTTGTCCGCGCATCTGCGCGAATAAATCAGTTGAGCCGAGACGACGTGGTCTTTATTTCCCTGGCCGTCGTGGCCGCACTCGCGCCGGCGCTTATTTAAATTAATCTATGCAGAGAGGCGCGCCGCTTATCCCTTTGTGATTGCGAGCCGCGCTGCCGCTCCATTTGCATGAGTTCTTGCGAGCGGCCATCACTGCAGAACGCCAATCAAGTCGAAAAGTCCGAGCGAGCAGCTCGAGCGGTAATCGGAGCAGTCGCCGCTGCGCCCGGCCAGCTCGGCGCCGACCACCCCGTCTGGAAGCTGATCCTCCGCTCTGGAGCTCGACGGCCTGTGGGACAACGATACTTTCAGCCCTCGCTGCGCCTCGCTTCGATTCCATTCGCTCGAGGCTGCGTGGCCCGGCGATTCGATTACGCAGCGCTCTCTCGCGTCGCTAATTAAAAACATCTAAGACTTTGTCCGACTGGCGGCCGCGTCGGTTTTCAGCGACTCGCCCTCAAAGCGATAGCCGCGAGAAAAATGCAGCCGTGGCGCTGACAGTGAGAGGCGAGCAGAAAGCAGGAATTTGGCCCATTTTCCGGTTCATTTGCCGCCGCTCGCGCCTCGGCAAAATTGATTGAGACGCTCGTGGCGCTATGATAGTTTGAGTGAGCTGAGCTGACTTACGTGAAGACAACGCGCAAGACGTCTCCGAGCAAGCCATTGTGCAGCTCGAAAGGATGCTCCGAGGCCTCACAGATCGATCTTAGCAGGCAGTGTCGCCCAGGGAATCCAGCGCTTTAATCAAACCAGATACGACCAGCGTTACATTGTACCAGCCACATACGCCCTCGTCTGCCTACGGTTCTCTCTCTCTCTCTCTCTCTGTCTCGCGCTGCGCGCCTTAAAAATTTACCCGACACATCTTACAACGCCAACTGTACCTCGACTTTGCTCTAGACGAGCACCCTTACAACTTCTACTGCCAACAACCTCGATAACTTGTCTCTTAATTAACGACCGAGCTCGCCGGCTCTTCGCCTCTCGCTAATTACCAGCGGAATAGTTCGTTCGATTGAAAAACTCTCGACGCCTTTCCCTTTGTTTCGACCAACTTCGCCTCTTACCGGCAACATTTTTTTTCCTTTTCACCGGCCGTAACGAGTCGCGCTGCTCGGGCTGCCAATCGGAAAGCTCACCTCTCGAATCTGCTCCGAATGAGCGCGTAAACGGCGGACCGGTCGATGCTCCGCTTGCGACGGCTGGCGGGCAGCACCTCGGCCAGCAGACTCGAGTTGTCGGGCAAGCCGTAGTTGGCCTCGAAGAAGTACGACAGGGAGACCGAGTTGGCCGGGTCCTCCAGCGGCACCGCCAGCGCCACGAAGATCTGCAAGCAGCGCGCGCGTGAATCGGCCGCCGACGCGCGGCGGTCCCGTCAGAGCGGCCGTCGACACTTACGCCCGTGTTGCTGACTGGCGGAAACGAGGCGGCACGGATCGGCCGCTGCAGGATGTCGGCTATTTCCGAGCTGGACGCCTCGGCCCCGGCGCCTCCGCCGCTCGCCAGCAGCAGCAGCAGCACCAACAGCGCCAGCGGCGCGCCACTCGCCACGAGTGCACTCATTTTTAACGAGCTTCCGAAGCCGGCCGGAGATAAGCTGCCCACTGGCCGCCGAGAGGCTCTGCCGCCGCTCGCCAGACGCGACGTCGCGAGGCCGCCGGGCGCTAAGTGGCGGCCGTTATGTCCACGGGCAAGCTCGTTTTCGGGTGCGCGGCCCGGCCGCGAGTAGCTTCGCGACATGCGGCCGCGACTGGTGCTGTGCTGCGGGCTGGCGCTGCTGCTCGGCGGCGCGAGCAGCGACGTGGCCCGGAGGAGCCTGCTCTACCCGCGACCCGGCGACAGCGAGACCAAAGTGCAGGTAAGCGACTGGCGCGTCGAGTCGTGGCGAGCGTCCGACGAGCCGGCTCTTGTTGTCGCGACCCAGGTGCTGTTCGGCCTGGGACTGCCGATGGAGGGGCAGACGTCCATGACGCTGGGCTACGTCGTCAAGTGCAACTACGATCTGCCCTACAACGCCTCGCGATCGTCGCGAGGAGCGGGCGCCGGCGGCGCGACCTCGAGGTGGAGCCTCTACGGGATGCTCGCGGCGGCGCTGGGCAAGAGCTGCCTGCTGCGGGCGGTGTGCGAGGCCGCGGAGCTGCCGCTCGCCTCGGCCGAGCGCGGGCTCGCGGGTCAGCTGGTCCGGCTGCTGCTCGCGCCCTCGGCCACGCGGGAGCGCTACGAGCTGTACGCCGACCGCGAGTACCATGCCGCCGAGGCCAAGGGACGCGGCGGCGACTGCTCGCACTTTCGCCGCGACTGCAACTACAGCCTGCTGGACTACTTCACGCGCGTTGTCCACGCCTGAGCGCGGCCCCGATGTACGAGCCGAGCCGCTCGCAAATGCGAATAAAAATCATCCGCCGACATCCAGCCCAGAGCTGACGGCTCTTTGTGTGCGTCATTTGCCCGAAGCCCCCTCCCTGCCTGCGAACCAGTCATAAGCGCGCTTTGATCTGACGCGGCCGCGCGCGCGCATTATTAAAATTTTCCGCGGAGAAAGATGCAGCGCCGGCGAGAGCCTCGGGGGGATAATGAATTCGAATCGAGGCGCCCGCGCGCGCGGCTGTCGAGTTTTAAAGCGGAGCGCCCCTTAGTCGGCGGCTGGCCGGAGCCGAGTTGACGGAACAGGGCTCTATGGATTATGCGTCCCGGGGCCAACTATTCGGCCAACTTTTCCATCTTGTTAAAGTTGTCGCGCAATTTTAGGAATTTCATGCCTCTCTCCCGCTCCAATCGATCGATGCCTCGGCCCCCGCGTCAAATTATACGCGTCGACTTTATCCAAGTCCCGCGCAAACTTTTCCAGCGCCCGCGCCCAGAGAAAGAGAGAGACAGCGGGACAACGAGAGAGGCGCGCCCAGCATTCTTTTCGCAGCACCCGGTCGTCGATTGATTACACAGTGTCCCCACCCCCGCGCCCACCGAGCACCGAGGACACCCTTTCTCCCGTTGATCCTTTTTCGCTTTGAAAGGCCGCAAGCTTAGTGCTCCGTCGGCTATAGAGCACCGCAAAATGCATTTGATTCCTCGTTTAGTCTGCCCTGTCGCTCGCCACCGCGCCAATTTCCGGCCTTGATTGGTTCCGCGCCAACCAATCGTCATCGGATTTGCACGCCGATGCATACCTGCAGCGAGGAGAAAACTTGGAGCTTTCGGCAAATTTGCAACGAATTTGTCGATTGCTAAACAAGAACGTAAAACTGAAGCGGCGAATGCATAATGAAACGCGTTGAGCAGAAAGAGCTGGAAAGCGGGAGAGAGATAGCAACATTAAGAAGATGGTTTATTCAGTGACGATAAACTGGTTTGAGAGATAGGCCTGTATATAATTGATGGCAGTTTATCGAGGCTGCATCGCGGCGGCAGCGCGATTAAACTTTCAAGCGTCTATCGGTCAGAGGGCGGAGGGCGGAGGGCGGAGGGCGGAGGGCGGAGGGCGGCTAAACGGAGCTCGCTTCCGATTATAATTCTGTCGCGGGGGGTAGGAAAGGAGGAGCGACGAGAAGTGGGTAAAACCTCGGTCACCGTGGACTCGGACTCGGCTGAAAGAGTAATGAGCGAAAGAATGCGCTAATTGAAAAAGGCTGTGGATAATGGTGTCGCGATCCAGTTTAATTATCGGTTCATCAGTCGGACCGAGTAGGGGCAGAGGAGCGGCGCAGACAGCCTGACGAGAGGAGACGGATGGAAGGATGGCGGTTGGGGGAGGGGGCGGAAAGCCGATTAAAGGCCCGCTGAAAATTGGCGATGGATAGCGCCTTGGGCGACGTTAACAAACGCTAAACGCGAGCGCGGCGCGTCCGAGCCAGAGACAGGCGGACAGGCAGCCAGACGCGAGAATGCGATTAGCCGGAGCTTTTGACGTGGGCCGCCTCCGCCTCGCGAGCTGCTGGCTGCTCGCCGCCACCGTCGGCGCATGCGGTGTCGTCGCCACAGCCCCGAGCGAGCGCGTCGCGCCCAGGTATCTGGTCTACCCACCGGCCGTCGGCTCGGCCACCAAGGTCCAGGTAAGCCCGTGCGCCTGCTGCTCCACTCGCGACCAACGACGACTCACCACTCGCATCGATACCTCGCACGACAGTTCATATTTGGCCTGGGCATACCCATGGAGGTGGACGTCAGCACGATCGTCGGCTACGTGATCAAGTGCAACTACGACCTGCCGTACAACGCGTCCTATCTGGCCGAGCCGTACGCGCGCCACGCCAGGTGGTCGTACGACGGCGCCGACTCCTCCGCAGGTATTGCGCTAATCGATCGATCGTGTGCGGCGAGCACCGCGTAAGCCATAATAGTCATCGCAGACGGATCAGCGATCGGGCGATGGCCTTCGAAGGGACGAAAGCCCGAGAGTGAAAGCCGCAGCGACAGGCTGGCCCGGCTCGTTCGCGTCGATATGGCGTATTCTTATTTATGTCGGCGAGAGCTCTTTCGTCCCAACAAAGGCCCCCCCTACACCGGGGGATTGCCGCTTTTATCCAGCTAATCGCTTGGCTCCTTCCATTCTTCGCCCGCACAGATCATCCGCTAAGACGCGGACCGAAGAATGGCTGAAAGAGGCGGCGCGCGAGCAAGCAAAGTAAATCAAAGTTGCGTTTCCAGGCCCAGTCGACTCGCCGGCCGGAATCCAACGAGCCGGCATTTATCAAATGATCGAGGCAGCCATCTCCAGTGGCTCCCAGTTCGAGGGCAAGCCTTGCCTCTTGAGAGCCATCTGCGAGGCCGCGGCGACGCCCTTCGACTCTCGCCGCTCCAGCGTCTTCGCTGGACTGCTGCACATCCTGCTCACGTGAGTCTCGAGCGTTCTCTTTCGGCAAGGCGGTCGATTCCCGCTTCGCGAAGCGTGGCCGTGACTTACGAGCCGTTCTTGGGTTTTGCAGACCGTCGAGCACAGCGGAGCCGATCGACCAGCAATACCTGGCGGCCGAGCGGACGGGCGGCCGAGCCGGCGGCGGCGGCGGCGAGTGCGCGCGTGCCTTCGCCGAGTGTCGCGCCAGTTTTTTGGAGTACTTTAGCGAGATCCACTAGGCCACCGGACCCGGGCGAGTGCAATTTTCCGAAATCGCCTACGTGCCCCGTTGCGCGCTTATTGGCAGTTTGCCGGGGCGCCCCGTTCGACGATTAACGCGCTGCCCTCCGATCGCTCGGCCCCGCGCTTCTTGCCCTCGCTCTCACTGACGTCGCGCGGCCGGGATTTCTCAGCTTCGCTCGTTGCGTGCCCCGCGCGATCCTCCTCCGTCCCCGAACAACCGCCGCTGCCTTCGTCGGTCCGAGTATGTCCAGAATCGGGCTATAAATACGTTTCATCCAATTACGCGGACAAGCGCGCGGCCAGGTCTCTTCCCCAGGACCTAGAGAGGGAAGCGTCGGATCGCGCCCGAGCGAAGCTACTGCCATATATTCCTCTTTGCGCGCCCATCGTCGAGCGTTGGCAAAATTGTTGCTCACGGCACACCGCCGTGGCGTCGGCAACGCGCTGGTCGTTGGGCGGCTTCGACGGCGTCGACGAACGAGCATTGACGATCGACGTGGCGCGAGGTGGCCGCAGCGAGCGGCAGTTTTATCGGTTCTCGATAAGCATGTAGCGCCGCGTAAAAATCCCCAACAGCCCCTGCGAGCAGTGCAATGTTAATTACGAATTCCCGGCGGCGGATAAGCTCGTGTCCGGTTAAACAATCAATGGACTGGATCGCGAAGAGCTGAGCCGGGGCCAGCGAGCTTTCGCCGACGGCGACGATACAGCGGACTTTGTGCCATTATGTCGGCCACGAGCGCGAGCTCGCTAAGCGTATCGATCCGGAATCGCAGGTACTTAGCTGTTGCTTCGGGGTCGAATCTGCAAAGCGGCTCGATCGCGCGGTTAGGCTTCGCGTGTCGCGGCTGCGGAGTTTAGCACGCGTTAATTGCCGGTGCTTCGGTGTCGCGGTCGCAGCCGATTCATTAGGCACTTTTGGATAATGGGCAAAGACAACTCGGCGGGAGACGGCCGTTACGAGCGCGCGGCGAGGAGGAGTCGGCGACGAGGCGATCCGTTTCACGCTACTGCCCGGCGAGACTCCAGTCTGGGCCTCGTTGCAGCAGCTCGCCAGCCATGGGATTCGCAAGCGTCGTCGTCGTCGTCGTCGTCCTCGTCGTTGCCGGCTGCTGCTGCCTCGGCTGCGCCGCCGACTCGCCGCGCCTGGCCGCGCAGTCCCACGGCCACGCTCACCATGCGTCAGCCTCTTCGCTGCTACGCCCGAAGCGAACCCTCGCCTATCCCGCGCCGTCGACGCTGCTGGTAGGTTCACTGGTCGGGTACTCCTCGACTCGGACGCGATCGGCCGTGGCACGGCCTCGTTGGCATTGCTTGCCCGAAGAGTGTGCCAAAGCGGCGCGTCGCGGCCTGATCGCCGCTCGTCGATTGATCGGCGCGCAGCGGACTAATATTAATCGCGAACCCGTTAACGACCTTCGTTCACTAGTGCTCGTCGCGCTTGCAGAACTGCGCTACCCCTCCGATATTCAAATTGGCTGCTAACGCATTCTCCGCCGAGCGCCGCCGTCGGCTTTCGACCGAGTATTGGATTATTCCAGAGATGCAAATACATTTCCCGCGACGGCGTCGAGTTTTCGCGCTGTTTAAATGGAACTCCGGCCATTGTTTCAGCGCCAAACTTTTCATTCGATTCTCAGAGCCGATAGCCCGCGCTACTTTCCAAGCAGCGCGCTGCCTTCTTCTCTCCGGGTTTTTCTCTTTCTCTTTCTCGCTTAAAGATTCATTAAGACCTGTTGCGTGGTACTTGCCAAGTAACACTAGTAACAACTTACCGGCGAAGGCGAGCTTACGATAACAGCAGCTCTCGAGTCTCTCGCTGTTCTGCGCAGCTGATCCTCGGTCTGGGCACGCCGCTGCAACTGGAGCGCGAGAGCGCGATCGTGGGCGCGTTCGCCAAGATGATCTACGCGCTGCCGAGCAACGCGACGGCCGACTCGACCGAGGCGGACGCGCGACGCGCCAGCCGCAGCCGCTGGTCGCTCTACCGCAGCGTCGCCCAGCTGGCCGAGCTCTACGGCTTCGGCGAGGGCAGGGCGTGCGTGCTGCGCGGCATCTGCGAGGCGGCCGCGGCACCCTTCGACGCGCACCACGGCCTCCTCCACCAGCTGCTGCAGACCTTTCTGTCGTGAGTGAACCGTCGCCCGTCGACTCGATTGGCCGCCGCCAGCCGATCGCCTAACCGTGCGCCTCGCGCTTGCAGGCCGTCGAGCAGCGAGGAGGAGTACGAGCAGTACCAGGACCGCGAGTACCACGCGGCCGAGCGGCTGGGCGGCCGCCTCGAGGATCGGTCCGGCTGCCACGCCCTCTACCCCGAGTGCCGCGCCAGCTTGCTCGACGTCTTTTCCGGTGTCCGCCGCCGCCGCTGACTCCGGCTCCGTCGCGGCCAAGCGCCACGGGACCTCGGCCGTCGGCACGAGCTCTCGCTATCCTGTCGTTCGCCTGATCGTCAGAACGATCCATCCAGAGAGGGCGAGAACGAGAAAGCTGTCCGCCGGGGAATCCGAAATTACGCAGGCGCTGTCTCTACCAGTTTTAGACGTGCAGTCTTGATTTTACAATGTGCAGACTCCGGCCCGATTCCCTTTGCCCGTCGTTCCCGCTGCTTATGCTGGATCGAGCCTTCCACCGTATTCCCACCTCGTCTCACCCCAGCTCGCGCTCGCCGGCTAATCGCTTTCCGATAAAAACGGCGAGTGTCTTTCGGCTTGAAACACTCGCAAATTGACTTTTCACGATGTAGTCCACGCCGAGAGAGCTCGCGCCGGGAAGCGTCGCGACTATCTCTGCGGGTACTCTCGCCCAGCTTGTCCATTGTTCTCGAATCCGTTTCCAGCTCTCAAAATCCAAATCAGCTTGGCGTGGTCGGGATGTAACGCGGCTCGAACGCGGTAAACCGACGCGACATCGTTGCGTCCGGGCTCTCTCGATCGCCAAGCACCGGAATAAAGGCAGGGCTGACGAACGGAGGAGGAAAAAACCGACGAAAAAACCGAAGAAAAGAGGCGGACTCGAGGCGCACCCGCAGCTTGTAGCGCTTCCGAATGGCCAGAAGCGCGCGCACGGCACGTAATGGCATACGCGCGGCGGAAAAAAGTATCGACAGGGGATCCGTTGGACGTCCTGCATTAGGAAAAGCCCTCGAATTCGCTGGTGCGGAGTGACGTGGAAATACTCGTATCCGCCGGTAAATCCGCGAGCGCGCGCGCGCCTCCGGACAATGCGGTTATTAAGGGGGATGATCAAGCGCAAACGAGTAGGACACGGACTCTGCTGGTCGTCATCGATCTTTCCGGCCGCCACTCGACGCTAATTTCGGCGAACGCAAGCGGCACCATATGCATCCCGCTGACTTGTATTGGAAAATTGCACCGAATAAAAAGTACGTTTGACAGCACAGCCTATCTGCGGAATTTTCTTTTTTCCTTGTCCATTGGTCGAGAAAGATTTAGAGGAGGCTCGCCGGGGGACGGGCGAGAGGGGCAGCGGACGAAGACGAAGAGGAGCGAGCGGAGTGGCATGTCCGAACTAATCGCAGCCGCTACTGCGAGACGGAAAAGAAGGGAGGGCCAGCGAAGATTTGGCGGCTTTCAGCTTGTCGTATCGATTGACTTGGACGCGAGAAGCTCCGGCGGCACGGTCGGCAGAGCGGCACTCGCGAAGTCTCGCAGCGCCGCAGCTGCGACTCACCTTTAACGCGGCGGCCCGTGTCGAAAGCAGGGCGGATCGCCGCTAGCCGAGCTCCCGGCTGGTCTTCGAGCCGAGCCTGCAAGCTACGCGCAGATGAGCGCGCGAAAACTTGGCCGTCCCGAGTCAAACGCTTGCCGAATGTCCGATTCCGAGGGGCTCTGCCGGGTCGGAGACTGTCCGTGCGCCGAGGCCGGCGGCCGCAGCATGTTTGCGCGGCGGCAGGTACACTGCAACGAGCTTGATCAACTCTGTTTAGATTAGGGATTCGTAAGCCCAACTACGCTGCCGCCACCGGTCTCTCTCCGATAACACGGCTACGTCAGCAGCAGCTCGCCCGACCCCTCGAATTTTACGCGACCAGCGGGGCCGGCTGCGCGCGCAGCGTCCGCCTCCGCGGGCAAAGCGTCAACGCGTTTTCCTAATCGGATGCCTTGTTCCGCTCGGCACGGCCGATTCCCGCAAGCTCGTTAGGCGCACGTGCACCAGGGCACGCGCCATTGTGCCCGCTCGGCTCGACGCCTCGACCGGGCGCCCGCTGCACCCAGTCTCATTGGCGAAAGCGACTCGGCGCGGGATTAACGAGCGCGATTATCGGGGCGCCCGCGCACTCGTCGATCGCGCGACGAGGCTCCGGCGAGGCTCCGGCGAGAGCCGGGCGGCAGCGATTGGCGGCGAATAACAAGCATCCTGATTGATTTCCGGCCTCTCGGCGGCCTCGCGGAAATTCAAGCGGAAATGAAAGCGAAGGCCCCCCCGCCGCGTCGAACGAGTCGCGCTCTCTCCCGGGCTCTCCTTTAGCTCGCGCTCCGCAGCGCCGAGGCGCCGAGGCGCCTTGTCCGCCTGGGCCAGCCGGCCGACTGCCGGAAGGAAAGGGGCAGGCGCGCAGATCGACAAACTGCAGCTCCGATCACGATCCGATTTCAGATCACGGACCGTGATCGAGGGAGGCAAGCGCTCGGCGGCGCTCCACGGGAAATGAGAGCGCGTGTCGCTCGCGCGGCTCCGGCGAAAAAGGCTCGGGGCCGCGCGCGCTTTCGCTCGCTGCCGGCTATTGCAACTGAGCAAACTCGCTCCACGTCATTATCTCGTCCTTCAAAAGACTCGCTCCCGGCTCTCCGCGCGTGTGTGCACAGAGAGACGCCGCCTCCGCCGCACTGCGAGTGGCGGAGTTGTGTGCTCGCCGAGGCGGAAGCAGGATACACGAAGAAGACGCATCGGCCGCCTCCCTGGGGGAAAAATTACTCGCTCGCTGCAAGATCAACATCGGCAAATCAGATTCGGCGAGGCAACGAGTTGGTCCCGCGGGAGCGCGGGGAGGTGGGGAGCGCCCACGCGGCCTTAACGAGGCGTAAGATTTTTTCACAGCGCCCAACTGGTTTAGGCGCCTGGGCGAGCTCGAGAATTCGGCTTGGCCACTGCAGCGGGCCGATGACCGCGAGCGAGCAAACAGTCTCGCGGCGCAGCTCGGAGAGCGAGCGAGCGAGAGAGAGAGAGAGAGAGAGAGAAAGAAACAGGAAACAGTCGCGATGCCGCCGCCGCCGCCGCTGCTGCTGCCGCTGCTGCTACTGCTGCCGCTCGCTCTTGCCAACGATCCGCCGCTGCTGTTCGCTCAATCGAGCGTTTTTCAAGTAAGCCAGCGCAATCATTGGGCGCTGCTGCCGTCTCTGTCGCTGCGGCAATCGATAACTCGTCGCTTGCACCGCTGCTCTCGCTCCCTGCCTCTCCCGCAATGCAAACTCCGGGCATAAGACACAGAGCCGGGATTTCCAGAGCGCAATTCGGGTTAGCCTCGTTTTCTGCTCTGGAAAGCCGCGCGCCAGCCAGATACGCCCGGAGTAATGAGAAAAAGTGGAAAATCGGAGGGTCGGCAGCGAGAGCGGGAGGTCCGCGTCCTGCCAATTAGGCTGGCGCGCGAATATCGGCCCTCGGGATAACGAATGGCCGTTCGCAGACGAGAAAGTGCCGCAATTAGAGCCAGCCGGCGCCCGTTTCGCGGCGCGCCTCCCGAATCAGCTCGGCGCGCCTTCTAATAAGAGCCGCAGTTCACAGTGGGCACCTCGATGCCGATCGCCGCGGGCGCGAACGGCGCCCTCGCCGTCAACTTGGGCTACCAATTCAATTACGCGCTGCCGTCGAACCTGAGCCAGCTCGAGCCGACGGGCCCGCGAGGCCGCGTCCGCCGAGGAGCCGAGCGGCCTGGCACGGGCCTCGACCTCGTCGACGTCTACCTGTCGCTGGAGGACACGCTGCAGCGGTAAGTTGGCGGACGACTGGCTGGTACGAGCTTGCGAGCGTGAACGAGTGCGCGCGGGCGGCCCGAAGGGGATCGGAGCCCTCGTCGCGGCGCTCGGCGGCCAACTCCAACGTAAATTAATTGGGACACAAGGCAATTACGGGCGCCGAGGTGTACGCGCGCATCGGAAGCTCGCAAGCTCGGGATATTGGCTCGTCTCTGCCGCGAGCTAGCTCGCAGGCTCGCCGGAGACGTCTGGCTTTGTGCCGCCTACTCAGAGTTGACGGGCGCTTGTGCAGCCACGGCTGGGGAGACGCGCGCCAGTGCATGCTGAGGACGATCTGCGAGCTTGCCGAGGCGCCACTTCACGGCAGGGCCGACCACGTCCTCGAGGAAATCATCCACTTGCTGCTGACGTGAGCGCTAATTATCAAGTATTTTGCCTCCCCCGTCAGCCGCCTATGGAATTAAACGGCGCGTTCGCTGCGGCAGCGCGTCGCATTTTCAGCAGACTGCGAACCGTCGCGCGAGGCTGCGAGGAGCGTCGTGTATTTTACGTGCCTCTCGACTAATTAGGCCAAACCGTCGATTCGGTCGAAACGTCTCTCCTTGGCAGACCGAGGCACTTCTTTATAGAGCCGGGAAAGCCGCGCGCACCCGGAACACTGATTCTCGTCAAATTGACACTCGCATTTTCCGCGCTGTCGTTGCGCGCGCGCTCCCCGCTTCGTTTTTCCAGCGCTCCGAATCGAATTTCCGGCCCGCTCCGAGACACTCGCGTCCGACGAGTAGGCAAAGGTCCTTTGACGGATTCTCGAGCGCAATCTTCCTTTGAGCGCGCTCCGATAGAAGCGACAATTAAAGGCGCTTTTGTATGGCCGCTGGCTTCGGCCGAAACGTGCCATTGACGCTTGCAGGCCGTCCGAGGACGGAGGCGGCGACGGCCCGTTGCGCCAGTACGAGCAGGCCGAGCTGCTGGGTCGCAGCGGAGCGGGCCAATGCGGAGCGACCTACGCCGGCTGCCTGGGATCGCCGCTGGACGCGTTCACCGTGCTGGCCGCGCCGCCCTGAGCTCGCCCCAAGTCGCGCGGCTCTCTCGGCGCACATGCCGATCGGACCCTGGAGTCCCCGGCCGGAGCGCGCCACCGTAAAGCCCGCCTCCGAGTTTGTTCCGTGGAAATGCGATTAAAGCCGATGGTAAACAGCTGTACTTTCGACGCTCGCCCGAGCCACGTAAATAAATGCCCTCTGCACACCCACGCCTGCTTTTTGATTGTTCGCCACACGACGCGGGCACCTGCGCCACTCACTTCGCTCGGCACGCGCAAGTAACCGGCGCGAACGAGCGCGGCGCTATAGACAATTAAGTTTCGAACGATCCGCGTCGACGCGCCGGACGCCAGTCGACAATTTTAATGGGCGCGCTTTGCCAAGGTTTTTTTCTCTTTTTTCGAAAAGCCGCTGCGCCTGTTTGTCGACACCGCGAACGAGCGGCGCCCTGGCGCGGTCCGTCGACGCGCGGCTGGTGATCGAATATTCGGCATATTCGAATACGAATGGCAATTTCATCGACAATTAGGCTGCCGAATTGATCGAGCGCCTCATTACTCGTCCGACCGCGTTCGAGCATCGCGAGCGCTAAAAATTCAAATCGATACGAGATAATCGCCCCAGCGAAGTCGTCGGCGATACCAAAACGCACCGGCTTTATCTTTATTAATAAAGTTGCGAGCCTACGTCGCAGCGGCGGCGATGACGGCGGCGGCGGCGGCGGCGGCGGCGGCGGCGGCGACGCGACGCCGGCGGAAGAAGAGGAAAGTTGGCCGCGGCAATTCGGCCTCGTGCTACGTGGCCTCGTCCCGAAACTTGGCAGCTGCTCGCCGTTACGAGCGCAAGGCGATGCAGCTCAGCTGCTGATAAAGTTGTCGGAGTCACGCATCAACGCATGACGTAACTCGTGGCGGGCGCAGCGTAGGCATAGCAACGCGCTCTTTCGAACGCGCGTCCGCGGGCGCTGGAGCGCTGCCGAATATTTGTCTTGGCGTTAGCGAGACACGAGGAAACAAGTGGCCTCGAAGCGGGAAAAGACCGGCCGCGCGCGCGAGAGAGAGCGAGAGAGAGTCACACGTACACAGCAGCCAGGCAGACGGTCGCTGAATGTAAATTCGGAGTGGCGCGGCCTTTGACGGGGAGCTCTTTCTTTTCCGTCGCATCGCGCGCACGTGGCTCGCCTTCCCAAGCGAGCTCCTCGTCGAATCGCGGCAACGACGCTGCAGCCAATATCTAACTCGCTAACTTATGCGACTCGCTCTATCTCGACTCTCTCTGCCGGCGAATTTTCATCAACGACCGAGAAAAGCAAAAGCCATGCTGCGCGCCGGAGCTCTCTTGCTCGTCCTCGGCTTTCAAAGCTGCCTGCCGAGCCAAACGACGCTGCTCCGCGACAAGAGGCAAGCTCTTCTGCCGCCTCCTCTGGTTTACCCTTTCGGCGGCACCTTGAAGGTAAGTCCACTTCCACTTTGCACTTTTCGCCCCAATCGAGGCGACCGTTTCGAAATCAAGTGCTTCCAATCAGAGCCGACAATAAGTGGCGGCAAAGCGGGCCGAGGCAGAGCAAACGGACGGCCGAGCGCGAGGAAACGCTCGTCGGTCTCGCGACGCGAGCCGACAACCGGGCGAGCCCCCGAGCGGCCAAGGGGGCTTTGATCAAATTAAGCCGCTGCCCCGGCTAACTTTGCTCGACTTGCTCGGAGTCTTGCTCTCGTCGCGACGAAAACGGAATTTGCGGGTGGGGCGAGGAGAGCCGCTGCCCGCAGAAATAACCAGGGGGAAATAACCGACCGGTTGCAGTTGCTCGTGGGACACGCCATGCCCATCGCCCTTCCCGGCCGGACGCTCAGCTACTCGCAGAACCTGCAGTTCCAGTTCGCTCTGCCGCAGAACGCCAGCTTCTTCGCGGACTACTTCACGGCCAGGACTGGTGCGAGGCGACGCCGACAGACCGAGCTCCTCCACGAGCGCGCGACCTTCTACGGCTATCTGCAGCGCGAGGTCCACAGGTACGGAGCTTCCCGCCGAAAAGTGCTGAGCGCCCCCCAACCCAACCCCAACCCTCCCGCCATTCGACGACAGCGACTCGATATTAAAATTCGAATGATTTACGCGCGTCGGGCCTCGCCGCGAAATTGGCTCTCGGCGACGCGCCGCCCAACTGGCTCGGTGTCGTGCCGCTGCCAGCCGCACAGCTGCGGGCGCGGATTCAAATAGGGCAAGCAGCGATGCGCTAGTTGATTGCGCGTCTCGGGGCGCGGCTCGAATCTGCGGAAGTGGTCGTGAGGCAGGCGGCTCCTTTAACGAGGTCTCGCCGAAAGCGGCCCTTCGGATGCCCGGCCGCGAGCTCACGTGGCGTTGTCTGCTCGCAGGCGCGGGGGCCCCGGCAAGGAGTGCGTCAAGCGGAGCATATGCGAGTCAGCGGAGACGCCGCTGGGGGACCAAGGTCTCGTGGGCGAGATCCTGCAGGTGCTGCTCACGTAAGTCGCGCTCTTTTCGAGTCGAGGAGCCGCTCGGCGCCAAGTCACTCGAGTGGGCTTGCCGCGTGTGTCGCAGGCCGGACTACGGCTACGAGGGGCAAGGAGGCGCGCGCGCGCTGGACGAGGATTACCTGGCGGCGGCGCAACGGGGCAGGCGGACGGGGGACTGCGGACGGGCCTACGACTGCCCGAAGGGATTCGGCCTGCTGGATCATATTTCCCGGCTGCACGAGCGTGATTGACGAGCCCAGGCCGAGCGGAATCAATCACCCTCCAAGCAGCGGCCTGGCGCTCTTTCCGTGTACACAAGCGGCTCCCCTTTGCCTCGTTGTGCCCGTGCCTGAGCACTTGACGCCTAATAAAAGCGAAGCTTCGATCAGTCGATGCGCTCCTTCAACCCACCTGCCCGAATTCCAGTGGCGTTTTGCGTCAATGACCGTCGAGGTTTTTTCGACGCGGCAGATTTCGAGAAACGCGTGTGGGCCGATCTCGTTAGCAACGAGAGCCCACTAATGACCGGCTGCGAGGCTGCTGCTGGCCGTGCCATCGAAGCGACGCGGAGAGAGAGAGAGAGAGAGAGAGAAAGAAAAAAGAAGGAGGCGAGTTAGGCCGTGGAGTGGGCTGGAACGGTTGGCCGCGAGGCTAGCAGCCACGCCAGCGAGGATAATTAAAAACAGTGGCGCGCTCGATCGCGAACAAAGGAGCAAGTTAAGGGAGGAAAGTTGGGCCGCAGACAGGGCCAATCCATTTGGAATCGCCGCTGGCAAGGAGAAGAGAAAAAGAAAGAGTAAGGAGAGCTTAAATCTTGGCATTCATTGTTCGCTTCTTAAACAAGTTCTTTATGCTTTCTCTCTCTCGCTGTCTGTATCGAGCTCAAGACTCCGGTCAAAGAAGCCGCGCCGCTCCGCGGGCTCGACGTCGATTGCGTTTTCGCGTGCGGCCGCTTCCATTGTCCGCGCCACTTTCTTTTTTTCTTCTCCTTCTGCCCGCTTCGCCCGCAATTCCACGGATGAGGAATTATATCGCTGACCCGTAATTGTGTATTATCCGCGGCTACGCCATCACCTACCCACTCTCCCTCTCTCTCTCTCCTCTCTCTATAAATCCTCCCAAAGTTTGATTTACGCCCGGACTTTTGTCTAACGTTGGTCCGCGATAAATCGAGTTACATTGAAAAAGTTTGGTCGAGCTCGGGATAAATATAGGCAGCTCGGCTATGACGAGCGAGTCGATGACGCGGCACGCGCTGGCCGACAGGCCTCGCAACGACGCCTTGGATACGTCAACCGAGTAGGCGGGAGTAGGTCTTTGTCGGCATTAATCGAATGAAGCCAGTTCGCCAGGCGGCAGCTACTAATTGCAGCAGCGAGGGACAAATTGGCGGAAACTCCCGCGGGACAGGGCCACGCGAAGAGGGCGAGCGCACAAGTTGGGAGCGGGCTGCGGACACCGGAACCGCGCGAATGTGGCGGCGGTGGGCACTGCTGGCGCTGCTGGCGCTGGCTGCGGCGGCGGGCGAGCGGCCCAAGAGACTCGCCGTCTTCCGCAAAGGCAGCACGTTCTTCGTGAGTACGACGGAGGAGGAGCGCGTCGGGCCGACGGGACGCGCGAGCCGAGCGAGGCTCGCGCGTCCCGTCGGCCCGGAGAGCCGAGGGCTGCTCGGCTGACGACGGCCCTCGCGCGTCCGCAGTACCGGCTCAACTACAAGGTCGGCGCGCTGCCCTACACCAGCACGTTCGCGCAGGCCTCGGGCTTCAAGGTCGGCTGGCCGCTGCCCCAGGCCACGGCCGGCCGCCGCCGCCAGGGGCTGTCGGCGCTCGAGCTGCGCGACGGCGCCCGGCTGCTCTACGACAGGTGAGCGCGCGACGACGACGCGTCCCGACCCGCGCTCAGGCGACGCTCGGTGTGCTTGCAGACACGGCCTCGACGGCCCGGCGTGCCTGACGCGCAGCCTCTGCCAGACGATGCGGCTGCTGAGCAAGCAGGACGGGGCGCTCGCCAAAGTGCTGCACCTAATGGCTGGGTAATCGCGACCGCTCTGCCCGACTCGGCCGCTCGGCGGCGCGCGCATCAGCTATTAATTGGATTGATTTGCAGGTCTAACGGGGCCAACAACGCCACGTCGCTGCTCGATCCACTCGTCTGCAGGAATTACGCCAATCATTGCCCGCTGCACTCGCTCGGCTTCGCCGCGTTTGCGCAGCGATGAGTGCCGCCTGCCCTCGCCCCGTCGCTCCGCGCTCGGCGCTCCTCATTAGCAGCCAACCGGATTTTCCGAAATCCGCTCCATGTGTACTCGATTCAATAAAGTCCTCGTACGCCTCACCAACGATCAATTTGCACATTTTTTCACGAGAGCCCCGCTAATCGGCAGCCCCGTTATATCGACACTGCGGCCTCGCGACAAGCAGGCAAGCCCTGTGACGCGAGCAGCGGGCCACGGCCAAACAGAGCCACGACCGCGTGTTTGCCCGGCGAGTTATGCCTGCGAGTCTTCCCGCGGGTGCGTCGAGCTCGCCGGTGCCTTGTCCTCATCGCGGCATGGATCTCGCGAGGCTGCCCTGCTTGCTTCTGCTCGCCGCGGCGATCGCGGCCCCGGCGCTCGCCGAGCCGGGCCGCCTCGCGCGGCCCAAACGCCACCTCGTCTTTCCTCGGGGCAGCAACGTGCAGGTATCGTTCGCGAGCGTTGCTGCAGTCGAACTGACGCGCGGCGGATAACGCAGCCGAACGTTTCAGCTGGTTTACTGTCTGACGATCGGGGCTTACGCGCCTCGCCAAGGAGATTTGGTGCTAGGACTGACGGCGGCACTCGCTTGGGAATTGCCTAGCAAAGTCGACGAGAAACTGACGGGCCTCCTGCACCGTCGCTCCAGGGCCGCCGTTTACCCTAAAATCGAAGCGTTTCTGCACTCGTGAGTATGCAATCTCTCTCTCTCGTCTCGTCTCGAGCCCTTGCATACCCATGCGCCGCCTCCGACTTCGACTTTTGTAAATCCCCGCTGACACACCAGCTCTGTCGCGGCGTCGATTATTCGGGCTTTCCGTTCTCCCGCGCTTCGCTCGTCTTTTGTAGCGCTCGGACGACAAATGCAAACGATCGCGCGAAATATCACGGCGATAACCCGTTGGTGGAACGTCAGCGCCGCGAATAGGCCGGCCCACCGCGTCCCGGTGAATAAACGAAGGGCGAGAGCTCTGGCGGCGCGAAGCACGCGGCCCTGTTTTTATTAATGCGCCGTCGCGCGGAAGTCACGCCGAGTGGGTACGCGTACAATCCGATGTCAGGACATCGAGAGCGAGCGAACGACCGAGTGCTATTCTTCGCGGGAGGATGCATGTCATATCCGGAACGAGTACCGAAGCGAGCTCGCGAGGGTGCGCGGGGCGCGGCAGGTTTCGCGCGGACAGTTAAATTTTCGTCGAGCCGTAAAAGTTGCTTGCTCGACGGCCGCAGATATTGGATTAGGCGTTTTACGCGCCAATCCCGATCCGCTCTTCCGAGAGTAGCAATGAAAGAACGAGAATGGCCAATGGGACGTCTCGTTAATCAACGAGAGGCGCGCTGCCGGAGGCAAGTTGCGAGCGCGAGAAAGGGCGAGGAGGAAAAAAAGTTTATCGGATGAATGGGATTGGCAACTCGAGGCGCGGCTCCGAGCAAGTGCCGACAACGAGAAACAAAGTTGCCGATTGGTTTAAGACGGCACAGCGAGCTCTCGAAGACGTTAGCGCGCCCGAGTCGATGATCCCAATGATCGCCGCGATTAGCCGTCCGATCGTCCGGTTGCGACTTGGCTGAAAAGCTTGCGCGTGTGTCCACAGCGTGGGTCTGGATGGTAGGTCCTGTGTGATGAGAGCCCTCTGCGAGGCCGGCCAGCGCAGCCCGTCGGACCTCGGCACCGGCAGCTTCCTCCAAGAGCTCCTCCACGCCGTTTTCACGTAAGTCTCGTTCCTCGCGATAACCGGTCCGCTTTCGCGCGACGCCGCCCCCACCTTGCACGTCCACGCGCTCTGCGGCCCCTTTGACATTTGCCTTTCAAATTGCCGCGACGCGGCAATGTCTCATCCTCGCGCTGCCGCTCTTTCCTAAGCTGTCGCTCCGCACCTCCTTGGCATATCTTTGCGAAGCCATAAATTGTCCTGGCCACACCGAGGCGCCACGGCTCGGTGGCAAAAAGAGGCATACATGAAATTATTGCACCGAACGCCGAAACTTGGCTGCATTCAAATTAACGGCTCACTATAAATCTCGGCCGGCCGAGATTAATTACTGGAATAATTGATCGCGCTTCGAAAAGAGACCGACTGCAACTTAAATGACGCTTTAAAAGTTGGCTTTTCGAGAATCAAATGAGCGCGAGCCAGTCTCCCCGAGCCGGCGTCGCCGAGCGCAATTTCAGATGCATTCAAACGTGCTGAATCCGCGCCGCCGCCGCCGCCGCCACACTCTACACAAATTAAAATGACTTTTTCAACTTTATTCCTCTCCTCGTCGAATAGCCATTTGCCGCGCGCGAGCATCGCCCCCTGCCGCGCCGGCGAGCCAGTGCTGCGCAAACATAATTATTTAACGTGTTTAAACTGGCGGATACGCACTTTGCGCGGACGGCCGACGGAAATTTATGCTTTTCTCATTTGTTTCCGTTTACCTTTGGACGCTCGCGCGCCTGCTAATTGGATTCCAGCCGGTCCGCGCGATTAATTATCTTGGATCGAGCGCATTTCAGCATGCACGACGACGGCAGCGTCTTTCAGCAGCCGGATCAGCGCCAGTACGACTCGGCCCGCAGTTCCGGCGGCCAGTGCGCACGGCTCTACCCGTCGTGCGAGCACTCCATCTACGATTTGGACTTCTGACGCGGACCTGCGGGAACAGCGACGTCATGCACCTCGGCCATCTAACTCGTGTGTAACTAACGGCCACGAATGTATGTACGGCAGGAGAGAGCTGCCAGTTACTTTTCTAAATAAAGAGATACACGAATTGGAAACGAAAACGAGAAAGATTGCCGAAAGATTGCCGGAAGATTGCGGAGATCGCGTCCTAATCGGTCAAAGTGGACGCTGCAGGATACACGAGTGTCCGGGGCACGAGGAGAGATTACAAACTAAACAAGGAAACGGAGCGGAGAGAAGCGAGCGCGCGCTCCGCTCGCGTTTCTCGGCTCGGTCGGGCCGGAGAACGAAAGAAAGAAAGCGGATAACAAGAAGCGAGCGTTAATGCGGCAAAGCGTTTAGCAGGTCGGCTGACCGAGAGCGCGCGCGCGCGCGCGTGCATGTGCGGTGAGGCGGTGAGGCGGCGCGGCGGGGAGAGCGCCGGGCGTAGTCGCTTCGAGTGGGCAGCGCGCGAAACCCGAGTCGGCTCGTTCGGGCCGCTACTCGCCGGCGAGAGAATGAGGCGCGAAGGACTGCTGCCGCTGCTGCTGCTGCTGCTGCTGGCGCGGGCTCGGGCGGCGGAGCCCGGCTGCCGCGCCGGCAACGTCAGCCTGCCGAGAGCAACCCGCGCCGCCGACGCCGGCTACAAGTATCTCGTGTTTCCTCAGGGGAGCAACGTGCAGGTGAGTCGTATCTTTCGTCGCTGGGCCGTAAAAGGCGCTTTTACGGCTACGCGGCCTCGCGCGATGTCCCCATCGCGGCGGACCTCGGCGATCTCCGGGTTGCTCAACGGTCGGCGCGTCTGCTCCGCAGCTGATCTACTGCCTGACCATCGGCTCGTTCGCTCGGCCGCAGAGCGTCTTCACGCTGGGCGTGACCGCGGGCCTGGCCTACGAGCTGCCCTACCGGCGCACGCTGCCGCACAGAAAGCCCGCCGAGGTCTACCACCGCAGGAACCGGCGCGACCTCTACCGCAAGCTCGAGGCCATGCTCGACGCGTAGGTGTCTGCCCGCCGCCCAGCTCGCGCCTGCCGCTCATCCGCGCGACTGCGCTTCGTTCGCAGGCAGGGCAGACCCGGCCGCGACTGCGTACTGCGGGCCCTCTGCAGAGCCGGCGAGCGGAGCCGTCGGCGGGCCCCGCGGAGGGGCACCTTCCTCGAGGAGATCTTGCGCGCGGTGTTCACGTGAGTGCAGGCCGGTGGCCGCGCGGCGCCGACCCACGCGATAACGCGGCCGTCCCTTGCCCGGCAGCTTTCCCAGCCTGGAGCACGCCCGCGAGGAGAACGGCCACCACGCCGAGCTGATGCGCCACTACGAGCGAGCCTACGACGCCCGAGACGACTGCGACCAGCGGTTCGGCGCGGAGTCCTGTCCGTGGCTGCTCTAAATTGCGTCCGCCGGCCCAACTTGAACGTTTCGGCCCGACGGAGCTCGTCCTCGCCGGCAATATCTGCGGCAGCGCCGAATCGATAGCAGACGCGCGCGTATCCGCGCTGTCCGGAGGCGCGACGGCGCTCCGCGTTCGTCGGCTTGTTTAACCCACTTGTGGAGTTGGCGCTAACGAAGCAAACATAATAAGCGCGTACAGCCCCGATAGCCGTTTAGCCCGAAAGACCAGGGGAAAAAACAATGGGTGCGCGAGCGAAGTCGCGCTCGGTCAATGCTATCAGCGCAGCGGTTGTCCGTCAGCAAACTGTGGCGCGGCGCGTATAATCGCGCGCATCTCATTCGCGTGGCGCGCGAGCGACCACCAGTCGGCGACTTCTCCCCATCAGGGCCTGCTCGAATTAGTCGGCGCTGCCTCTCCTGCAGCGATCAACTTTGTATAATCCAAATACATCGGAGCGCGTCGCTTTGCAACTTTCCAAGTAGCTTACTCCGCGTTTGTGCGAGGCTTCCACGCGGCGAGCCATCAGCTATCAGGTTTTCCAGCTCGCGGCGCCGCGGTGCCCCGAGTCGATTCGAGCCACCCCGAGTTCTCGCGCTTTCCCAATCTTATTTTTGTCCTTTTCGCGTTTCTCCGAAAAGTCCGACTCGGCAGCCTCGATCCGAGCTGCATCGATGTTCGGCGCAGCTGCTTATCGCTCGGACTAACGAGCCACTACGCAAACCTCGCGGCCGATTGTTCACTGTAATCGACGAACCCGAGCCAGCGTACGGGGGAGCTTGGGCGACGCTTTGTTCACTTGGCCTGAATCAATAAAAAGTAGGCTGGCGAGAGCAAGCAACTGTGTGCTATTTTTCTACGCGCACCCCACCGGCGAGGCGCGCGGCAGGAGCGCGCCAGAGCCGAGGCGCGACGAGACCGAGCAGGCAGATCGGGGCAAGTATGCAAGACGATGCCGCGGCGCGAGAGCGCGCGGAAACGAGTGCGAGCTGGCGCCGCAGGGTTAATTCGGCCGGGAGAGACGACTGAATAATTTGGCCAAGCAGGCCCGCTGGATTCATCAAGCGATCTTACCGCGCGTATAATCTGCATGCTGATGCATATTCAGACGGAGGCGGCGAGCGGGCACACGTGCGCTGAGGCTTAAATGCAATTAAAAGTGGCGACGCTCCCGGCCGAAAAGGCAGAGAGGAGCTCGCGGGCGCGATCGATGTCAGCCGCGAGTGCACGCGCGGCCCGAGCGGGCTCGTCTGGCCGAAAGGACTCGGCGGCCCCGGGCCAAGGCCGGCCGATTGCGTCACGCGCGCCTGGCCCGGCGACCGCTGTTTTTCCAGCAATTAAGAGCCGCGGCTCGGTCCCGCCGCGCTCGCTCGCCGCCGGTCAGTCGCACTCGAAAATGCGCCTCGCGTGCTGCGTCCTGCCGCTACTGCCGCTGCTGCCGCCGCTGCTGCTGCTGCCGTCGCTGCTGCTGCCGAGCTCAGCGCTCGCCGCGAACGACACTGCCACCTGCGGTCGGGCCAAGCGCTCGCTGGCCTTTCCCAAGGGCAGCTCCTTCGTCGTGAGTACGCCCCACCGCGTCCGCGCGACGCGCGACGAATCGAGTGTCTGACGTCTGGACGCGCACAGCTCACCGTCACCCTGCTCAAAGCCGTGCAAGTGCGAGTGCCCAGCAACTGGAACCTGGACATGGAGTTCGACGTGAGTTGGCCGATACCCGCGGGCACGAGCGCGCTCACGGCCGGCGAGCGCCGGCGGCCGAGCCGCGGACGCCAGCCGCACAGACGCCAGCGACGGCAGCTGTACGCCAATCTGGAGCTGGCGCTCGACAGGTATTCCGTTGCACTCGGCCCCGCGGAGTGGCTTTTCACGGGTGGCCTCTTTGTTTTAGCCAGGGACTGCCCGGCAGCCAGTGCGTCCTGCGGGCCATCTGCGAGGCCAGATTCATGCTCAACCCGGCCGGGCTGTCGCTCGTCGAGGACCTGCTCCGAGTGGTGTTCAGGTGAGCGGCGCGCCCGCGCTCGCGCGCAGACCCGTCAATCGGCTGCGTTAACCGACTCGACTCGCCAGTTACCCCAGCGCGTCGGCGTCGAGGAGGAGCGTGAGGGACGCCTACGACAACGCCTCCGTGACGAGGACCGACTGCGACCTCGCCTACCCCTGCCCGTTCTCGCTGCTGGATATGCTGCTAAATTACCAAAATGATGTATCGACAGGCAAATAAAGTGGCCTTCGGGCAGACGCACGCACGCACGCACGCACGCTCCATTGATTTGCGCGCCCCGAGACGCGGACGTTTGGAGGAAGGCGAGCGACCGACGGGCGGGCAACGCGATTACCGGCTAAGCTCATTAGCGTCGTCTGTGTGGAACAACGACAAGTTGTCCGCCGAGAAGAAGAGGCGCTAAAGACGTTACGCATTAGCGCTCGCGGTTGAACGAACCTTTGCAGGCTTTTAGCGCGTTAATCACCTGGTAAACTGCTCTCTGCAGGCGTGGAGGGAGGCGAGGCGACAACGGCGAGTAGCGCGAGAGGCGCTAGAGAGACTCGTCAATCGCCAAGGAGGCTGCGAGCCGGATAAAACTCGATCCACAAGGTAAGCGCGCGCGCGCGCGCGAACTAGTCTCCCTCCGACGCCGCCGCCGCCGCCGCCGCCGCCGACGCCGTCCCTTCGTCAAAGCTTTGCTCGCTGGCTCGTGAATTTGCATGCGTTCGCGCTTATTGCGCGCTCGCCGTGACACAGCCGCGACGCGGCCTGCGCGTACGTACAGGGCCGGTTTTTATTTTTAACCGCGCGAATCCGGAGTGGGAGCGCGAATCGTGTCGGTGTCAGTGATCGATCATTCGGCTACTAGCTGTTTCTCCGAGAACTAACAATTTCCTGCTTCCTAAAGAGCTTACCGAGCTGAGTTACGAGATATTTCCCGAGTCTGAGCGTCACCAGAATCGATCTTCCGTCCTGCTCTTGTGCTCTCTCTCGGCAAACTCCCCGCCCGCCCCCGGCGCCTCGACTTGCCTTCCTGCCGCCCCGTCCGCCCGCTCCGCCGCGACTCGCCCGCAGTCGGCTCTTTTTGCACTGTCGCCGAGACAAAACACCGCTGCACGCATATTTTCGCGCACTCTGCTCGCGCTAAGTGCACTGCGCTCACTCTCTCCCTCCGAGCGCGGCGACTGCCGGCGCGCCTCATTTTCTTTCGCTCTTCGGCGGGCGTAATGGCGCGATAATCGCGCGATCCGAAAGCCGCCCTCGGCTTCTCGCAAATCAGTCGCGGCGAGAGGCAGCTTCCTGCGCGCTCGACCTCGATCCGGCTCGCGACCCGGCGACGTCCTCCGCGTGCGTTGCGCGCCCGCCAAGGACGCGTGATTAATCGTCGCGCCGGACGTTTTCCAAAGTCCGCCCGCTGACAAATAGCGCGAGCGATTCTTATCGCGCTTTGATCAGCGGCGAGCCGCGGCCATTAATCATCGGACGAATCGGGGATTCGGACCGCGAGCCAGCTGGACGTGCGACGAATGCCGGCCGCACGAGCGTAAGACTTGGAAAGAACAGCGCGCGCATCCGCTTGCTCCGCGTGCATTGTTTAGCCGAGGAACGCCGGCAGTTGATAGATCGCAGGATATGCTCGGCCGAGCGGAACCGATGCTGGTCTGGCTGGTGCTGCTGCTGCCGCCGCTGCTGTCGGTCGTGCCGGCGGTCGACTCCGAGGCGGGCACAGAGGCGGAGCCCGGAACCGGCCCGTTGACCAGGCGCAAGCGATACGTGGTCTTCCCCGAGGGATCTAGTTTCTCGGTGAGCCGCGCAAACGGACAAACGGACCGATCGGCCGACAATCAATCCGACGCTTCCTTCCGGCTCAGATCGCGCTCTGTATGACCGTGCACACCCTCACGCCCGATAACATCTTCACCGAGGGTCTCAACTGGGGCATCTCCTACGACCTGCCCAACGAGAGCAAGCCCGAGCTGGCGCCGCTGCTGCGCCCGCGCGACGACGCGCCCGGGTACGGGGCGGCCGAGCCCGGCCAGTGGGACGCCCACGGCAAATACTACCTGATGCCCGGCGCAAAGAAGTACTACAGAGCCGACCACCACTACTTGCAGCGCAGGCACCGGCGGGACCTCTACGGCAAGCTCGAAGTCGTCATCGACGCGTAAGTCGCCCATGCCCCCGCTCCTTCGCTCGCGTCGGTCCGCGGTCGGCCGCGCTTCCGCAGGGCGCCACGCACGCCCGTTGTCACGGCGCAGCGTCGGGCAATCGATCCAATTGCTGCTCTGCTCTTTCCAACCAGCCCGACCACTGCACGGCCGACCGACCGAGACGAGGGGAAAATCGGTCGAGGGAACTACTTCTACTTTCGAGCAGTGCGAGCCTCGTCGCCCAACGGGAGCCCGCAATTAACGCCGACTCACTTCGTTGCAGGATGGGCTTCCACGGGCGGAGCTGCGTGCTCAGGGCGCTTTGCGAGGCCTCGCAGCGCTTCGTGCCTCGAGGCAACAGCCTCCTCGAGGAGATGATGAGGATAGTCTTCACGTGAGTACGCGAGTACGTCCGGCCGCCGCGCGCTTCCTTGGCCTTTCGGGGATTCGAATTTTCGACGCTGCCCGAGCGAATCCGTCGAACGCTCTCCTTTGCCTCGTCTGATGCTCTCTGATCCGATTCCCTCCCGTCAGCCGTCGACTTTGCTACTCAATTGCTCTTATTGTTACGGGTGGCTTCGTCGACAACCTTATCAATTTGCGCGCTACCGGCTAAAAGCATGCCACGGGCCCGGATATAAAGCTGACTGATGGCCGTTGCCTATAGACTAGAACGCATCAGCGTCGCGTGCACAATGGAACGCCCAAAGTTTCGCAAAGCCTCTTGCTCGCGCGCGACCTCTCGCTGCCGATCCACCTTTCCATCAACTCGGTGATACGTTTTATTGCTCTTTTAAGCTCGTTCTAGAGGCAACTTATCGCGAGTCTCGGCTCTGCTATCGAATCCCCGTGAGACTCGCAAGGAGAACATTTCGCGAAGTGCGGAAAACGCGAAAGTTAAAGGGGACGCGCGGACATTACGCGACGAACGCGTGTTTTTACAGGCTGCCGCTGAAGAAACTGTTCCCGTCCGAGCCTCCGGAGCACCACACCTACGCGGAGGCTCATCGCGCGGGCCAACGAGGCGACGACTGTCTCGGAATGTTCCCGCGCTGTAGCTTCTCCCTGATAGACATGGCTCTCGGCAAGTACAGCGTGCCCGATGACTTCGACGCCGCCCGGCCTCTACCTCTCGACCTCACTTTCGCCATGAAGTGAGCCTGACATCCTCGACGACGAACGACTAATTGCTCGTGACCATGCTAACGGCTCTCAACTTTTGCCGCCTTCTTCGAGGACTTGTTTACGCCTGCAATTTTCCACCGGAAATAAATGTTATTTTCTTTCATCCGTGCACTAATGCATACTTCGCTCGCCACCTACAACGAAACCTTGATCCAATTCTCTCTGGCGAATATATTCAGCTACTCCATCCTTATGTTCTAATTATTTTCGATAAATTTATGAAAAATGTATACATTGGAATTCCAGTATCATATTTATATGAACAGCTACTCAAATTTACGAAAAATTCATTGATTCAAAAAATACTAATCTTTTACTCACCGACTGAACTGATTGAAAAAGCTCAAACTAAATCCGGGACGAACCGGCTCGCCTCTTTTCAAAGCTCCGAGCATTGGCTCCACCGAAAATTCATATTTGATATTTCATGTACGCTGTAATTGAAAAAAAAAAAATTGTTACGCAGATCGCTAATCTATATAGACTTTGGCATTATCAAATTTTCGAAAATCAAACATTCCGGGTGGTTCGAAGGTTCACCACTCAGTGCTTTTAAAGTAAACTTATGACGACCCGTTCATAAATGAATGAATACCTCAACGAGAACTTCATCGATCCGAATAGCTTCGAATACCGAAACCCGAATAAAGTTGGATGTACTTTTGAAATTCCTTTCGAGCGAATTCTCAAATCGCAAAGGAATTTTAAATCAAAAGTATGCCTCGCAAATGTGCGGCAGCGATCTCAGTCGCGAAAACAGCAGAAAACTATTTTTCGAAAAATCCCACTTCAGATTGGTTGATAAATAAAAAAGTTCCCGTCGTCGGTCGTAATAGATTTTTCCTTTATTACCGTGCAACCTTTCAAAGCTTGAATAAAATATCATTGCACCTGTTGTAAGATTATTAATTGTAAAAATTTATCGGCGAATGCTACGCGCAGGATTGATCGAACGTGAAATCGCATGGGGTTCTATTACCTGTCGAGGACGATTCGGTTCATGTCAAGTAGTGTATTCCGCGTTCGGTCAGCCGTGACACGCGTAACCTTGTTGAGGCGTTGTGTGCTCACTTTGAGAAACTAACTTGGCACCAATTTATGCAGAAATTGACGAGGTATTTTCTTTGCAATTAGAATTATGAAGTGCATAGCCATTAGTTTTTCTTTTTAAAAAGGGTAAACTTGGAGCGGCTGGTGATATTTGGAAAACGGAACAAAAGAAAAGTGAATTATTCGTAAGTGAAGTTGACGGGTTGTTGGTAGTCGTCGGACGTAGACTTTGAAGAAAATTGATGGCAACAACAGTCATCAGCGGCGGTGAGTGCGTTAGTGCGGCAGGGGAGGGGTGAGAGCTGTCGTGGCTGAGCAACGAGCCAATTTAGCGGGGACATCGGCGGACCTTTGCCGAGAAGACGAGCCGTGAGGCGAGGGAACGAGAGCCGACGCATAAGCGCCTTCGGCTTTTGTCGGCATAGCGCACGGCGGAAAATTCGCGGTCGGGATGACCTTTTACAATTAACCGCTGCCGAGGCGTCTCGCGAGAGCGTCCCTCCGAGAACCCTTCCCTATTTTGCATATTTTTACGCGCAAGCGATAAGGCCGCGAGCACAGCAGCAGCAGCAGCAGCAGCACCAGCAGCACAGACATTGTCGCGGCTTATGAAAATGCGAAAACGGCAAGAGCAGATGTCGCGCGGGGCGCTCGAGCAAGTAATAGAAGCTCGTATCGCTGCAAGCTTTTAACAGGAGTCAGAGCTGAGCTGAATCGCAGTGGGTATGCGAGGCATTGCGCGTAGGTGCAAGCAGGTTGCGTATGCAAAGAGCGAGAGGGGAGGGCTGAACCGTCGCTCGCCCGCACGAGGCGACGCCGACTGCGACGCAGACGGAACGCGGAATCGTGATCGATCAGGAATTCAGCCGTTCATTGGCCATCGTAAAGCAGCATATCTGGCGAGCTGCTGCCGCGACAATATCTCAGCGCGCTTGGCTCGACTTGGCTCGGCTCGGCTCGGCTCGGCTTGGCTTGGTGTTCCATAAAAACCAGATGAATGGCTGGAATCGCGCTCAGTCAGTACGTGACCGACATAGATTTTTCTTAATTCCGCCGCTGGCTAGCCAGTCGGAAATAGAAAAGACGAAGAGAGGGACGCGATGTCTCCGACAACAACAGCCGGATGATTAGGCGATAAAGATCGCGGCCAGTCTCCGGAGAGTGGACGCGAGAAATAAATCTGCCAGGGATCAGCGCGACAGAAGAAGCAGTCGACGAGTCGCGCGGGCAAGCGGAATACTGTTGGTCCACCAGCTCGTGAGAGAGAGAGAGAGAGAGAGAGGGAGAGAGAACGCGCGACGATGAACAACGCTGACAGCATGATGGACGAGGGCCGTTCGAGGACCGAACGGAACGGAAAACAGCAGAAGAACTGGCGTGCGGACGAGCTCGGCGACCGGTGGTCTGTGGGCCTGAATCTTTCAGAGTGCTCGTAGCGCGCCGAGGCACACGAGCACTGCTCGGGCGCGGCTCTCTAAGTGATGGTCGCTCGATCGACGCTTGCTCGTAAACTGGACGCTTCGATACTTTATTCAGCAGCGGAGCGACTGCCGCTTGACCAGACTACAGCCCTACCGTTGTCCCGACAGTCGACCAGATTTTTCGATACTGACCCCGTGTCCCCTCTCCTCCAAGTGCCGGATTGCTGCTCCTCCCCCAGTCGGCCTGCGCTTTCTACTCCTCGGCTTGTCCAACGCCACTCCGAGGTGCCGTTGATCGAGCCGGCTGGGCGCGACGCGCATTCCCAACGAGAGAGGCGCAGCGCGCTCTCCTCGTATCGGCGCGAAAGTTTGCCTCGATAATTTGGCCGAGTGGAATGGAGAGCAGCGCAGCCGGTGTCGCCGACGAGATCCAAAGTAGAGCCGGCAGCGGGAGGCGCCGCGCTCTCCCCGACTGCAGATCGATCCTCGCTGCTCGCCCATTGTCCGCCGGCTCCGTTTTCGCCTCTTGTTTATGTCCGGCACCGATCGAAGAGAGCCAAACCGGGCAGAGCGAGCGCGCTCGGGGGACAGACGCGAGATTAAAGGGTCGAGAACGCGTTTGCGCTTTCTCGTTGCCTGCCGGCTGGCTGGCGATCAAGAAGCTTAAGGGGGCGCCAGAGCGCGTGCCACCGGAACTTTTCCTTCGCTGGCGCTCTCTTTTGCTCTGTCTCGCGCTCGCCCGCCGAGATTTTAATCTGAAATAGGGGGCCGACGGAGCACCAACGAGAAAGAAGGCACAGAGAGGAGAAAACGAGGATAAGGGCAACCGGTTCGCGGTTTCGAGTTTCGGGGCGGTCAGCAGTCGCTCGGCGATCAACTCCTCGATTGCGCCGGCGAACTTGATAAATCATGCCAATTTGCCGGGCGAGTATGCCCAGCTGAATAATTGATTGTTATTCGAGACAGCACAAAGGCCCTCGCGCGCGCTCCTTCGCAGAGGCTCGCGGCTCGCTTCTGAACCTCTCAACTATTTATGCGGCACTTTTCAGCGCTAGAAAACAAAACGAGAAAAAAAAATGAATCCCAAACAAGGAGGAAAAAGGGAACGACTGGCTTCGAAATCGACTACAAGTGGAATGGGTTAGGGCGGCAAAAGAGTCAAACAATGCAGCTTCTTGAGATTCATTTTTATCTTTTATTATTTTTTAAACAATAAATTTAACCGCTCGTTTATTTAATTGTCTTACATAGGTGGATAGTTGTGTAGATTGTAGACGTTAGTTTACAAATAAGTTAGTTTAGTTTATCCATACATAATGTTTTAGACTAATGGCTTTTAATGTTCTCATGTCATTTTAGTTAATCCATTCTTTATACACAGCGTCGTTAGTTTAAATCTGTTTATTTCCGTCAGCCTTTGGCGCAAACTTGCTTTCCTGCGAGAGGCAAACGAAAGGGAACGGAGGCGGGGCAGTGACCGCTAGGCGCGAGTATGCTAAACCGAACAAGGGTGCGCGGAGGAGGCAACAAGGAGAAGCCGCAGCTAACAAGAAGATGCGTCACCGGGCAGGCTTAGCGAAAAGTATAACGGACAGGGAAGACGTAAGCATGGCGCGTGGCAGCCGCCGCGCGCGCGAGAGAGAGAGAGAGAGAGAGAGAGTGAGAGAGAAAGGGGAAAGAGAGAAAAAGAGACGAATCGGCCGGACGCACAACGACGGCTGACGTTGACGGGCGACGCGTCGGAGGCTACACAGCGATGCCTATCCTCGCTGCTCCTCGCCCGGATTCACGTTTTCTCTAAAATACCATGTACAAAGATTATCGTTCAGCAGTAGTATAGCCGTTAAAAAGTCATACAAATGTAACAATCGCGGGACGCGCGCGACGCGTAATCCGGACGCCGCCTCGACGAGGTCGTCGCGGCCGCGGCCGTTGTCGCGTCGTGCCCTCGGCGCGCTCGCCCGCGCCGGAGACAAAGCGGAGAGTCGAGCGTCGATTGTCAATGATTACGAGTTCTTGGGAGGCTCGGGAGCAGCGAGAGACAATGGGAGGCGAGAGTGTAGTTGACGTCGGTGCCGCGGGCGCCGCTGGGAAAAGCGGCGATAGCCTTCTCCACGGCGCTCCCAACTCCACCTCTCCCGCGCTCCCGCTCACAATCTGGCATATTACAAACAGACAAAGACAGAACAGCAGAGCGCCAAAGATGCGCTATTTTCATTAGTTCTCTTCTCCATTATTATTCGTTGTTTTTTTTTCTTTTTTTTTTCTTTCTTCTTCGGCTTCTTTTATTTAAAACAATTTTCCAGCTTCTTTCTATATATAATATATATTCATTTCATTATTTTTATGTATATAATATGTATGTATATGTCGATCGTTAATTCGCCTCTCGTCGTTAAATTCACTGCATTTATGTGCATATTTATACTTCATTATGTTTATTATTAAAGATTCCATTTCCTTTTTCCGCTTGCCCTATCGTCACTTCGGCTCGTTTGCTCAGCTTTCAACAACATGTTTCGTGGTGTGAGTTTCTTTTTTTATTATCATTATTATTATTATTTCTCTTTTTTGATTGATTTTTCTCTATTTTTTAAAAATGTCTCCTCTCTCCCGGTTGTCCAATGTATATATAATCGTATATAATTTGCGACGACAAAAGACGGTAACAATGACGACAATCATCAGTATAACATTTTTTTATCCGGTTACTATAATGATTGATCGCTTGAGACTTTTATCGACGTTTAATAAAAAACTGTAGGAATATTATATATATAATATATATATATATGTATTTATCGTGAAGACATTTGTTTTGCTTACGTGAGAGTGGGCGCACTAATTCGCTAGGTGCGCGCTTGCTTAGACTCCTGAATAATCGTCGATTTTACACTTTATTTTTATCATATGTACATATGTATATGGACTTACTTTAATATATATATTTGTATAATCGGTGCACGATCGCGCGAGCACTCAACCGCTTCTTTATAACCTGTTTACGTCGGTGTGTAAATATGTATATACGGAGAGAGAAAGATGTGTAGGCGCGTGTATGTGTGTGAGCGCGAGTGCGTGATAAATCGGTTACCTACTGCAGCGATTATCACGGTGGCATTGGTGCGCCAACTGGTTTGACAAGGCGGCGATGCTGAGCCGCTGCCGCGCGGTCAATTGTCATTATTACCGATGCGAACGGAAAGGGATTCTCGCGGCAATCACTCGTCGCGTCGTCGTCGTCGTCGTCGTCGTCGCCGCCGCCGTGCACACACGTACGCAAATATATATGTATATATGTATATATAACAGGATGCTCGCGCAAACGACAGCGCGCGGTCGCGCACTGGCGTCTCGAGCGCGCCTCCGCGAAACAATATGCCGTCGAGCGCGAGCCGCGGTTCCAGCAGGAGACGATGCCGAAACGCAATCGTTAGAAAAATAAAATTCACAAGAGTTCAATCGTCAACAAACGAAACGAGCCGTGGAAGGTGCGCAGGCCCGGGCGGTGGTCGCCGGCGCGGCCGTGATCTCTCTCTCGCTCGAAGACAGCGCTACTCGACGCGTTCCATCGGGCGCCCCTTCGCTTGCGTTTGGCACAAACTTTCGCGCTCGGTTATAGAAAAAGACTAGATTAATATACGTATATATAGTAATAATATATATTTATATACTCTTATTACCCGTAGTTTTGTCGTAGAACATTCACTTGCAGATTCGATCGTCCGAGTTGCCGAGTTGCCGAGTTGCCGAGCTGCCTACGTGCGCCTCGCTGAGGAGAGGCGGGTATCTGCGCGCGCGCGGCCCTCCCGAATACATTGGCCGGTCGGCATTGCCGCTGCCCGTCAATTCGGCCCATTACGCGAGCTTCGGCTCAAAAAATCGCCGTCCAGCTGCGCTCGGCATCGTCGTTTCACGACGCACGTCCGTTCGCGTCGTTCCCTCGTAAAAAATGCGGCTACGTAGTTATAGTGTATTAACCTCATATTTATATATTTATATGCATATCACGTGCTCGTCTCGTGCGCCACTTGTACAACCACTATGAAATATCCTTTACTCGCTAATAATCATCATATACGTATTTATATATGTATATATTTATATTTATATATCGTGTAGAAAAATGAGACGTACAAAAAGGCTGTGCACTGGTTGTCCGCGTTGCCACAGGTCATCGACGGGGTTCGTTGAGAGTTGGCTTAACTAGACTATCGGTAGAATCGCGCGACCGCCGCAGCTCGGGGGCTCGGGCGAGTCGCGATCCGAGCGCTATGTGGTCTGATTGTCTCGTGTCGGATAGCGAGGATAGGATCGCGGCGATCGGGGAGCGGGACAGTCACGGGAATCGCGATCGACAAGCTTCTTCGTTATGGCAGTGTAGCTCGCCAAGTACAATAGCGGCTTTCGCGGAAGGGCGCGGCGGAGGGGGAGCGGGCTCGGGGGACAAGGAGGCGGCTGGACGGTTGCGCGTCGTGCAGCCGGGGAGGCCGTGCCAGAGGAGGGCTCGGCTCGACGCTTTTGTTTCGATCGTCCGTTCAATTGACACTTGAGCATTGCTTGACTGGAGCCGGTCGAGAGCAGTGTGCAGCCGCTAACGGAGCGGAGGTGCGAAGACGAGAGTGGCACACGGAGTGGGTGAGAGAGTTGCGTTGCTTCGGCCGTTATCTGCCTATTCGAGAGGATTCGTATGGGAAGACGCGTGATTGATTGGGCTTTCAGCGACAGACGTACGGAGTACGAGGCGGCCAAAAACAATGGGCGCTATTTAACATGTTCCTCCGGGATTGATGCCGGTAGAGAGAGAGAGAGAGAGAGAGAGAGAGAGAGAGAGAGAGAGAGAGACCGAGAGAGAGACCGAGAGAGAAAGAGAGGAACGATCGACGATCGTCCCTCGGCCGCCAATTAATTTGCGCGGGCTCTCTCTCCCTCTTTCTCGCTGCCCATCCATCAGTATTTATACCTTTCTTAGCATTATCGTTAACGCCTACAACCCTATTACCTCGGCTATGATACAGTGGCGTTATCGGGTGACGGCGAGTGTACGTGAGTGTGAGCGTGTAAGAAGGTAGAGCGGGCGAGAGAGAGAGAGAGAGAGAGAGAGAGAGAGAGCGCGCGCGAGAGGAGGACGGTCAGTGCACCCGGCTGCTGCCGCCGCCGTGGGCGCGCTCGCGCGAGAGCGTGTGCGTGGGGCGCCGGCGAGCTTTTCTGGCGAGTTAGCGCCAGGCTACGGCGCGCGTATATAGGGGCGCAGAGGGAGCGGCGCGCGGAGTATCGATCGCGCCACGCGGCCGCTCTCTCGCGCTTGCTGCGGGTCCAGCTGCGCAAGGGCCACCGCCGGAGAGCTCGCGCCCCACGTGCCCGCGACTGCCGCCCGATCTGTGCTTGTTGCTCGGTGCACGGCAGCGGCGCAGGGGCTTGGCCGACTCGGCCGCGCGAGCCCTCGCCCTCGCCGCTCGCGCCCGGCTGACGAGTGCGAGTGGGTCGGTGAACGGGTGGCTGGTTGCCAATAATCTAGCCTTACGTATGAAAGCGGATTTACAAAAATACGCCGAGTTGCCGACGTGGAGCAAAGTCGAGCGCGGCGGCGCTCAATTTGGCACTTTGAGAAAGAGAGAGATTGCGAGGGAGCTAGCTCGCCGGGGCTTAGTCCTCCTCGGGCAGCATGTTGAGCAGCATCATCTTCTTCTTGGCGATCTTGCTGTACTTGAGGTCGATGGGCTTGGTCTTGTCGTAGAGCGCCGGCGCCTGGAAGATGATCAGGGCCGTGCCGACGATGCAGGCCACCGTGAACAGCCACAGGAAGATTCTGTCGATGACCATGGCGACGTACTTCCAGTCCTCCTCCACCTGCAATCAGGCACAAGCCGGCCTCGCCGCTTCAGTCTCCGCCTGCTTTCCGCCGAGAAAAGGCGCAGTGCGCAAAAGCAAGCGCGGCTCGTGCGCGAGTCGAGTGCAGTCGAGGAAGCACGGGAGCGAGGCGCGCCACATCCGATCGCGCTCGCTTGGCCGAATTGGCAGCGCACGAGGTTGTTCAATCGGCCGACGAGAGAGAGAGAGAGAGAAAGAGAGAGCACGCGATGGAGCTTGCGCCAGAGCAGTGCATTTGGCAAAGAGTGCGCAGCCGAGTGTGCCGCAGTGCGCGCAGTCTCGCTCCACTGGACGAATAATTTATCCGCGAGGGCTCTGCGGCTCCGCTGCTCTCGAGCCCGCGCCCCCTTTCGTGCGCCTTGCTCCTCTCTCTCTCTCTCTCTCTCTCTCTCTCTCTTCCGTCCGGCTAATCCGCACGCAGGCGCAATTTACGCGGACGCTTAGCGCCCCTAAATTATTTATCGTCGCCGAGGCGCTGCTGTCCCACGCCTGCCGGCCGATCGATATCGGGACGCCGCGTACGTACGGCGAGTGTCGACCGCGCGCACCCCAGACAGCCTGGCCGTCTCGCCCGAGGCCACGGCTGCGAGGCCGCCTTAACAGGTGGAAGGCTGGCTTTCTCGGCAAGCCGACGCGCCAGCGGCAGCCTCCCACCACGCCCAGTCCGACCTCGGCCAAGGTCAGCGCGCGACGCGCGACGCCCAGTCCCGAACGCGACTGATCTGTCGGGGCGCTCGTCTCGCCGGCTCGGGGCTAAGCGAAAGAGAGACAGCTGCCAACTTACACCCTCGTACTTGTCCTTGTTGCGCGCGTGCTGGGCGATGAAGCGGGCGTCTTCCATGGTGCGCTCGATCTCGCGCACGAGCGGCCGGTCGAAGGTGGGGCTGCTGGCGAGGTCGTCGTGGCCGACGTAGGTGGGACTGGCGTTGGGCGGCAGAAACATGTCGTCCTCGCAACCGGGTAGCGCGAGCCGCGGCGGCGACAGCGGCTCGTCCACGGGCACGGCGAACTCGAGGCGCAGCGGCGAGCCGTGCTGGTGGTGGTGATGGCGGTGGTGGTGGCGGTGGTGCGCCGGCAGGCTCGGCAGCGTCGGCAGCGTCGGCAGCTCGTACTCGCTGTAGCGCTTGCCGCAGTAGTCGCCGTACTTGTCCACGGCCTCGGTGGGCATGTGGAACACGTCGGTGAGTATGGCCTCGGGCGGCTTGTCCAGGTCCTGCAGATCGTCGTCGCGGGTCGCGCCCGAGCCGCCGCCGCCGCCGCCGCCGCCGCCGCCGTCGCCGCCGTTGTCGTCCTCGGCCTCGTCTTTCTTGGGCCGGCCGATGAGAAGGAAGCGCGGCAGCACGTCGATGAACACGAGGCGCACCCAGGGCGCCATGCGGTGGGTCACAGGCGAGCGAAAGTTGACGTTGAGCACGGCGATGGTCACCACCACCGACAGCGTGACCAGCACCATGGTGAACAGCAGGTACTTGCCGAGCAGCGGCACCGTGATCGACGTCGACGGGATTATCTCCACCAGCAGCAGGAAGAAGACGGTGAGCGACAGCAGCACCGAGATGGACAGCGAGACCTTCTCGCCGCTGTGCGACGGCAGGTAGAACACCAGTACCGACAGGAAGCTGATGCCCACGCACGGGATGATGAGGTTGACCGTGTAGAAGAGGGTCTTGCGGCGCAGTTCTATGTAGAAGATGATGTCGGGGTAGGGCTCCTCGCAGCAGATGTAGAACTTCTCGTTGCGCACCGCCGGCACCTTCAGGATGTCCCACTCCACCGAGATGTAGTAGTCCGTCAGGTCGATCGCCACCTCGATCTTGTTCGAGTCCTCCGACTGCAGCATGTGCCTCAGGTCGACCTGCAATCGGCGATCGGCGATGCGAGCGTTGCAGCCAGGCCCCCCGCGCCCCGTTGGTCCGTCTTTCCCCGCCGGCACTCACCGTGTAACCGTCGTAGGTCCAGGAGCCGAACTTCATGAAGCAGGTCTGGTGGTCGAAGGGGAAGTACTCGACGTCGATCTCGCAGAACGACTTGTAGATCGCCGGCGGCTTCCAGATCACGCGTCCAGTGTGGTGAAGTATTGCCTTGGTCATGATGGTTACTTCGTAGTTGCCGTCAGCGCTGCAATCAGGAGCGCCTCGTGAGTACGCGCCGGGAAAAGAGGAAGAGGAAGAAGAAGGGGTCGCTGCTGCTGCTGCTGCTGCTGCTGCAAGGTAATCCAGCGCGGTAATGGACTAACGAGATTCCTGCGCACGTACGTTCGCCGCATATTTTAAGTGCAGAAGCCGAGTTGACTCGAGCGCACTTCTCCGTTGGCGATATCGATCGCAGCTCCGCGCCGAACTCTACCGCGAGCCCGACGCCCGCGGCGCAGCGGCGCAGCGGCGCAGCGGCGCAGCAGCGCAGCAGCGCAGCGGCGCAGCAGCGCAGCAGCGCAGCGCCGGTGTTTGCCCTGCGCTCGCTCGCGCCGACCGGCACGCTCGCAGTCGACGCGGCCGACTTACTTGTTATAGAGCACGATGTCGGGCAGCCAGATGTGCTCCGAGGGCACGTGCAGCGTGTCCACGCCCCCGTAGTCGTCTGGGTTCCACCTGAGCTTGTAGTCGTTCCACTCCTGCGACACCACAAATAACAACTATTGACGGCGCGCGGCAGCGGCGACGAGCCCCGTGAATGCCGAGCCGGCGCGTCGCGCGCGAGGCGGCTTTCAATGAGACGCGACTTTTCAATCGAGAGCGCGCTCGGCAGCTCGGGCTGCGGCATAAAGCCCGGCGCTGTATTACTTTGGCGACGCGGCCGCGGCGCTCGCGGAATAAAAGCGCCGAGCGAGAATGGTGTGCGCGGCGCGCGCCCGCCCGTCGGCGCGTTTAACGAGGCCGCGCGTCGCCGGCGAGGAGCGCGGCGCGTACTCCGAATTCCATCAGCGCGCGAGCGCGCACCGAGAATTATTTTTCGAAAGAGACTCGAGAGCCGGGCGAGCGGGCGAGCGCTTTGATCTCCTCTTGACACGATTCGCGCGGCCCGGCGCTCGTGCTCGCGCTTCATTAAACAGCCGCGACCCGCCTCGCGAGCCGCGGGCCCGCGATCGGCGCTCGACGCGTCCTCGACAAGTTGCTCAACAAGTGCTGGCTGCGGCCAGCGTCCGAGGGCGAGCGCCGCTGCCCCGCACCGCTCGGCCGTTCGTCAGCGCCCGTCGTAGTGGCCGCGTGCTCGTGCGTGCTTACCTGCTCCACCCAAACGTTCGTTGTCATGATCTGGTTCTTCAGGTTCTGCAAGCAGACAAAGCGCGCGCGGCGCCCTTCAGTCTCGTCGCATGTTTTAGACGGAGCCTCGCCCGACGACAGCCCGAGCCGCCGGGCTCGCGACTCGAGAGCGCCCGTCGATCGCTGCCAACTTTGCCCCGCACGCAGGCGCCTCTGCAATATGCATGCGCACTCCGGCCGCGCCTATCGCTCTGAATTATTCCGCGCCAGTCGGCTTTCCGCGGGCGCTCGTCGCAGCAGCCTCTTCTTCCCCTGCACCTCGCGGCTCCTCGATCCGCCCGACGTCGGTCCCCAGCCCGGAGCGTCTACCCGGAGTCGAGGGCCCTCGCGTTCCACGACCGGCCGATGCTTTCGGTGTCGACGCCCGTGGTCGCGACTTTCGCGCTCGTCGAGGCAAACTTCGAACAGTCGCGGCTCGGCGGATCGGGGTCGAGAGGTCAAGGTCGTAGGCCCTCGAGTCAACGCCGGCGGACAGCCGAGGCACGAAAAAAAAGCCGCCGTTGCAATATCAATTTCATCCGCGTACGAATTCATGGCTCTGCGGCTCTTTGTTTGAACGGCTCTTTCACTCTCATTCCATCTCGACTGAAAATTGATTCGACCCGGCGCCAAAAATGCGATTGTCAACTGCAAAATTAAAATGGCTATCGAGAGCGAATAATGACTAAGCACTCGCTTTCTCTGCCTCGCCGAAACGAGAGAAAACATCGGGAAGGGCCAATTGAGCAGGACAATGTACGGGACGAAGGGAGGGGGGGGGGGGGGCAGTCGCGACTGCAATCCATTGAAAAAACGGTGAATAATTGAGACAGCTGAATTATTCAGCAAAAGCTGCAAGAAGTACCGGGGGGATTGATTTTCTCGAGGACGACGAACGGCCGCGCTGGATGGAAGATCAGCAGATGCAGCCGAGGGGTGTGTGCGTGTCTCGGCGAGAGGGCACACGACAGCTCTCTATTGAGTTTCGATAGAGCGAGCTTGTCGCGAAGGCGAGCCAGCAGAAGAGGGGCTTATCTGTGGCCGTGGGAGGGGGAAAGGGGGACTGTCAATGGTCGGGCGTCGACGGGCGAGCTCTTCAAAAATCGTTTAGCGCGCAGATAACCGGGTCCCCCGTCGAGGAGGCTCGCGAGGCGCTTGATAAAGCCGAGGCAAGTTACCGCGACAGAGTCCAGTGACACGAGCTGACGGCGGAACGCGGCAGCTAGCGAAAGAGAGCAGCTTGCTCGCTCGTTCTATCCTCGTTTTCTCGCTCGACCTCGGCTCCGCGCCGTTGCTCCCTGTCTACTCTTGCGACGCAAATTCCATGCTCGGTCTGTCAAAGTATCTCATGCTGCCGTGGCGCGTCGATAAATCTCGCTTTCTCTCGTCCCTCCCCCCCCCCCCCCCCCCCGCTCCGCTCGTAGCTGCCTCGTGCCGCCGATCTGCTGTTTTAAGCCGAGCCGGTCCGCGGATTTGGCAGGAGCAGCCGACGCCTTGAGAATCGCCGACGAGCCCGCTAGCCGCCCGATGCCGCGCCCCGGCCACTTGGCCGCCCGCTAGCTTCTGCTCTCCTGGCACGTGTGTGATTCTGGTCGCGGCTCAAGCAAGCGTTCTAATTAAGCTGCTTTTTCCGGCCGAGCACGCGAGCCGCGGAACAACCGTGCCTGCTCGCGCGCGCGAGTCTGGCTTTTTCTATTGATCAGTCGCGCGCGACGCCTAGTGACAAATCCATTTAAACTTTCAAAACAAGCCACGTCGGCGAGAGGCACCGCGCGCGTGTGCGCGCACTGCCCTGCATGCACCCGACTCGCGACACTCGCCGGCAAAGACAATTGTTTGCGCGTGCAATCCGGCACCGAGCGCGGCCTACTTTAACCCCCCCCCCCCCCGACATGCTTCATTTAATCGCTCCAGTTTCACGCGGCCGCGCGAAAAACCAGACGAGGCGCGCGGGTGCTGTCGTCGACGGCGCTGTTTAGCGAAGAATCGGGGTGCGTGAGCCGAGTAATTACACTTAGGAGAGCGCGGCTAAGTGGAGGCTCGACGACGAGGAGCGAGGCGCATCTGTAGGGATGAGTCTCGTTTCGAAGAGTCAATCGAAAAAGTTGTAGCAGCCTAAATGAATAATGCATGCTCGGGGACGCGGAATGGCAGCTGCAGCGAGGCGAGAGCGAGCGCGCGCGGGCTGGCAAAAGGGGGTCGAAAGCGCCGGCGTAACGCGTCAGCTGCAGAGCCACGGTGGAGCGCTGAACAAAGACAAATTAACCGGTGCAAGTAGAAAAGTTTTAATTACGTCAAGCGTCAACTAGTTCCCTCTTTGGCCCAGCCCGACCCGGCCGCGCGCCGAACCGTCCCCGCGTCGCCGTTCGACTCGCCTTTGACTCGCCTCGCCGCTCTCCTGTCTGGTTCTCGATCGCGCCTGCCCGAATCGGGACGCCCGTGGACCGCGCGCGGACCGCAGACCGCTCGACTGTAGCTGGCTGGCGCGCCTTGCGACCGCCACCGGATCCAACCGATTCCGATTCCGTTGTCCATCCTCGCGGGGGACTTCGATTGGCAATGACTCTCGCGCTCGAGCCGGCCGGATAAATCGGAGCCGACGCCGTGCGCTGATTCCGACAGCGACGCGCGCCCGTTCCGGCGGAGCTAACCGAGGAATGCTTCCGGCCGTCGGATAATCTCGGGGCTGCGGCGCCGCGATCGATGCCCGGCCGAGGAGCTAATCGTTCCGGCGGGAACGGCGCGACTCGCCGGCGCGAGCGCGTCGGCCGGCCGATGACCTTCGCGACCGCCGGAGACCGGCCGCTAACGCGACGGCCCGGCGATCCCGAGGCGACGCGAACACGAGAAAGCTCTCCGCGCCCTACGGTCGTCGTGACGAGCCGGCGAGGCGGCCCCTCGGAGTAGGCGGCTCTGCGCGCGATCGCCGAGGCGTCATCGAGCGACTCCGCGATCGTCCTCCGGAGGCTGCCGCGCGCACACGCGAGCGGAGGCGAGCGGAGGCGAGCGCAGCGCGGCCGGGAAGGGGGCAGGCGACTGCGGCGACAGCACTTTTCGAGTCCCGCCCCGCGGTGCTGCGCCAGTACGTGCCGCCGCGCGCGCAACGAGGCCTCGGGGACGAGGGCCGGGGCTGTCCCCGTGGCGCGCGCGGGCGCAGTGGGCTAGTGGCGGAAAAGTGGCTTTACTCACGATGTCGATGAGCTGCGACAGCCGCAGGCCGAGCTTGACGGTGAGCTTGTCGCTGTTGTTGCCGACGGGCCTAATGAGCCGATTGTAGTTGGACAGCAGGTCGTCGTAGAGGCGCTTGGCCTCGGGGTTGGCCTGCACCGCCGGGGCCAGCAGGGCCGCCGCCAGCAGGAGCGTCCGCAGCAGCGGCGGCAGCCAGCCCGCGGGCTCGGGGCGCCCGGCTAGACCGCCGGCCTCGCGCGCCGCCGCCGCCCCGCGCCAGCGCCACCGCCAGCGCCAGCGCCTCGCCTGCAGCTTGCCGGCGCCGCCGCCGCCGCCGCCCCCGCCGCCGCCCTCCGTCCTAGCATCCTTGAGCATCGTCCGCCGCCGAGTCCACCACCCCTGCAGCAACACACAGGCGCGCGTCGCCGCCTCGTCGGACGCTCGCGACAGGCGACGTCGGGCGGCGATCACCGGCGCTACGTCGGATCAGCCGCCCGTCGATCCGCCGTCGCCGCCGCCGACGGCTATCGAGTCCCCGCGCGCGAGCCCCGACAGGCGGCCTTCGAGCCTCGCAGCTGCAGTCTGCCGCTGCTCGCGGGCGCACTTGTTCTCGATGATCGATTGGCCGTGTCGGCGAACGACGGCTAATTGCCGGCTCTCGAGAAGTTGAGCGCGCTCGGCGGGGCCCCGCGGCGATACGGAAGTTGCGACCCCCCGAACCGCGGCGCTCGATCGACGATCAGTCGACGACTGTCGAACGCCGCTTTTCGAGCGCGCGTTCTTTCGACTTCCGCCGCCCCTCTTTTCGGGCTGCGGCACTCTGTCGCTATCGGCAAGCGTCGACTCGACCGCGGATTACGACGCGAGATCGCCACAATGCGTTCGGGTGCGGTCCAGCTGCGATCGAGGGGGCAGCAGCCCGAGCGAACAAACGCGGCGCGGCCTCTTGCGCGCGTCGTTGAGCCAACTACTGGCGGCGTGGGCCACCGAGCAACGAGCGCGAAGACGAAGCTCTGGCCCCGGGCAATTGGAGTGGTCGGCATAATCGTCCGCGGTCAATTTCCGTGCTTGCGCCACATTGCTGGCGGTTCGGAGAGAGGCACCACCGCGAGCACGAATTAACGTCTCTCCGACGCGGTCGCGCAACCGAGCCGACGAATGGGCCGGAACTCGCGATAAGCGCGCTCTCCGCGACCAGCGCTGATGGCGATCGGTGCTCGCTCGCTCGCCGAGAAAAAAATCTAGGCGTACGGGTGCGAGCGCGCGTCTCCAAGCTGAACACCTGTTAGCCGCGAGGCATCTTTATCGGCGGCCGCCGAGGTGCGCATTTTCTGGCTCATCGATCAATTTCCGTCGTCCTCTAAGCCGATTTCCCCGCCCATCAAACCGACTTCTCACTCACTCTCTCTCTCTCTCTCTCTCTCTCTCTCTCTCTCTCTCTCTCTCTCTCTCCACCTCCGTCTATACGTTGGTTCGGGAATGACGCTTCTGTCGCCAGCAACTCATAAGCAAGCCATTTTTTCCATTGGACCGTCGGAATTAAGCCAGCCGAGCTTGACTAAACTATGAGTTTGCGAATAAATCAGGCGCATAATGAGGGTCGCTGCTGCTTTGTCGAAGTCAACTGTTTGCCGACTAATTGAGGCGCGTTTTTGCTTGTGAGTCGCCGTTGCCTTTTTAAATACTTGATCTCCATCAGGACAACGACGACTCATCGTCGTCTCGGCGAGCGCGGACAACGACGCAAGAGCCTGTTCTCTATGCTCTTTGACGAAGCATTTTTTGCGCCAAGCCAGTCATCCAGTCAGAGCTGCATTATGCCTCCTCTTTATCCTCGTTCCACGCTCTACTTCTGTGCACCCTGTTCTTCTCTCTCTCTCACTCTCACACACACATACACACTCGCTATCTGGCTCTCGTACGGCTATTTTTTCCAGAGCGGTCGCGTTACTATTTCGTGTCTGTTTTCGTTAGCGACATGTCAGCCAAATACTGCGCCCAATTTGAAAATAAAAGCTCGCTTTCGCGCACGAGTCACATCGAGCATGTTTACCAAATAAGTGTGAAAACAAACAGAGCGAAGAATAGCACAAAAGCGAGAAGAGGCGATTGCAATAATAAACCGGCGAGAGTGCAAGCGACGCGCAAGCAAGTCGACACTGCGAATATTCCCGATAAATAAACCAGAGAGAGAGAGAGAGAGAGAGAGAGAGAGAGAGAGAGAGAGAGGGAGAGAGCGTTGGCTTGAACGCCGCTGTAATAGCTGGTGTTCAGTTGGCTCGCCAAGTCGTCGAACCGACAATACGAGCAGTGCGCCAGGTTAAAGATTGTCACCGGCGGTCGAGATTTGCATGCAAGCCTAATCGTATCGAGAGCGAATATAAGTTGCCGGAGGGGGTTGCGGTGGACGAGGGAAAAGGAGGAGGGGGCGACTAGGGAGGAGCGGCCGGCGTTGGGCGTAGGGTCTGCGCGTCAAGAGCGCAAGAGAGGAGAGAGAGAGAGAGAGCGCGCGCGTTTGGGCGTTGTAGGTCTGAGGGTGAGAGAGAGAGAGAGACTCACGTTGCGTTGTTGTTGCTGATGCAGTTTCCTTGGGCAGGGCACATCGCCCGAGGGCTTCGGAGGGCTGGGGACTGTTGGCACGAGCTACCGGGGCCCCAGCACCCCTGCACTGCTCCTCCGGCGCTGATGCTGCTGCCTCTGCGGGTGCTGCGTGTCTGCCTCGAGCGGGCGTGGGCCGCCTGCTAGCATCAGCCTAGACATCGAGCGACGACCAGCTGCTGCCACCACCACCACCACGGTCCGACAGAGAGAGGAGGACAGAGAGAGCGCGAGACAGAGAAGAGAGAGAAAGAGAGAGAGAGAGCGAGAGAGAGAGAGAGAGAGAAGAGAAAAGAGAGAGATGAGAGCGAGGAAGTAGCAGAGCGACAGCAAGAGAGAGATCAGGATTGTTTAGAGTCTAGTAGTGGCAAAGAGGGCTGGGCGCGCCGCTGATCCGGCTGGCGGCCTGCGGCACCTCATGCCGCCGCAGCAGTGTCGATTGGCAGTGAGGATTGCTTCCGCTTCTTGCTTGCGAACTGTCCGAGGATGCGGCGGCAGCAACGCTTCACCGCTGCCCCGCGCATAACTGTCTCGCGCACTCAACTCGCGCGACCCGTGCCCGCACTCGCGCGCTCGGACCTCGCCTCTTGGCCCTCGGCTCTCGACTTGGGTGGCGCGTGCTGCTTGCTGGCGCCGCCGACGCTCCACGAGTTACGCTCTCGGCCGCCGCGTCGGGGAGTCTGCCGCCGCCGCTCGCCGAGCCGCGGAGCCGGAGCCGCCGCGACCCCACGGGAACGAGCGAGAGCGAGAAGGGGAGAGCGGCGGCGCGCCGCCGCGGCCGCGCCGCCGACGACGCCGACGCGGTAGGGCGCGAGCGACGCGGACGACGCCGGAGCTGCGCGAGAGCCGCGGCCGGCCAGCCAGCCAGCCCGGGAGCCAATGCCAAGCCATGTGGAAGACGAGGGCCGACGCGGCCCGAGCCCGCCCGAGCCACGGCCGACGGGCACACCCTCCGCTCCGCCGGCCACGTGCGGAGCCCGCCGCCCCCTGCGCGCGGACGCTCGGGCGCAATCAGTGGAAGAGGTCGGCCTCGGCGCTGGTGATCGGCTCGGCGGCGAGGTCCCGAGCGCGCGGGCTGGGCCGCCGCCACCGCCGCCGCTGTCGGGCCACTCGACTCGTCGGGGCGTCTCGCGCACGCGCCCTCGGTCTATCGATTGCAAGTCGCCGCCAGCGCGGACGGGCTCGCTTGCCGAGCCGCCAGCCAGTGCTCGGGCGCCGCGCGCACCGCGAGCAGCGATGAGCGACGGAGGATGATCGGCCGCGGCTGCTGTGTGCTGCTGCTGCTGCTGGGCCTCGGGCTCGTGGGCCCAGGCCGCGCGAACCCCGACGCCAAGCGCCTCTACGACGACCTGCTGTCCAACTACAACCGCCTGCTGCGGCCCGTGCCCAGCAACAACGACACCATCGTCGTCAAACTCGGACTGCGCCTCTCGCAGCTCATTGAACTGGTAAGCCCCCCCCTCCCCCAGTCCCGCGGATCGTTAGCACCGCCAGACCAACTTGCGCTCGTCTGCTTGCAGAACCTCAAGGACCAGATCCTCACGACCAACGTCTGGCTCGAACACGTGAGTACGATCGCCGCGAGGCTGTTCTCTTGTCCGTAACTGATCGCTGTCTGCGTCGAAGCAGGAATGGCAGGACCACAAGTTCAAATGGGACCCCAACGAGTACGGCGGGGTGACGGAGCTCTACGTGCCCAGCGAGCACATCTGGCTGCCCGACATCGTGCTTTACAACAAGTAGGCCCGCTTGCCGCTCGGTCGCGCGCCCCTCGAACGCCCGTTGCTAATGCTTGTTCACTGCTCATTCCCGTGGCAGCGCGGACGGCGAGTACGGGGTGACGACGATGACCAAGGCCGTGCTGCAGCACACGGGCAAGGTGCACTGGACCCCGCCGGCCATCTTCAAGTCGTCGTGCGAGATCGACGTGCGCTACTTCCCCTTCGACCAGCAGATCTGCTTCATGAAGTTCGGCTCGTGGACTTACGACGGCTTCCAGGTGAGCATCGACGCCAAGTCGAGTCGAGTCGAGTGCAGACGCGCGTTTGTGGGCAGATCGACCTGAAGCACATCAACCAGAAAGGCGCGGAGAACCAGGTTGAGCTGGGCATAGACCTGCACGAGTACTACCCGAGCGTGGAGTGGGACATCCTGGGGGTACCGGCCGAGCGCCACGAGAAGTACTACCCGTGCTGCACCGAGCCCTACATCGACATCTTCTTCAACATCACGCTGCGCCGCAAGACCCTCTTCTACACGGTCAATCTCATCATCCCGTGCGTAGGCATCAGCTACCTGTCGGTGCTGGCCTTCTACCTGCCGGCCGACTCGGGCGAGAAGATCGCCCTCTGCATCAACATCCTGCTCTCGCAGACCATGTTCTTCCTGCTCATCTCCGAGATAATCCCGTCGACGTCGCTGGCGCTGCCGCTGCTCGGCAAGTACCTGCTCTTCACCATGATCCTGGTGGCGCTCTCGGTGGTCGTCACCATCGTCATCCTCAACGTGCACTACCGCAAGCCCAGCACCCACAAGATGGCCCCGTGGGTGCGCAACTTCTTCATCCGCCGGCTGCCTAAGATCCTGCTGATGCGCGTGCCCGAGGACCTGCTGGACAACATGGCCGCGCACAAGATCTACGGGCGCATCGTGCAGCCGGCGCGGTCGGCCGGCGGCGGCGGGCCCGGCGCCGAGAACGGCAACGGCAAGCACCAGAGCAAGTTTAGCGCGGCCGTGGCGGCGGCCGTGCAGCAGCAGCAGCAGTCCTCGTCGCTGCTGTCCTCGCCGGAGTCGCTGCCGCGCCACGGCCAGCAGCAGACCGCCGCGGGCGGCCTCGCCTGCAACGGCCTGCACCACAGCACGCAGGCCCACCACCGCTTCCTTGGCGCCGGCAGCATCGTCGGCAACGTGCTGCAGTACAACGGCCTGCCGACCGTCATGTCCGGCCTCGACGAGTCCATGAGCGACCTGGCCGCGCGCAAGAAGTACCCCTTCGAGCTCGAGAAGGCCATCCACAACGTCATGTTCATTCAGCACCACATCCAGCGTGAGGACGACTTCCGCGCGGTAAGTGCCGGCCTTTGCCGCCCTCGTCGGCTCCCTCTCCGCCGTCTTCCGCTCCCGCCAGCCTCCGCTTGCCGTTCCAGGAGGACCAGGACTGGGGCTTCGTCGCCATGGTGCTGGATCGGCTCTTCCTCTGGGTCTTCGCCATCGCCTCGCTCGCCGGCACCTTCGCCATCCTCTGCGAGGCGCCGGCCCTCTACGACGACACCAAGCCCATCGACATCAAGCTGTCCTCGGTCGCCCAGCAGATGTTCTTCCCCAACAAGCAGCTCGAGCACCTCATGAAGCCCCGGAATTGAAGCCCGCCGCATCCACGCCGCAGCTCTCCAAGTGCATCTCCGAGTCGAATCAAACTTCTGCGCTTGATCCACCCGTCGACGCCTGTCTCAAATCAAAGCGGACGCGCCTCGCTCGACGCGCACTCTGGCTGCGTCTCGGCACCTCTTCCCGCCGAAATTGAGCGTCTCCAAACACTGCCTACGCAATCAATATTACTCGATCTCTCTGTACATAAATCGTTGCGTATAAACTTATCGACACTCCAATTATTAGCTCTACGTGTGGAGGCGTGCCCGCGAACCAATCGCCTCCAGAGCCTGAACCGCGGCTTAGACGCTCCGCCTTGCCGCTGCCGCGCAACAATCAACTGTTCTTTTCTAGACATGTTTAATCAAACGTACATTTCAATTTAGTCCGCAAACCTACCGACTACTAGTCGACTAATCGCATCGGACAACAGCTGTTAACTAGTTGCAAATCATGTTATATATATACGTATTGTCGACTGTTTTCAAATATTTATCTTACGTCTGTTCGTTATTGAGAATCAATTTGCTCGAATTACCGATTATATCGTCGATATCCACCCGCTCGTTTGATTCTTTACCATCCGTCGTTTATTTTTAATGTTGCCAAAAAATCGACACTTTTCTATTGGCTGCGAAAAATAATAACAAGGCTGAAATGTAACGATGAATTGAAAATGTAGCAGGTTCGAATTGAATAACTAGCCGCGCATTCACTTAAATATTTTATAAACGCATAAGCATAGCCTTTTTATACAGCTTATAAAAAATGACATTTTTTATCCTTATTTCGAAAAAATAACAACAATAAATACGTGCATTGGTAGAACGTTGACTATTTCGCATAAGTTCTGTATTTCATCTCTGGTTTTGTAAAATAACCAATAAAAAAGCTACATAAAATTGTAAATAAAATTATGCGTTTCGTTTTTCTCGTTCCGCTTGGTTGCTTGCCGCCGTTGTGGACACGTGATTCATTTTATTTGAAACTGTTTTATTTGTCATCCTCAGAAAAGTACCTCCTTTTACTGACCATCTCAGAACTCGAAGCTTGGGACAGAGCTCTACCGTACCGATGTATTTTTATTCTTACCACGCCTCTCGTATCGATCGTCCAGGATAATAAGAATGACAATATCAACTCTTATAAGTCGTCTTAACAAACAACTTTGTTTATTAATATTTAATTACATACTTAATGCACTATGATTTGGAAATCACTTTAAAATACATTTAAAGCTTGATCAAAACTTTTTACATTAGTATGAGAACTTTCAATCTGTAAAATTATATCAAAAATGTTGAACTAAAAACTTTTTAAAAAAATATTACAAAATAGTGAAGATATAAAAGAAAAACGTTTTACAAACGATGTACCAAAGTTATACAACTATTTAGATATTTACTTCGAGATTAATGCAAGAAGAGAAGAAACACGGTGATATGTTTATTCAAATCAGAACGTAATTGTCTTTTAAAAAATGGCAAATGGAATGCAATTAACCGAGTTGGTCTGGTGTTTAACGAAATTTAAAATTAAGTCAAATGAAAACTATAGTTTGTTCTGTTCACCAAATAGTCACTTATGATAGTACGATAAACGAATTAACACTTAAATCTAAATGCGCTCTCTGTGCCCCAGATTACAGAATAGTTTCTAAATCATTTCTAAAATCATTTACATAACGGATTGGCAGAACTTATCGAAACGGACTAGATATGCTGTGTAAAATATACTTAACATTTTCACTCTGGGCTATTGCAATTGCTCGTAGGCTGTTAATTCTTTATTGGGAACTGAAATAAGTTGGTAGGCCGTTGAATAACGCAACAGCATGTAACCGCGATACGAAGCGCTGCAACAGTAGTCTTAGTTAATTGTACGTTTTAAAAAAATACTGATGAGGAACTAACGCGTTCCCATTTTCAGAAGCAACTGCAGCAGAGACGACAGTAATAAAATACAAAACTCCTTATTTCGAAAAATATCTCTCCCGCCTAGGGGAGTATTGAGGACAGGGAAGGCTGGGTCAGAAGCGGGTAGTACGATTGCACACGTACACGTGGCTCCGTCTTAGGATTAACGGAGCTGCCGAGGCTCGATCCGAGTCGAGGATGAATGTGGGAAAGATATATTACTCGTCAGTGAGGGCGAGGTCGCTGTGGCGGTCGAGTGCGTACTCCTGGCGAGATTCCGCGCAACTCGATGCGCTCAAGTCCAGGAGCTAGAGCAGGCCAATCAGCCTTTCCAAGTGCCGATGTAGACTTTGCAGTTGGGGCAGAAGTGGTGCACGCTGAGAAAGGCGCTCAGACAATAGGGCAGACAGGAGCACAAGCAGCAGCTGCAAGCGAAATCGAAGCGAGCTTACGGACCTGAAGCTTGGAGAAGACCTTATGGACTTGCGAGTGGTAAGACTCACCCCAGCAGACAGAGAACGAAGCAACAGACGTGGGCGCTCGGTTGATGGTCGGACATGGTAGTGGTTTTGATGTCGGCGTGGCACGAGGGGCAGCACATCTTCACGGGGTTGGGACCTAGCGTCAGGCTGACGTGTTGGTGGACGACCACTCGGACCTCCGGCGCCTGCGTCTGGTTGCTAACCTGCTGGGGATGGGGCATCTGTACCGAGGGCGCCACATCTGTGAATTGAGAGTAACGGTTGAGTGACGTTCGTAGCCGGGTGACGGAGCTACGTTGCTGCAGCAGTCGTACAGGGCGCAGATATGGGCATGGGCATCGACGCCCCGGCTATCGGGTAGGGTGGCATGCCCGGTGGTGCCGGGTCCATCGAGTTTGGCCCCACGCTCGTCAGCCCGACCGCCTCCTCATAGGATGGTGGCGCCGATGGTAGCGGTGCGGAGGCTGCCGCCGCTGCTCCTCCTATGCTCGGTCCCTTCTCCATCTCTCACACGAGCTCCGCCTGTAAAGTGACGCAATTGATTAGACGCCGTTGAGCATTACGTTGACCTCAGCACTCGCCGAGAATGGAAAGCGCAGCGCCGATTAATCTGTCGGTGCTCGCCAGCAGTGAAAGTTGGCTTGGCGGACGTGCTCGATGGAAAGCAAGCACATCGCTATTATGCCACAGCGGTCTGCCGTCGGAGCGAGTTTCACCGAAAACATTCGTACGTTCGACAGGATGAGAATGACACTCTCGCACTCCGTCTTCGCCTCTCTCACTCTTGCTGGTACAAAACCGTTGGTGCGGCAGCTGTACCGAATCAATTAGACACCCATAGCTTATCGGACACGCACATACGTACACGCTTTCCGAAGAACACGCACGGAAATCTTATCTCTCCCCTCCCCCCTCCGCCTCTACGACACGCATTGACGCGAGTCACACTCTATGGAAAACACCGGATTTTTCACTCTTCTTGAGCGTGTTTACTCGCTTGCAGCTGCAAGAAAAACTCCTATTATCTCTGCTTTACATTTTAGTAAAAACAGAAGCGCAGCAAGACTCAATAATCGCTTCTGCCTCATCGGCATTTTTCTTCGTTTGCCTCTATTTCGCCTTTTTCTTTTGACAAACTTGTTAGCAGGAAAATTAACGCTAGCGCAACGCTAGCGTTTGCGCAATTCAGTTAACGAACAGCGATAAAAATTGTTTAAAAAAAACGGAATTATGACGTCCAACCAACTTACTACTATAGTGACGTACGCACAATATTGACACAACGATCGAGTAACTCTGGGGTCGCTGATTTCCGTAAATGAAAAAAAAGATGAAAAATACGAGGAATGATGAAAGAGTCATCAGATAAGATGCAAGGCCAAATAGGATAAAGTTTCAGGCTACATTTGAGATCAACTACTGGTGCCGTCATCTGCAGTTGACGATGCACGTGCGTAACAACAGTAAAATCTACCAAACCTCCTAAAGTTTATTCCCATAAATATCCCGCTGTATCGTCAAAGTCGAGCCCATTCTGTGAGAGACAGAGACAGGAAGAGAGCGCGCACAGCGTGAAATCCTGAAAGTGTTATATAGCTGCTTGCGTATCACACACACATCGTCACAGGCACAGACACTGACCGCAACTATAGACACGAATTCTTTCGAATTTGGCTTGATAGCTCCTTTGAATGAGTACATGCAAACGGAAACTGAGCTGCTGCAAGGTATTCGTCGCCGCCCGAGTGTCACCAAAAATAAGAAACGTTACTACGTACCGCTGTACTGCAACTTCTGCTAACAAGGCCCCAACGTATTAGTTGGAATTTGAGCAAACTTTCGAGTACGGGCGATACAGTCAACAATTGAGCAGTTATTTTTCGAGACTAGTGGGGCAGTCGACAAACGAACGATAAACCCGCGAAACAAAAAGTGAACGAGACTAGAGACAAGCAAGCAAACCTCACTCACTGCGACCGTAGGCAGGCAGTCCACGCAGATGAATCTCAGAATCCGAGAATCTTTGATCGCGACGCGGCAACTAGCAGCATCTGCCATCTCTTGGAGTCACGACGAACTTGCAGCAGCGCACGCTCATTCGTCTGCTAAATTTTTGTTTACTATCCCTGTAATTTTCCATAAACGCGCACTCGAAGATAACGGGTGTAGGCAGATCTGTGCCAAATATAGAATAAGGTTGACCAACGCCTGCATTTTCGTAGCCACGCTGACATTAGACGTAGCAGCTGTTGATTATCTGGCAATTACTAACCTAAGTCTAACTGCGTTCACGGCTCAAACAATTTACGAATTATGCGTATTGAGCGTTGCGTAGACGGGCGTCACGCGTGGCGTGGCCAGGTCTGGCGCAGCGGGGTAAGAAGATCGGCAGCACTCAGCAGTCAACTGTGACGTGAGCAGAACACAACAGCAGCTTCCAAAGTCCAAACGCCACTCAAGATTCCACAGCACATACAACAGACTGGCCTCGGCTCCACGAACGAGCGCCGAACGGCGCAGTTCCAGGCTCTTGTCTCTCGGACAGCATCGCTGCGACTCGAAGTTTCACGTAAACAAGAATGTAGGTATAGTGCTCGAGATAATGCATTCTAGTGCTCTCAGATCTACAGCCAGGAGCCTCAGCGATTCTTCCGAGTACGCGCTTCTGGCCCTCCACCTCTCTGTCAACTAGATATCACTCATTAATCATGACGTAGTCATTGCGATTTTTCTTGCGTTGTTATACAGCCCAACTCACAATTTCGACGTGGCCGATCACCCTTGTAGGCCTAACAAAGGGCAAAGCGCAAGGTAAGCTAAGCTAAGCTCAGATCAGCTCAGCTCAGCTCAGCTCAGCTCAGCCATTTCCCAATTGTATCGGATTACCATTGATTTATTCGTCGTCTCCTCATTCATTCAAATAAATTCCATTTTAACTTAATTTTTGCCAAGTCACTCACACATTAGGTGCATGCCAAGCTGTTGCACGACTTGCAATGGAATTGTTGACGCGTTTCGATTCGTATTTTTCTCTTTATTTACAATGTGTTAGTCATTGGAACCATTTATGCATTCTTACCTAATACTCTCAAAGTCAGCCAGTGCATAGTAGAATAATTCAATTACTGTGTGTGCATGCTGTCTTATATCAATCCTATCAATTTTTTTCAATTGAACTGTTGCAACTATTTGGTTAATGTAGAGCTTGATTTGTGACCATTATGTAATTATATATTACTGACAATAGATCAATAGCTGATTATCTAAGTGTAGATTCTTATGACTTGTAAGCCATATATACTAAAACAACATATTTCAATTTTCTGCATAAAATAGTACAATTTGCCAATATGTTATTTGAAATGCTTCTAAATAGTAGGTTTGTTTTAATGTTTCTAGGTGTTGTCTCTTTCTGGAAAAAATGAAAAATGAATAGAGTTGAATGTCAAATAAAGTTTGGAAAGTTAATAAAACCAGTCAAAGATGAGTGGACTTGGAGAGAGCAGTCTTGGATCAAATGTCCAAATAGCTGCAATGAACAATGCTATTTCACCACTGCTTTCACATTCTCTACAAGTTGCTCAAATTCAATCATCCAACGGTGACACTGTGAGTTTATCACAAATATCTTCCAATTACAATAGACTTAATTAAGTCAATTTTTGAATTAATTTTTTTAGGACAAGCAGTTACCAATAACTCCTGAAATATCTCCAAACAATGAGAGTATCACAAATTCACAAAGAGTCTGGACAAGTCTTGTGGCAGGAGCTGTGGCTGGAGGAGCAGCTAAAACTTCAATAGCACCTTTAGATAGAACAAAAATTAATTTTCAGACATCACAGAAGCCTTTTTCTACTAAAGCTGCAGCTGATTTTTTAATTCAATCCTACAGACGAGATGGCCTGTTAAGTCTTTGGCGAGGAAATAGTGCTACCATGGTCAGAATTGTGCCATATGCTGCCATTCAATTTACAGCTTACGAACAGTGGAAAAGGATTCTAAAAGTTGATAAACCTGAAGCGTAATGATACATTTGTAACTGTGCATTGCAATACTCAAATTCCTGTGATAATGATTTCAACTCATTAATTTCATTGCAGAAACAAAGAGAAAAGGTTTCTGGCAGGTGCTTTAGCAGGTACTACATCTCAAGCTTTAACTTACCCCTTAGATTTGGCAAGAGCTCAAATGGCTGTTACACAAAAAGATGAATTCAAAAATCTGAGACATGTCTTCATTCGAATTTATCAAACAGAAGGCATAATAGCTTTTTATCATGGCTTTACTCCAACAATATTAGGAGTTATACCCTATGCTGGTTGCAGCTTCTTTTTCTATGACACAATAAAAAATTTGTTTGCTGGTAAATGACCAATTGTTTGCTTACTTTGGTCATTAACTATAAGTTAAAAATTTATTCAAATTTACAGTATATACAGTGAATAGTCCTGGATTGAATGCAATGTCTGGTCTTTTATCTGGTGCAATAGCAGGAATGATTGGTCAAGCTAGTAGTTATCCTTTAGATATAGTACGCAGAAGAATGCAAACCTCTTCGCTCAAAAATCAACAATCACTTGGCGTTATTGCCATGACGAAAAAAATTTACGCGTAAGTTTTCTCGTTAATCATAATCATTTCATCTATATTTGCAGAGAAACTGATGACTATTTCTCATTAATGTAATTTTTTATAGCGAAGATGGTGTCATGTCTTTCTACAAAGGTTTAAGCCTGAATTGGGTGAAAGGTCCTATTGCTGTTGGAATTAGTTTTGCTACTTACGATTTGGTAAAGGATTTACTTAGAAAAATTTTGTGTTAATTGTACAGCGACATGTGATGAAGTAATCATTAACATGATTCATAATGGCTATTTTTTATTTTATGTACCATTTGTATTAAAATATTAGTTTAAATTTCAATATTTATGAAATTTAACTATTAGTTCTACAAATTCAAATCAGGTATGATCATTAATTCAGTGTAATATTGTTTATAGATTTTTAAATCTTTCCGAATTTTTGATTTATTGAAATCTTTTATCAAAAATTATTTAGAACAGATTTCAAAATCTTTGTTTTTTATATCTATAATAGATTATTTAGAGTTTATATTGATTACGTCTATACATATAAGCTCGTGGATATGTAATTATTTTTGAATACTGTTTTTATACAAGGAAGTTATTTGATCGAGGAAAAATTGTTGAATGGTGTACATTAGGAGCGTGCGTGCTCTTGATAAATTGTTATATAATGTTATAGTAACAAGTCAATTCAATTGTAAAAATTGCATGTTTACTCTTAACTAATTTTTGCTATTTGCTTTTCTATTTAAAGAAATGCTTGTTTTTTATTTCTAAGTCTGTTTATGTTATTTTTCATTAATGGTCTAATATATGTGATTTTTTAATATAACAAACAGCTTTTTTAGTTCAGGATACTCTTACTATTTAAAGTTATAAAATTTAATGTCAATTTCTTTCAATTTTACATATAATGTGCAATATTGACAATGATTTTTTTACAAAATAAGTTTACTTAATCCTAAAAGAATTTTATACAATATAATGTTCTCGACTTCTATATCACCCGATCTTATCTTTCCTGCTTTCAACTTAAGTAACAAAAAATTGTGCAGATCTAACCATAGTGGAAAACTACTATTAGAATGTATTAAAAATTCGGTTTTTACGAATTGTACTCATTGAAAATAAATTTGTTAAAATTTATAAATAAATTAATGTATCTTATTACACAGTTACCATATGCTTTACTTACAAAAAGTAATGTCAATATAAAAAATTGTGAATATTTCTTATTATAAAATCTATTTTCACATACAAAACTATACAAATATAATAAACATTAAAAGTTCTATTCAAAGATTTTCAATGAGATTTTCATTTTGGATTAAATTTTCATTGTAGATAAATTTATTTTGGTTTAGTTTCTTGGTCATTTACATATCTTATGTAAACTTCTCTCTCATCATTACCACCAGGTGGAATTTCGGCTTCATTCAAATACGACACTCCAATTGCCAAAACTGAGCCATCTTGACTGAAACTCAAAGCTGCCACACCAGCATTATAACGATGAAACTGACATAATCTCTTCTTATTAAATCCATCCCAAATATTGACGTATCCATCTGAGCCTCCTGTGGCAAACGTGTTATATCCAGAATGAAAACTTATGGCATTTACAGGATAAATGTGCTCCACATTGTTTTCTTTTATTCTATGACATTTGAATGCATATTTTTTCTTCTGAGCTTCTGGTGTAGTATCTAAATATTCTACAGCAACTCTGCCTTCGATGCTACTTAAAACATAGCCCTAGGCCAAAATTTAGATTAAATTAACATAACAATAATCAACAAGTGAAAATGGCTAGTAATATTTAATACCTGTTCATTTGGAAAACCTTTGATACACCTAGTTTGGTATTTTAGACTGCTTTCTCGCCTCTGGAACATGCCAGCCATATTTCTCAAATCCCAAATGCAAACTTTCCTCTTTGCTGTTCCAACGACAAATTTATCACCGCAAACTGAAAGGGCTAAGATCACATCTGGTTGAATGTAACTTCCTACGCATGTTGGTGACCTTGGATCCCATAATTTCACTGTAGCATCCCAACCACCAGTTAGGATAGCATTAACAGCAGGACAGTACTCTACCTTTCGGATAGGTTCTTCATGCGAGCCCATAATAGTTTCTGTAAAAAAACTTGAATGTAATGTTATGTAATTTTTATAACGAATTTGATCGAAACGAGTGAATCATACCTGTATTTGTGTTGATGTCGTACATTTTTAAAGCTTTACCCAGTCCACCACTATATGCATGAACAGCATCCTGTAAACGAATGAGTTTAGTTTTTTGAAATTGAAAGAAACATAATGAATGGTGATTCATAGATGAATACCTGAAATGCTACATCAAGTACTGGTAGATCGTGATTGTATTTCAATCGTAAGGTGTTTGTTTGTATGTCGTACAACCGAACTGTACTATCCCACGAAGATACAAGTAAAAATTGCGTGGAATTGGGCCCAAACTCTACAGCTGAAACAGCATCGGTTGGAGGACTTTTAAGTTTAAACTCTGTACGTGACTCCATGATTTCTAGAATGAAATAAATAAATGAATATAATAAATGTAAAATGCTTGTTTTTTGGTAAAATTTAACCTAAAAAATGTAATTATTATAAACGAATATAGAACCTTTTATAAATAATTAGTCCAGATGTGGCTTAAAGTGCAGCTTTCCGTGATAGGTGGCTTTCGTAGTAATCTTGCAGCGTTATTCTAAAGCCTACATTAAATAACAACAGCGTAAAATCGATTAATACTTGAGTTGGTGCCGGCGACAATTACTCTCTGGTTAGTATTGTTACGTATTGGTTGATTGGCGGCATTTGGAGGAGCGGAGCGGCGCGCAGACGCGGAACTATACTGCTCAAGCACGCCACTACTCGGCTAGTATTTGAAGTAAAAAATATTTCAATAGATCCAAATTAAATCAGTCACTTGACATGTAAATCTTTCTCAATTTCCATGACGTACAAAAAACAATTACTGAGTTTGACGGCGACAGTTAGTCTATTAAAAGTCAACTGGTACATTAAAAGCATCGAATATCGCAATAATCAGAGACAAACGTGCTTGTATATTATTGACAATACTCAATGGAGCATCAGAAAGAAGGCGATAAGAAGCAATGTACATACTGTAAATAAGAACAAATTGCTAGAAAAATGTGACGCGTTGTGAATACTCGTATTGGTTTTCTTAGGAGATGATCTAATGACCCTTACATATTTACATATGTAACATTTGCGTGCAATTTTATAACTTTTAGAACACACACCCGTGGTGCAGCGCACGAAATTTTTACATGACACGAAAGCGAGCACGCGTAGCCCAGATCAATTGTACATGCAGGCTTGGTCGGATACTCAGCGCCAAGATGAAATGTTTGCCATCGTACTCGCTTTCGGATTGACGACTCGAGCGGGTTACCCGAACTTGCGACCGCAAGCTCGAGCGCTGCTTCTTCTCCCTCGATCGAAGGTCGCAGCGCTTTGGCGCCGGGACTCCGCGAGCGCGGAGAAACGCTCAACTGGACGCTGAACGCCTAGCGTTTACCAACAAACGCGCCTGCCCCGCGTTTCCGCTCGGCCGGCGAATTCGGCGGATCGGTCGGGCAGCGGTCGGGCAGCGGCCAGTGTCGCGCGGCCTTGATCGCGCAGCGCACGTCGTGGCTGGACAATCGCTCGAACGATGCCTTCTCTGCTGGAGCTGCTGCTGCTGCTGGGGCTGCTTGTCGCGAGCGGCGCGAACAGGCCGACGTCGAGCGGGGACTACATCAGTCTGAGACTGCGGCAGACCAGGAATTCGTGGCTAGGCGCCGAGGACGCAGGTAAGCAGGCCCGACGGGCCGCGCGCCGGCCGCCGCACTGGCTCTCTGTTTGTCGGCAGCCGAGGCGCGCCAGTGGAAGAATTTGTGGAGTCGGCCAAGCCGACAGCAGCCTCGCGCGGTCGGCCTGTTCGACGAGGCGTTGCCGATCGACGAGCGCCGGGTGCTGTCGGTCGCGCTAAATTTAACCGAAGCCAATAGCACGGGAGCGAAGCGCCAATTGAATCTCGCCTCCGCGAGTCAGCCCATCAAGTTCATTAAGGTATGACGCGCGCTCGTCGTATTTGTTTCTCTTTATTTACATTCCGCGCCCGTTGCAGAGCTATTCTCGGAGCGCGCTGTCGCTCCTCGTCCTCTGCCGAGTGACTTATTGCGCTCATTATCGGACTCTCGACGGCTCGACCTTCCAGCGCGCGCAGGCGATCGCCCATCCGGCACTCCTGCCGATCGATGCGGCCTTCTTTTGGCACGCCGGCGAGCCGCATCTGGTCATTGCCTACGACTCCGAGGACGCGGTACCCACTTCCAAGTGAGCGCCACGCTTCGCCTCGCTGCTCGATCCCAGCCTCCGATTGTCACTGCCCGCAGGATTTACCGCTGGAGCGGCACGCGCATGGCTCTCGTGGCCGACGTCGGCGTACCCAGTCCGAAGTCGGTCGCCGCCTTCCGAAGCGGTCGCTCGACGCTCCTGCTGTTTACGCTCGCGCGAGGCGCCGAGGGCGCTTGCGTCATTTACGAGCTGGGCGACCAAGACTCGACCCACCGACTGAGCTCGGCCGCCAATGTGGGTGCGCTCCTGTTGATTCAACCTTACGAAGATGCCGAGCGCTCGCTCTTCCTGGCGATCGACGCCGCCGGCTCGGCTTCGATATTGCGCTGGAACGGTACGCCCCTCGCTCGTGGCACTCGGCCGCCGAGTCTAATCGATGCCCTCTGTTCGAACCATGGCAAAGGTGCTGCCTTAGAGAGCTTGGCGAACCTGCCGGACGTGCGGCCAGTCGCCTACCTAGTGCGCATCGTGCAGGTGGACAACGAGACGCTACTGTTCGTGGCCTATCCGGTAATTGACCAACGAACTCGCTCGGTTGCTTCGCCCGGACTGTCCGCTGCACCGTTGCTTGTTTCATGCGGACGCAGAGCGCCCTGCTCGTCTACCGACTGCTGGCCGAGAAAGCCGTGCACCTGGCGGAGCTGACGCTGCCGAGCGGACAGCGCGTCGTCGACGCGACGGCCTGGAGGCACGGCGACGCGACGATGGTGCTGCTCGTCAAAATTAACACCGACGGCACGTTCCAGACGGAGCTCTGGCAACTGAATCCGCGGGCCGAGCGGCCGAGTAAGTAGAGTCCCGCAGCCAATTGGCTTTGATAGCCGAGCGGCGCTACAAGTCCTCCTAATCCGACAGGCGGCGTCGACGACGGCGACGACGATGAGGCACAAGTGCGGGCCTGCTTGAGGGAACTGAGGCGCGCGCTGGACTCGAGAGCGGCGACGATAGAGCGCTTTCGAGCTGTCCAATCGTGGCGAGATTCGGTGAACGCGAGCGAGAGCGGTCCGCTGCGCCTCGGCGACCTGCGCGTAAGCGGCGGGAGCGTGTCCGTCGTGGAGTTTCGCGGGGGGCCGAACGTGACGCCGCCGAGTCCTCGAGGCACGCGGGACCGGCTGGTCGAGCTGCGCGGCAGGGCGAGTGCGCTGAAGGCGGACGCGCTAGCGAGCCAGGCCATGCTCTCGGGCAACGTGAACGTGCTCGACGGGGCGAGCATCGACGAGATGCACGTCGACCGGCTGGAGGCCGGTCGCGTGAACGGCGAGCCGGCCGACCTGAGTAGCTACCTCGTCTCCGGCGTCGAGCAGCGGTTCGCCACGGCTCTGAGCGTGCGCGAGGCGAGCATCGACGAGCTAAGCGTGTCCTCGCTGTGCGGCTACGGCTTCGACCGTGAGTAGCGCAATGTCGCACGAACCGGCAATAAAGCAGCGGCGAGCGATTGACGGCTGATGATATCGTTGCAGATTGGATGCAAGTTAATGACTCGGCGAGGAGCAGCATCGCCAATTTGAGCAATAGCGCGGGCTCGACAATCGTAAACGACACGATTGTCATTGAATCGGACTTGATAATGAAAGAGCTGAAGGCGAGGCGCATCGGCGGCGTTGACTGGCGGGACTTCCTGGAAGGTCTGTTCGTCATCGGCAGGCAGCAGACGATCCAAGGTAAGAGCGAGAGAGAGAGACCGTTGGTCGGATCGGCGATGAAGGCGAACGCGCGCATGTACAGGTGTCGTGCGCTACGAGGGTCCGGTGCAGGTGACGAGGCTGTACAGCGAGCGCGTGAACGATGTGCCGTCATCGGATTTAATAACCAAGCCGTCCAATCAAAGCCTGCGAGACGCGTTTATCGAGACGCTGGAGGTTGAGCGGCTGTACGTGGACAAAGTGAACGGCGTGGCGATCGGTGAGGCCGCTAGAATGTCGACAGAGAACGTTATCAGAGGTAATTGGCGCTCGCGTTCGCGTGAGCCAGTGGTCACGGCTAACCGCGCCGCGTCGCGCCTTAGGCAAGGTCACGCTGGCCAGGCTCGTCATCACGGACGAGCTGAGCGTGGAGCCGAGCATCGCCATCCCGCTGATGCAGCCCATCCAGGACTACGAGCGCGTGCACATCGATGGGGACGTGTTCCTGAGGAGCCTGCAGCTCGGCGAGCGCGGCGCGCTGCACCTTGGCGGCGAGCGTCTGCGCACCGGCGTGCGCGGCCTCGCGGCCGGCTGCTGGACCCGGTCCGGCGACCAGCTGATCGAGGCGCCGGTCAGCCTGCGGCGCGGCGCCACCGTGGACCGCCTCAACTGCCGCTACCTCAACGGCCTCGGCGAGCGCGATTTCCTCTACACCGACGCGGCCCGACTGGCCGACCTCGAGAACGTCACCTTCGCCAGTTTCCGCTTCGGTGGCGGCGTCGGCCGCGCCTCCGCGGGCCACCCCGAGCGCGTGGTCGAGGAGGCCGCCGACCTGTTGACCTTCCGCCGGGCCGTGCGCTTGCGGCGGCTGACCGTGCGCCACAGCCTGTTTACCGAGCGGTTCAACGGCATTCCCGTGCGCGCCGTGACGGACGCGCGCCCGGACCGACCGCCTCGGCTGCCCGGCGAGCTGCGTCTCGAGACGCTGCGCGTGGGCGCGGGCGGCATGCGCGCCGGCGAGCTTCGCGTCGCGCGGGGTGAACGCGCGGCGCGGCGTCGCCGAGGCGCTGGCGGGCGCGCTGCGCGCCGACGGCCCCGCCACGTTCGACCGGCCGCCGCGCGGCGCCGCGCTGCTGGCCTCGCGGTCCAGCGTGGCCAGGCTGAACGGGCGCCACCTGGAGCGCGCCCTGCGCCGCCTGGAGCGGCTGGCAGGCGCGGGTGCGCACCGGCCCGGCTCGCTGGCGGTCGAGGCCGAGCTCGCGCTCGAGGACGGGCTGCGGGTCGAGCGCATCAACGGCGAGCCCGCGGGCGACTACGTCGAGCGCATGGGCCGCGACGATCCGGCGAACTTGCTGGACGCGCGGGGCCCCGGCCGCCTGCGCGTCACGGGCGACGCGCGGGTCGGCTCTCTGAACGGCCGGGCGCTCGAGGACCTTCTCGCCACTGCGCTGTCCAGGGCCGAGCGCCAGACGCTCGCCGGCACGGTCAGCTTCGGCGACGCGCGGCTCGAGTACCTGACCGCGAGCGCGATCAACGGCGTCGACCTCTCCCAGTTGGTCTACGTCGACCGCCCGGCTGTGCTGCGCGGCGACGTCACCTTTTCTCGTCTGTTCGTCGACGGCCACGTCGGCAGCCGGACGCTCAACGGTCAGGACGTCTCGCAGGTAGGCCTTCCTCTCTCGGCCGTCCAGCCGCTTCCGCTTCGGCCTGGCGTTCGTCGTCGATGTGCGGCCGTGGTAATCGATTTCAGCTCGCGAGCAAGCTGCGCCGCCTGCCGACCGACGGCCTGGACAACTTGCTGGTTCAGGCTAACGTCAAGTGGGAAGAACCATCGGGCGTCTCGCACTCCCTGGCTCGCTTGCTCGACGATGCGGTCACCACGCGCGACGATCAGCTGATCGTCGCGCCGGTCACCTTCCAAAGGCCCGCCATCGTGGAGTCGCTCTACCTGAGCGGAGACGCCGGCTCCGAGATCGCGCGTAAGATCAGCGAGATTGTCGCCGACACGGTCGTCGACGCTGGCAGAGCCTCCGATCCAATAGCCGTCGGAGGCACTAAAATATTTAAGCAGGCATTGGTAGTTGGCGATCTCGAGGTTCAGGGCAACATCGACATCGACCACGTAAACGGCCTCGACGTTCGTCAGGTCAGTTCGCGAATTTTTCGCAAAGACAAGGCAGAACTCGTGTCGGCCGACATTACCTTCCTCGATGCAGTCGAGATCGGTCGTTTGATCACCAAGGCCAATGTCCACGGGGTCGCGCTGCAGCAACTCGCGCTGCTCGACCAAAAGATGCCCAAGAAATTACATTTTCAAGACTTGCGCGTGGACGGCAACGTCTCGGTGCACAAGCTCGACGGGGTTGACTTGGACGACTTCCTCAAGCGCAGAGTGACCGTGGACGAAGATAACGAAATATTCGTCGACGCGGAATTCGCGCACTCGGTTCAAGTATTGAGTACGCATCTTTGACAGTTAGCTAAGACCTGAAAGCCCTCTATTTTGCTCTAACACGTTCGACCTCGCAGATGGCACTATGGTCGCATCGATCAATCAAGTAGCTCCGGAATCTTTAGTGCAAAACAATGCCGACGGTACGCCCATTATGGTTCACGGAGGTATAATCTTTCGTTCGAATCTGACCGTCGAGCGAAACTTGGAAACCACACGGATTAACGGCTTCGAGGCAAATGCGATCTACGATAATGCGGTTATGAACGGCGCGAAGGCCAACATCTCCGGGAGCTTGGTAGGTTCTTCGAAAGCGTAACAATTGTCGAGCGGAGCGTTTTGTTCAAGCGCTCAACATGCTAACCAGGTGTTCGAGGGCACGGTGGAGTTGTCAGGCGATATCAGCGTATCCGGAAAAGTCAATGGATTGCAATTGTGGCGTGCTGGCGGAAAAAAATATCTGCAAAACCCATTGGTACAGGCTGCCTTGAGTAAAGTGTCATCTTTGCTCAACGCTTCGCTCGACTTGGATAAATTCGAGCTAGGACGGACGAGAAGCTCGGGAACTAGCGTGCTCTACTTGGAACCGGAGAGGACATTCGATTGGCACTTTGCCGGTATCCAAGCTATCAAGAGTGCATCGATAAAAGATAAAACTCGATTGGAGTTCGTCACGGCGGAAGCGGCCGCACTTTGCGATTTGCCAAGCGGCTGTTCGTGCAGACTGCAGCGCGTTGTCGACGTTTTGCCGTCGGGAGAATATGAAATCCGGGAGGAAAGCCTGAACAACCTCAGGAATTCGTTTTACGCGCCCGAGGCTGCTTACGAACTGACGATTGTTAGCAGATCGGTATCGTACAGCAAACGGTGCTCGAAATCCAGCGGCGAACACGAGCATTCCAGGATATTTTGGTTTAACTCGGATCGACATCGAGAGACATCGAGACGGGTGCCGGCGCTCCTGATCGATGGCTACGTTTCGGATGCTCAAATTTTCCAGGTCGAGGGTACGTACACTCGATATCCTAATGACGCAACAGAACGGTTGCATTGCAAACAATGACACTCATCGATAGCTTGTTATTCGCCCGAACGCAGACCAATTGTACCTCATCGTAGCCATATTTTACAACAAAGAGGCCAATACTCACGCGACCAACTCTTTGCTGTACCGGTTTGACTTGACGAACGGGAAAACGCACTTGGTCCAAAGAATTGCAACACACGGAGCGAGGAACGTAAACGTTTTCCAAATTCCAAATGTTGGAATCCACCTTTTAATCGGCTGCGTGAAAGGTCGAGCGGAATCCTTACTTTTGAGATTCATTCCGGATACTCGTCAGGTATACGCTCCCAAGCCTCCATTTTTCACGAAGCTTCAATTAACAACGAGTTACATAGCGCGTCTTCGCTTTCGCGTCCAACTTAGTTCCAGGAGATTCGCACTTTCGCAACAGGTGGCAGCAAACACGTTGCGTCAGTCAGCTTCAACGACAAAAGCTTTGTTATTCTCAGTAATCCAGACGTCAGCGCTTTGCAAATATTCAACTACGAGGCCGATTTCGACTCTTTCGTCGACTATCAAACTCTACCCTTTCAGTCTCGGGTCACTTCTCTGGGAGTTTTCTATAGCGGAGGTAATACTATACACTAACACAATTGGCAATAAATAATTGTTGTTTACAATTAGAAAGCGCGCCAACACTTTTTCTTTATAGACTTCGGACAGAGCGATGCTTTCGTTGTTACAACTACCAAGGATGGTTGGCTTTACATATACGAATACATGTTCTACGGGGTAAGAGCACATTTTCCAGGCGTAACGTGGCCAAATTAATTTATGGATAATAACTCGATATTTCTACTATTTAGAAGTTCCAACGAAAGATGTCGTATTGGGCTGACGATATTCAATTTCTTACACCTTTTCGTCACATGAGTGAAAATTATTTATTTGCTGGATTCAAATTCAATAGTACAGTTTACAAAGTTATTCAACAAGGTTATTAATCAGTAGAAAATTTAAAGAGATTCATTAATCAACGATGACAATAGATTTTTTCTTCATTATGTATGTATTTACATATTTATTTCTAGTCATTAATCACGACTGTTTGCGACAAATAAGTGTAATAATAAATTCGTTTTTTTCAAATTCTTTAATGTTTAAATGTCATGTCATTGCAAATTGTAATCTTGGAAGACTTATCATAAAAATATACTTATAATTTAACAAAAATATTAATTTTAATATTGTGGAGATTCAACATTTTCCTATACATGTGTGTGTGTGCGTGTGTGTATGAGTGTGTGTGTGTGTGTACACGTGTGAGATTCGTCGAATTTCAACTTGATTCATTACCATATACGTAATCTTTAAAATTTCTATGTAGATCTTAATGCTATGGCTCTAATCATATAATTATTGCGTAACGTACAACTATCAATAGTTTGTGGCTTAATCTGAACCAATAGTTTATCTATGCAGAATAATTCAAAGACATGCGGGACTAGGAAAATTTAAAAAAACAAAACACGTTAATCCACAAATTATTAATTAAGACAGATGTTTTTTTTTCATAAATGATCCTCCGCTGAAGATCATTCGTTAAAGATCTTTCGTTGCAAAATCATACAACATATCCGCAAATTATAAAAAAATAAGAAAAAGTATAATTAAAAGAAAAACAAAAATCACAATCAGCATATGCTTATGAGTAACGCTATTTACGTTCAGTGTCATGACTGTCAAATAAATGCCGAGCAAAGTGTTATCAATTATCGGAGTGTATTTGCTCTTTTGGTATAATAATCTCGCTAACCACTATTTACAGGTGGTGTTATATAAATGCAGATCAAGTCAGAAAAAAAGCAACTACCGATAATTCCTAAGTAGCTATGAAATCTCGTAGTATTTTGTAATTGCTGCTTCAATTTTCATAAATAATTCAGACTTTGACGGTGATACTAATACTTGTGATTTGGCTCCAAATGAAAATATTTCGAAAAGTCGCTCGATCGGCGCGTCATCCTAAGTGACAAAACGGTTCAACGTAAAATTAATATTCATCGCAACAGTGATCGCGTGACTTTGATTTTCCGTCTTAGTTTTGACGACTCTCGAAGTGAAACTGGTCGAAATACTTTCAGTAGGCACGCCAAATCAGCGTCGTTCAAAGAAAAGACAAGGTAAATGTATATCGCGGTAGGCAGTTTAAAAAGATAAATGCGTATCAAGAGATGAATTAAAAATTAAAAGTGATCAAGTCGTACGATAATGTGGTCCGACGTTGGACCTGGCAGTTTAACGTTCAACCAATCAGTGCTGGTGTTGTCTTCGGTGTCGGTGGCATTGAGGGCGAGTCGGTAAGCCGGTGTGGCCTTATGGGGGATCCTAAGCTCGACTGGATTTCGAAACTCGAGGCCCTTTGGTCCGCATTCCACGAGTGGACTGAGCACAGATTCACCTGCAACAAGTTTCGGAAAAGTGAGCTGGGGACGCGCGCTGCGAGGAGCAGCCTCGACGAACGGCAGGCGTAAAATGATGGTGAAAAGCTCGAGGCGAGAGAGGATTAGGCACCGCCACCACGTGCAGGATTGAGTAGCTGATAGCTCACCATTATGAATGGGAGGCGATAGCGAGGAGCGGCGGCCGCGAGGGTCGCTTTGCAATTCGATAGCATTAGCATCGGTAACACTGAAGTAGAGCTCTTGATGAGTGTTCGGTGGCAAGGCACCAGGAGGTATTATCAGGGTAACGCCCCCTGGTCCTGCCAGTACACCACCCTCGCTACCGAACGTACCTCGTGCCATCCCCTTGGTCCTGCGTAATTGGCCGTCACCAAAACGGTTAGTCCAGTGTTAATCGTTATCATCGTTATTCGTCGTCGTCGTCGAAGTTATCGATCGCTCGGGATTACTCAATAGCGAGTCAGCTGCGCGAATCTTCCGAAGCGGCGATCAGAGGCGGGGAGCGGGCTGACGATAGGCGCCGCGGTCGCTCACCTCATGTTGTGATGGTGCAGCGGCTTCCGGTAGAGCTCGAACGCGCTGCCCCGCTGCTCCCGACTGCCAGCCAAGTCGAGCCCGCTAGCCTCCCGGTTGTGGTTGCTGCTGGCGGGCGTGGAGCTCTGGTGGGTGACGCCGCTGTGGCTGTTGCTGTGGCTGTGGCCGTTCATCGTGAGCGCGCTGCCGCGGGCGTGCGAGTACGCCTGCACGCCGATCTGCCCGGAGCTGTTGCTGTGCGAGTGCGAGGTCATCGGTTGACTCGACATGGGATGCGAGTGCGACGCGCCATGGTTGTGCGACGACATGCTGGCAGGCCCGCTGTGATTATGCGCGTGGACCGAGCTCATCGAGTAATTGTCGCTCTGCATGCTTCGCCCGGGCGGCGATATGTTGTAGTAGTATTGGCCACTGTTGCGCTGCGCACAGCTCACGCCGCCGTTCTCCGCCTGCGAATCAGCCACAGCGCGGTTGGACTCGCGAACGAGAGCGTCGCTGTTGCGAGCACTCACCCCTCCGTTGTACGCGTGCGAAGACGCGCCCATCGAGTAGCTCTTGGCGTGCTGGTACAGGCTGCCACCGCCGCTCTCGTCTTGAACGACGGCTTGCTGAGGCGGCCGGTAATTTTTTGGCTTCGGAGGGGGCACCGGCTTGTACGTGCCACTCGGCTTGCTGGCCTGCGACGCTGGCACGGGTTTGTAGTCGCCAGCGCGGCTGTAATGCGCGACAATGACATTCCCTGTGTAGGAACGGCGAGCCAAACGGCTAACCACTCGTCGTTTCATCCCCAGACTCACCTGTATTTGGCGTAGTCAGTTCGCAACTGCGTCTCCTGCACGGGTATCGCGGTGGACCTGGTAAACCTGTAGGGATCGTGGGGCCTTGAGGCCACAGCCATGCTACTGCTCTTGAGATCGTCCGGGACGTTGGGTCCGAGCCGACCCGCCGAGCTGTTGAGGCCGCCCGTCGAGTAGGATACGCCGTTGGTGTTGAATGAATCATACGAGGACATGCTGTCGTAGCTTCCCTGTATGCAAACAGATAAATAAGGACGTTTTAGAAAACTGACCATTGCAGCGCCAAAAAGTTTCGATGCAGGTTCAATGAGATTACCGCTTTGGCTTGGGTCCTGTCAAGAGACGAGGCGTTGGCCCTGTGCGGCGTGGCATTGATGTAGTTGGCCATTTCGAGGACGGAGTCAGTCTTATTGATAAGCCTCTCCTGCGCCGAGCGTCCCTGGCTGCCCATTCGCGCGGCCGGGCTCGTTGGCTTGTTGTTGCGGTCAAGTCGCGGTGGGAGGTCCGGCGGCGCCGGCTGCTGCAGCTGATGCTGGTGCTGGGTGCGGCGACGGTGCTGGTCGAAAGCCTGTTGCTGTTGCTGCTGCTGTTGCTGCTGCTGCTGCTGCTGGAGCGCGGGATCCGTAACGAAGTGCTGGTCGCTGCCGAGGGACTGTAATAGCTGGGACACCTGATAGCTGCTGGAGTACGGCGGTGGTGCGACCGCGTCGTCCTGCGTGGCGATGCTGGGATCGGAGCTGCTTTTGAGCCGCGATGGCACCCCCAGGACGCCGGGGAGGGGCGGCGCGGGACTCAACTCCAGGTCACTCTCCGGGGAGGAGGCGTAGGACAAGCGTGAAGTCATCGGGAACAGGAAGTCATCCGAGAGAGCCTCTTCCGGCTACACCAACGACAGCGACACAACATTTATTGGCATTCATGCGCGGGCTCTCGTTTTCGCTCGGCGCCGTCGCGACGACACTTCACTCCTCTCGACAAATCGCTCACGAGCATTCGTAGACACACGCATACACGCATGCCCACCCACCCACACGCGCACGCACGCACGCATGCATGCACACACACACACACGCACACACACGCACACATATGGACACACACGCTCCACAGACGCATGCAACAACAATGATTACGCTACTCTTACATAGCTATGAATGAAGCAAGCAAAACAATAAATAACATCTAATAAGCAAATACAAAGTTACGCAAAGCATGCTGTACAGCCGTAAAAAAGAATGAAAGATCATACGATACAGATCACCAGATGGTATCGTGCCACAGAGTAAGTGAAAGGTACAACTAAGTCAAAGCCAGTGACGTCAGTGAGCTCGGAAGAAAGAAAGTATGAGATAGAGAGAAAGCAGACTACAGTAGTAATAGTAAAGTGCGGTATTTGAGTATTGCATGAACCTTGCGAAAGCGACGAAACGTAATGGCATACATTAGGATAAAAACGTGAAGAAATGGCGTGAATGGGGCACGAAAACAAAATCTCATATGTAGCCGAAAAATTGCTCGTGAATGACATTGGAAGTGGAATTGTAGAACGAGGGAAAGTCGTAGGAAATCGGAGCAAGTGCAGGAGACGAGTAGACCGTTTGGAGGTCATTGGTGTTGTTGTTGTTGTTGTTGTTGTTGTTGTGGTTGTTGTTGTACTCGTAGAAAATAGCAGCACTCGTGTCGTAGGATACGAGTGACGTTGGTGCACGATAGAGTTGGAAGGCTTGCAAGTATAGATCCGACACCATTTCAATTGGCTACAACCGACACCATCAATCGTCAAATCGATGTACCATGTTCTTATAATATAAAACGATCCATCTTAAAGAGTAGTCATCCGTTGCGTAAGCCACCGATTGCTTAATCTTTTGCCTCTCGCGCGCGCATAATTATGCCTCGATCAATATACATGTACACATCGGTTATAAATAACATGCGGAAAAACAATCTCGAGATCACGCACCATTTTACAGCTAATTTAATTGGCAAACAGCGATAAGCAGCTAGACAGTCGGCCCAGTTCATTATTTCCAACCGGACGAGCAAAGTAAAGTAGTCAATCGAATATAAAGTAGTGTTCGCAACGTAGTGTCGCACGCAAATGGCAAACACTCGTCACTCACCTTCGTTTGGCTCATCCACAGCGGACCTTGCTGCTGCCAATCGATCAGCTCTCTCAACTTGCGATACCACGATTCTGGCGCAGTCAACGTTATTACGGCACTAAAGACATGGCCCCAAATTTTATCCAGTTTCTGGCACTGCTCCAACAATTTTTTGCTACTTTTGTGCGCCGACCTGCAATTCAAACACCTTTACTGCGACCAAGATCTGGCTGGCCCGGTACGGAGATCGAGAACGCAACGCACTTGGGTATGCCGACTCTCATTTCTTTGACGACTTGTTTTGTTTCCGCCTTCAGAAATATAACAATTGGATAAAATTGGGCGTAATTCAGACGATCGACCGCGTTCGGTGTGATGTCCAGCAGCGCGTGTTTTCCCCGATCCATAACTTCTCTGATGGCACTGAGGCGTATGATTCCAGATGTTTTCATGCTTTTGCCACTGCCCTCCTCTATTTGACTTTCGGTTTCTGTGACGAGTGAATCGAGTCAATTAGTCCGGCGCCTTGGCCGCGCCACAGATCCGCGAGCGTATCGCGACGAGTGCGGACTTACGAGGCGACGTGAACTTGTCGGGGAAGTCTTTGAGCAGCTTCTCCCGTGCCAGGTCGGAGACTGGTCCAAACAGAACCACCGGTCGGATGAAGCCGGGGTGTCGCAGGACCACTCGCTCGTAGGCCGGAAATTTGCTGACGCTGTCGGAGAACACCACGTCGTCCCAGTGATCCTGCCGAGTGACCGAGCCGACAGCGTGAGTTGAGGTAGAGCAGAAGCCAGAGGGCGGCCACGGAAAAGGAGCACGAGGAGGTCGCTTACCCTGCCGAGAGACTTGGAGCGGCGATGACTGCCCCTCCTCCTCCGGAAGAAACTGCCCCTGCTCTCGTTGGCGCTCATCTCCTTCTTAGTGGCGTTGAACTGGGCCGTGGCCAGCTCTTCGGCGCGGGCCTTGTTCGGAATGATGCCCTTCTGCACCTCCTGGTTGTTCCTGCCGATGCGGTAGACCTGCCAGGAGCCGACGACGCCGTTGTGCAGCGTGTCGACCACGTGGAAGACGTCGCCGCTGCGGAAACTCATCTCGCCCTTCTCCGGGTCCTCGTAGTGGAAGTGGGTCCTGCAACGGGAGGCGGAGGACGGCGAGTGAGCGGAGGCCGAGCTGGGCGCGCGGCGCCTTGGCTGCGCACTCACTTGACGTGGAAGGAGTCGCCCTTGCCCGAAGCGACGATCTGCTCGTATTCGTGGCGGCGGTGCTGCACGATCAGGTCGATCTGCTCCTGCAGGCTGAGCAGGAAGAGCACGGCCTCCTCGCGCGTGACGCCCTTCATGTCCATGTCGTTGACCTTGAGGATCTTGTCGCCGGGCTGCAGGCCCTGCAGCGCGGCCGGACTGCCCGGCTGCACGGCCGTGACGAAGACGCCCGTCTCGTTGCCGCCGGTGAGGCGCACGCCCACCGAACCCTCCTTCTGGAAGGTGATGAAGCGCGGGTCGGGCATCGGCTGCTGCTGCTGCTGCTGCACCGGCTTGCGCTGCAGCGCGGGCTCCTCCTCGTACATCTGCCGACGCGAGCTGTAGTAGTCCTCGGGGCGCGGCGGCGGCGGCCGCGGCGGCTCGAGCGCCGGACCCGGGCCTTGGGTCGGCGTGGCCGGCAGGTCTAGCTGGCTCAGCGAGACGTCCATGAGGGGTCCGCGCGAGCGGCCGCGCGGCGCCAGGTTACTCTTGTCCTCGGCGCCCGGCTGCGGCGCCCGCGTGGGAGGCGGCACGTACAGGTTCTGGCTGCTGTAGGCCGGCGACGACTGGTAGTCGGGCTGCTGGCCGGGCTGGGCCTTGCCGGGCGTCTGCTGCAGCAGCGCCGCCTCGGGCGCGTCGGCCGCGAGCGGCTCGCGGCTCACCACCAGCGACAGCCGCTCCTTGCTCTGGTCCATGAGCTTGCGCGCCTCCTTCAGGCTCATGTTGTCGGCGGACACGCCGGCGATGCGCGTGACCAGGTCGCCGACGCGGGCGCCGGTGCCCTCGCGCGTCACCTCGCGCACGTACAGCCGGCAGCCGAGCGCCACGCCGAAGTCGTCCTTCTTGCTGGGCCGCGTCAGGCTGAGCCGGTGGGTCTGGCTGTGGAGGGTCGAGCCGCCGAGGGCGGGTGGCGCGCCGCCGGGACCCATGGGGGGGCCGCCGCCGCCGCCGCCGCCGCTTCCGCCGCCGCCCGACTGCTGCTGGAAGGGCGCCTGGTGGTGCGGGTGCGCGGGGCTTGTGCCCTTCGGGCTGGCCGGCGATACGGTGACGCCGGCGCGACGCTTCACCACCAGCAGCACCGTGGAGCCCGAGTCGCGCAGCACGCGCACCGCCGCGCCGTAGTCCGCACCCTCCAGCGACACTCCGTTCGCCGAGATGATGCGATCGTTCACTCTGCGCGCGTCAACAGCCAAAGCTCGGTGAGCCGCCTCCGCGACAGGGTGGTCGACCGAGTGCAGCCGCTCCGCTGCCGCGAGCGAGAGCTTTCTAGCTCTGTCAGCGGGGCCTTTTTGGCGGGGCGTCGGTCGGAGCAGCTGCATTCGGTCGACCTTGGCAGTGAATGGATGGCTTGCGACTAACTGTAGCTTTCCCTCGGCGGGTCCAGCCTTGAGCACGTCCGAGATGGCGATGGCAGGGTCGCCGTTGGTGAAGTGCGGATTATCACGCCCGCCGGAGACGGCGATGCCGAAGCCGTAGCCTGGTACCCTCGTGACGGTGACGTGGTGCACCTCCCACCCGCGCTCGCTTCCTCCCAGCTGTGGACAGGCAGAACGGAATGTCTCTGTTTACAAACAAGAGCCCGGTTGGCCGGCGGCCGAGCGCGTCTAGACCGCGCGATCGCGGGACCGGTTAAAACTTGGCGTCACGCCGCTGTTGGTCGGCGAGCGGCTCCGGCCGAGTCCGCGGCGGTGCGACTGAGTGTCCGCGCGGGCTCGCGGAGCGACAGGCGGTCGGGGAAGCCAGACAACTGGCAGCCGGCGATCGAGACCCGGCCGACAGCGTAATTGCATTGTTTTGGCGGGAGCTGTCAGCCGCTCGACTCCGAGCGGATTCCGAGCGCGGCGGGCATTCAGCTCTCCTGCGCGATCCGGATTCGGGACGCGGACGCACGTGCCGTTCGCGCGCGCGGCCGCTGCCTGCGAAGCGATACCGGCGGAACGGCGACTGCGTGCGAGCCGAACGAGCGAGCGTGCAAGCGAGCGAACGAGCGAGCGAGCCGAGCCGAGCCGAGCGCCGAAGGAATTGGCACGCGCGAGTCAGCGAACCCGCTCGCGGTGGCGAATGGCTGCGGAGGAAAGTAAGCGGCGGCGTGCGTGTGTGCAGCGCGGCGACGAGTCGAGCAAGAGAGCCGCTAACGGCGCATCGGGGAAGGGAAGCCCTATCCAGTAGCTGCCACCCACTTTGCATACTTAGCCTAGTGACTTCCGCGAGTGATCCGCGGCGCGCCGTGGGAGAGCGAGAAATTCCGATTGGGGTACTCGAAAGGACAGCCAATAAATAGTGGCGGCGCGAGCGCGCGTGAGAGAGAGAGAGAGAGGCAGAGAGATAGCAACAAAGGCATTCTTCCGGCGTTATTCATCGGCGCAGACTAGCGTGATGCAGATTTTTTCAGCCGGTTTCGTCAGCTGCCGACCGCCTACCCCTCCCAGCCGATCTGTTACGCGCGCACTCTTGCGCGGACTTTAAAATCCACAGCTGAGCGCGCTCGACGCTGCGAACCCGCGAGGAGGCAAGTGTCGGAAAAGCTATGCGCACTTACGTCACTCTCTCGGCTTTCTCGTCGCCAATGCACGCGGTGATCGATACGCCTTTCCTCTCGGCTCGCTACCATTGAACGTTCGCGCTCAGCTCCATTTCAGGCTTGCTTCTACTCTCGCTCTCTCTCTCTCTCTCTCTCTCACTCTCTCGCGATAAGTGTTCGCCGAGAGACCTGCCGTCTGCCCATTTATCATGCCAACTCGAGCGCACTCATCAAGGATCGACGGCACCTGTTGCTTGCTGGCGCGCGATGTCTATTGGAAGACGATGGAAAACCGCGACCGAATTGAAAAGTGGCCAAAGGACAAAAATAAGCGAGCGTTGCGTCGAAGCGGCGAGGATATAGGTATTCGGGGAGAATGCGCGCAAATGACCAGTCAGAAGAGGCTGAGTCAGTGCTCGGGGCACGCACAGCGCCGAGAGAGCAATAGGAGTGGCAGCGGCAGCAGCAGAGGAGACGACCTTAATCACGGCCATCGTATCGCCCCCCCCCCCCCGGCAACGAGCGAGGGAGCGAGAGAGAGACGAGAGAATCGCTCCGAAATCCAAGGTCGCTCCGGCAGGGACGAGCAGAGGCGGCGGACTGGCAGCAGTGCGGCGCGAGCGAGGCCCGCGAGACACGCGAGGCTTACCTGAGCGCCGAGCTCCGCGGGCTGATGCTGGTGGTCCGGGGGACTGCTGCTGCTGCTGCTGCTCGGCGGGACATCGGCGGACTCCATGCCCGAGGAGCCGGCGAGGGGCGCGGGCGGCTCAGGCCCGGCGAGGCATAGCAGCCTCCTCAGCGTGCCTGCGGCCAACTCGAATCGACGCGACCCGACTTGCGAACGCAGCCCGCGACTCGAGCGCTGGCGAGCCAACGGCCGACTATGCACATGCGGCCGCACCGGTCCGCGCGCCAGGTTGGGACCGCCCCCCTCCCCGCGGCCGGCGCGCGCGGGCCCGGCCGACGCCCCCCGCGCGCGCGCAGCCTGGCGCGCCTGCTGCCAGAGGCCGCCGCCTGCGCGCGCTTTCACCTGCCGAGCGCGCGCGGCCCCGTGCCTACCTTGTGCGCGTGCTGGCGGCCGCCGCGGGCCCGCTCGCGGCGCTGCTCCCGCGCGGCGCGGCTCTTCCTGGCGCCGGCCGGCGGCGCGCGGGCCCGGCGCAGCTCCAACGCTCCGAGGATGTGCATGGGCAGGCTGGCCGCGAGGGACTGCGCGCCGCGGCCGGCCGGCCGGGGGGCGGCTCCGTCGGCTTATCGCTCGGCTCTGGCTACGCTCAACGTCAGCGCCCGGCGGCGGCCGCGCCCGCCGGCGGGATTAGAAGCCCCGGCGCGCCCGCGACTTCCGCGGGGCGGCCGGTCGGCGCGCACGGTTTGTTTATCGGCGACGGCGCGCGGCGCCTGCTGCCTCTCTGGCCGGCCAGTCTGCGCGCGCTATTTTCGGCGCCCGCCCGCGGCCTTGGCGCTTTTCTAATTCGAGCTGCTCCGAGCGTCAACGCCAACTTGCCAAATTTCCCCGAGCGGGCGCAATCCGAGCAACGAGCGCGCCGAGTCGTACGATCCAGCGTAATTTGAGCGAGATGAGCGGCTCGTCAGCGGGAATCCAGCCGGTTATCAAGCGCCTAACCTCCGCGCGCCGCCGCGATGGCTGGCCGCATGGCAAGCGGCCCACCTATAATTGGCCGCGTCGCGGCTCTCGAGCGCGCGGCGCTCGTCGAGCCGAGAGCCGCAGGAAGGAAGCGGTGGCGGCGCTGTTTGAGCAAGTGTCTGCGCGCAAGGCGACACTTGGTTAAATACGCCTGGGAATCCATTCGAATGCCACCGAGCCGCGCGATGCACCGATTCGCGCACCGTCATGGAGATATGCCGCTTCGGGCAGACTGGTCGTGGGCAACAATAGAGGCGCGCGTCAACGACTCTGCAGTCGTGCGCGAGAAACTCACCGCGCTCGGTGAAAACAAATGCAGCGCGACATTACGGGATACCGCCGCGGAGTGCGGGGCGAAGAGCGACCGGCGATCGAGCTGCGATCGGCGTGCGGCGTGGCGCGTTGCGCTCAAGCGGGCGATCGTCGCATCTGGGGTCCGTCTGTCGTCGCGAGCCGCACCGTGGACACTCGCTCGGCGGAGCTTCGCTCGCCAGTTCGTGCGTTCTGAAAATGCGGATCTGCTTGACGTGAGCAGGGTATTATTAGCTTACGCGCGCGCTCGCGGCAAAGTAGCTGAATATAAGAGAAGCAGCGGATGACGCGGAGGTCGTCGGGGATTGCGAAAGAAGCGGCGACGCACGAGCGACTCGCAAGAGCATCGCCGCGCGGACGCCGAGCACGTACTCACCGGCTCGTCGACGGGCTCGTCGAGCAGCTCGAGCATGGGCTCGGAGCCGCCGACGACCATGCCGAGGGCGCCGTAGGCGAGGCCCTGCTGCTGATGACTGCGGTGGTCGTGCTGCTGCTGCTGCGAGGCGGGTGGTGGCTGCGGCGGCGGCGGCGGCGTCGGCGGCGGGGCCGGCGGGCTGACTGACCGTCCGCCCGGAACCGCCGGCCTCCTTAGCGTCGCCGTCTTCTCCTTGTCGGCGCTGCAAAATCATCGAACAATGAGTGGACCGAACATCGGCAAAGCTGGGAGACGCGTGCGCGCGCGGCCAACGAGTTGTAGTGATGTAAGGCGATACGCGCGGCTAATCGATCGAGCCTGCGCGAGTGTGCGTGCGTTCGCCTGCGCATTATTGCCGAGATAAGATACAGAGCAGAGACGAGTGGAGCTGCCGAATTGTCCGAGAGGCGCGAGGCGCAGGTACGCTTGCAGCAGAGTGCGCAAGCGGCGGCGGTGGCGGCAGCACGTGGCCCGAGTGTCGACGGACGACGAGCGAGGAGGAGAGTCAGCTGGCGGTTGGCTAATCAACAGGCTGGCGCTCTGGGCGCTCGCGCGCCCGTCGGTCTCGCGCGCTCGCTCGGGCAGCGCGTCGCGCACACTCGTCGTCGCCGTCAGTTGGCTGTCGGCTGCGCGCGCGAGCGATACATAAGCGCCGCGGAGGGACGCAGGAGGCGCGAGGACAAGAGGAAGAAGATAACGCGCACAATCAAAGCCCGCTCGGCCAGGCCGCACGCACTCCCACTACTGCCGGCCGATTCCGATTCGCGCGCGACCGAAAAACGCAGAGCAGTCGAGGCGACGACGCGGCGCACGAGATGTCCCGACAGAGCTCCTTCATCAGGAAGAACAGCAGCTCGGCGGCCGTAGCCCCGTTCGGCCAGTCGTCACCGGGCCCCGAGGTGCTGCCCCTGCCGGCGGGCAAGGAGCCCGCCTACCGCCAGGAGGGTCGCAAGATCTACCAGTACCTGGCCACTGTCATCGGTAAGCCTCCGGCACTGGGCGCTGCACCGATGTTCACTGCCACCGCTAAACTTTCCGTGCTTTATCACAGACGCCCGACTATACACAAGTGCGTTGTGAAAGCCACGCACACTCGCGCAATAGCCGCACGCTCTCGCTCTCTCTCTCGCTCTTTTGCTCTCTCTCTCCCGCGAGTGCAATCGTCTCGTTCTCTCTCTCTCTCTCTCTCGCGTGCGTGCTCTGCCAAATTGATAGACGCTGGCGCAACGAGCTCCACACAGCCGAGCCAAGTCGCGAGCGCAGCAGGAAGCGGCCTTGATTAATCTCTTTATTGTTTCTCGCGCTCTCGCGTGCGCCGCCTTGACATTAACCCAACGCGCGCGCGTTAGTTTTTTTCCATGCGCGCGCGCGCTCGCCGACTATTTTTAATTCACACTCGCTCGTGCCTTTTCAAAGTTCATCGATCCGTCAACGAGCAATTGTGTCCGACACGAATCATCCGTGAGTGCAGTCGCGACAAACCGCCAATTTATCTGTTACCGGCGGCCTAAGTTCAACGGACTCTCGGCAAACTAGATAATGACTCTCGCTAGCGACTTGATAGCAAAGGTGAGCCGCTGCTCGCAGGCAGCAGCAGCAGCAGCAGCAGCAGCAGCGGCAGCGGCGGCGGTGACGGCGGCAGCAGCGATTCAGGTGCGGGATTCGAATTCACTCGGCGACGCTGACCCACATTCGCGACCATTGAATTCTGGCGCGACAAAGCGCCCGATTGCGATACGGCCGAGCCAAAGATTCGCCAGCAGCCAGTGAGCTACGCAGAGCAGGCTGCTTAGTCGCGCGTGTGAATTCGTCATTACTGTGCAGCGTGGAGAGTCACGACTGACCCTGACTCACTTGCCAACTGGCGTTTGCTCGCTCGCTCGTTGGCTCGCGCGCGGAATCTAAAAATTAGTGTGTTTACCTTCGACCGAGCGAGCGAGCGAAAGAGAGAGAGGGGGGGGGGGAGAGAGCGAGTCAACACGGAACGGTGTCGGCAACGCTATCGACGTTTGCTCCGCCGGCGCCGCGGACTCGGCGTCGACAGCGACGCCGGCCCAAGGGCAGCTCGCTCGCAGGCGCCGACCGAGCGGTTCCCACAGCCGTCCGCCGGCGGTCCGCCGCTCGGCTCGCTACAGCGCGGGGCTATTTCGGCGCGCGAACCGGCTCGATCCGGATCGCGGCAGCTCGGGCGGCCGGGAATAGCGCGGCGGCGGGGGCGCGCGCGGGGAGCAGGTGTCTGACCGAGGCGCGACTGTTGCAGCCGGCTCGATCATGGCCCAGAGCGGCATGAACCTGGGCTGGACGTCGCCCGTGCTGCCCAATCTGTGCAACAACGCCAGCAGCTTCGTGCCCGAGATCGCGCTGGCGTACGAGGACTGCGAGGGTTCGACGCCCGCCGCCTGGATCACCTCGCTGATGCCGCTGGGCGCGATCGTGGGCGCCGTGCCGATGGGCAAGGCGGCCGACCTGTGGGGCCGCAAGCCCACCATCGGCGTGACCGTGATCCCCTTCCTGATCTGCTGGCTACTGGCGCTAGCCGTGCCCTTCCTCGGCGAGGGCCTGCGCATCCCCGTGCTCTACGTGGCGCGCTTCCTCGGCGGCATCGGCTCGGGCGCCGCATGCGTGCTCGTGCCCGTCTACATCGGCGAGGTGGCCGAGCCGCGTATCCGCGGCACCCTCGGCACTTTCTTCCCCATCTTCTTCTCGGTGGGCATCGTCTTCTCGTACGCGGCCGGCGGCTACACCTCCTACCTGGTGTTCAACGGGCTGTGCGCCGGCCTGCTCGTGCCCTTCCTCGTCTCGGTGGTGGTGCTGCTGCCCGAGTCGCCCTCCTGGCTGGTGCAGCGCGGCCGCAAGCACGAGGCCGTGCGCGTGCTGCAGTTCCTGCGGGGCGAACGCTACGACGTCAACCAGGAGATCGCCGAGATGCTGGAGGAGAGCGAGCAGTCGTCGGTGAAGGAGGGCGGCTTCCACGACCTGCTCTGCACCAAGCCCGGTCGCAAGGCCATCGGCACCTGCCTGGGCCTCATGCTCTTCCAGCAGCTCTGCGGCATCGACGCCGTGCTCTTCTACACCGTGGAGATCTTCGAGAAGTCCAAGAGCTCTATCCCGGCCAACATCGCCACCATCATCATCGGCCTCATCGAGGTCGTCATGGGCGTTATCGTTGCGGTGACGATCGACAGGTAGGCCCGGCGCGCGCCGCTGCACTCCGCCAGCACCGCGCCGCTAACGCTCTGCTGTCTGTTGGGCCTCCGGGGTGCAGGTTCGGCCGCAAGCCCCTGCTCGTGTTCAGCGGCGCCGCCATGACCCTCTGCCTCGGCGTCCTCGGCTACTACTACAAGCTCATGGACGCGCACGACGGCAGCGCCGACAACATCAAGTGGCTGCCGCTGCTCTGCATCGGCATGTTCAACGTGGTCTTCTCGCTGGGCTACGGCTCGGTGCCCTACTCCATCATCAGCGAGCTGTTCCCGCCCGAGACCAAGGGCATCGCCGGCAGCATCAGCATCATGACCAACTGGTTCCTCGTCTTCCTGGTTACGCGCACCTTCCACGACCTGTGCCACCTGCTCGGCCAGTCGGTGGCCTTCTGGATGTTCGCCTCGGTGTGCGCCATGTCGGCGCTCTTCGCCTACGTGTTCGTGCCCGAGACCAAGGGCAAGACGCTGCAGGAGATCCAGGCCAAGCTGGCGCGCAGCCGGCGCGAGCGCCGCCTGGCCAGGCTGCAGCCGCAGCGCGCCAAGCAGCCGCAGGCCCAGCCGCTGGCCCCGGCCTGAGCGCGCGCGAGCCACGCGCCCCGTCCGCCGTAGTATTCGCGCCACGAGACGTTCGCCGCTCGCGGCCGGCCTATCAGACGAGTATTCCTCCGCCCGCCGCTTCCCTCCTCGCATCCCAGCCCCCTCCGGCGCGGCATCCGCTCGGGGCGCCCGCCAAGCGAGTCGATTGCTCCAAGCTGCGGTCGACCGATCGGCTAGCTGGCCGGCCGATCGATCACCCAAGTCGCGCGAACTGTCCGTTACGTCTAGCCGGTGAGCCAGTCTCCGCAAGGGTATCTCGGTTTACTGGTTACATTAGGTCTTTTCCTCTCCCCCCCTCCCCTCTTACTCTCCCCGACCCTTGTGTGTGTACTGTATTTATTATGTATACGTACTCGACTGCTGCTGAATATCTGCCGAGCTGATGACTGTAAATATGTGATTACCATTAACAGTGAAAAGAGGAACCGGGCCTTGGCGAAACTTGCCGAGATGTGATTGTCTGGCAAGCAAGGTTATGTCTGTGTATACTGGTATACGATGCGTAGTACGATTATTTTTGACGTGTTACGGGTTATTACGTAAGATGCTTTAGGGAATAACGATGTTTCTGCGCGCGACGATAACTCAATCGAGTCAAGAGAATAACGACAAGCAATGAAGAGAATGCGTGCGTCGATTTGAGATGATCGAGTGCAAGAAAACTCACCGCGATGAGTGGGTCGTCGGCCGGCAGAGGCTATCGATGGCTATGAAGTAGCCAAACTGCGCTATCACGGGCGACGGACCTCTAGCGGCCTCCTCCTGTTCGTCCTCGCCCGGCATCGTTATCGTTACTCCGACTCTTTACTCGTGTACATCGAGCCCTCGCCTCGGCTCGATCTCCGCGTGCCTATAGCGATTGTTGTCTCTACTCGACTCTCGTCCTACACGCCAGACGCGAGAGTCGACCCGTGCCAGTGAGGCTGCCGGCGCTGGCCCGCTGTTTTCACAACCCACGGCCGTGTATCGATCGACCGATCAATAAACTTTTTGGAACTTTGTTCACTAGACTCAGTCGAACCACTGGCATTTTGATTCATTGACCCAGTCCAAACAAAGGGGGCGAAGATCCGGCGCTGCACGCGGTCTGCGACTGCGAGCTGGCCGCAGCGCTGCAGCATGCGCCTGATTCAGCGGCTTATAAATAGTGCCGACTAACCCCGCGCGCGCACGCCTCGCTAATTCTATCGCAGCGCCTCGCTCACGGCACCTTCGCCGCTTGCCGCCCGATACCTTTTTCCGCTGGCATGTCGGCCACAAGGTCAGCGCGGCTTGCAAACAAACCACCTCGGCGAGCGCGGAGCCGAGCGACCAGCGACTTTCTACTCGGCGTTCTCGTCGCGCCAAAAGTGGAGCGCCGGCTAGGCGGCAAGCCGACGAACGACAGGAGCAATTCAAGCGGGTCTACGGGCCCGCGAGGGTCAACAGTCGCTGCTTCGGCAGTCAGCCGATCATTCGACATTTCCTGCGCGCCTGTCAGTTGGGCGCCGACTGCGAGCAGCCCGAACTATATGAACGCCGATCGGAGCACGTGTGCCGCTAATTTATGATTGACGATCGGACAGACGGAAGAGGAAGCGCGAGATGATGCCGACAATAGGCGCGCATGCTGGCGTGCCGCTCACCTGTACTCGTTGTGTTTGTCCACGGACTTGCTCTGCGGCGGCGCCAATGCCTCCTGGTTGATTTTTGCACTCTGACTGGCTTGCTTTTGGTGCTGATGCTGCTGCTGCTGTAGCTGCTGCTGTAACTGTTGACGCTCCTGATCCTCTGCAACAGAGAGACGCGGGTAGAAAAGACGTTGCCGCGGCTGCCGGACGACGAATGTGCGCGTACCGGTGAGCGCGTGCTGCACCACGAGCAGGTCGGTGAGCACATGCGGAGCCTCGGCCTCGAGGGCAAAGCAGAACTCCCGGAAAGCCTCGAAGCCCTTGGCCTGGATCAGGTCGATGAAGAGGTCGACGTCGGTCGACGCTGCCGAGCTGCTGGCCAGCGCCTGTCGGTCCAGCTCCGTTATAACGCCGCGCTTCAGCAGCACGCCCAGCAGGTTCGTCGACTCGAGTTCCCTCAGCAGGCTTGCCTTGTTCCTCGAGAGCAGCGTCCTGATTTCCGGCAGGCCGCCCTGCTCCGGCCCGCCTCCAGCCTCCTGCTGCTGCATCCTCGCTCACGCGATCGCCTCCCCCTCACTGCACTATTCACCGGGCCGCTGCACGCTAACGCAACAGGTGTCGATGCGACGCTGCTCACCACCGCTGTTCACGCGCGCGCGCGCGCGCTCGCACCCGTAACACTGCAGCTCTGTATATATGATACAGCTGCGTATACCTACAGCAGCACCAGCTCTGCACTAACACTACGGTGTCCACAACGCGGTACACGCTGCGCACGCCGTGGGGAATAGTATGCCAGAATAGGATCGTGCGAGTAGCTACGCGGCGTTGCCAGTTCGCGGCGCCAGAGTCGCTGCCGCGGCTTGCCACTGCCCTCCGCACCTCCACTCGGCGACAGTAGCGACTGCAGTCAGGCTGCGGGCTACCTGCGCAGAGCACGGGAGGTGAGGTGTGCGTGAGAGAGAGACAGAGAGAGCGTGCGCGCGCGAGCGACAGGTAGGATGCCGCCACCGCCAGGGCATCACTCGTCCTCGCAATCCTGGAGCAGGCCGCTCCTACCACCGAGACCGGCCCCGCCACCCCAAATGCAGCACCGCAAGTTTCCGCCCTCCGATGCGAGCCGACGTGATCCGCAATCGCCGCGTCCGCCTCCGCGACAACACCTGCTGCGCGATGACAAGGACAGCTCACCGACCAGTCAAGCCAGGATCAAGGTTGTCCTCGTCGGCGACGGGGCCGTCGGCAAGACCAGCCTCGTCGTCTCTTACTCTACCAACGGCTTCCCCCCCGAATATCAACCCACGGCCTTCGACAACTATAATGGTCAGTAAAGACACCTGTTCTTTCTCTCTCTCTCTTTCTCTCTCACACGCTCTTCTCCTTTTTTTTGCGATCGCGAAACTCGCCGCCGCGCTAGACTTCTTTGCTCGACTGTACGCGTAATGACGAGTAGCCAGTTGCTGCTCGCTACGGACAACAGGTGAAAGTACAGAATCGGCAAACATTTTGCTCCATCGCAACTCAACTCTGTATTCTTGTCTTCTCTCTTTCTCTGTTCTCAATTCTTGTATTATCTTCTTCACAGTTGTGGTCAACGTCGATGGCCAGCCCATAAACGTGCAACTGTGTGATACTGCTGGCCAAGATGACTTTGATCCGTTGCGGTCGTTGTGCTACCCAGACACTGATGTTTTGCTAATATGCTTTAGCATTGTTAAACCAGAGTCTTATCGCAGTGTGTCCACAAAATGGATCAACGAAGTACAAAGACACTGCCCTAATACTCCAATTATTCTAGTAAGGGTTCTGCTATTTCTGTTACTCCTCTTCATCAATTATACTAGCAGATACAAACGATAATTTATTTCTGTTCTCACAGGTGGGAACTAAAAGTGATCTACGCTCAGATGTACAAATGTCATTAGAATTAGCCAAGTATGGACAGTCACCTGTCACAACTATTCAAGGCCATCAATTGGCCAACAGAATAGGAGCATCTAGTTATGTAGAGACATCTGCGTTGACACAGCAAGATCTCAAGGAAGCCTTTGATCAGGCTATCGTTAGCGCACTCAGCATGAGGAGGGCTGGAGCAAAATTATTGTCCAGGCATCAAAAGCCACCATCTGTTTGGCGAAAATGGCTATGTTGTTGGGAAAAATCCTCTTCGTCAACTTCTTCAAGTAGAGCCTAATACAGCTCTTATGATAAACAACAATCTTGGACTTGCAAACATTTTTTAACAATTGTATATTTATTATTTAAATTTCAATCTGAGGCACCATTCTTCATTTGTTTCATACAAATGATCAATTAGAAAGTATAGATGAAGAGAATAATCAACGAATCACAAGATTCCTATTGATATACACTAACAAAATAAGATTGTAAAACAAGATTTTTTTGAACATGAATATCCAACCAACTCAAAGTCCAAGATCTAGATATTAAAGTAAAAATTTTTTGAAAAAACTCTGTGATCAAATGTGGCTGCCTCGCTATTAGATTCTTAAACTCGAAAAAGTACTTACACATACTTTGATATTTCGTACTGTTGATAACATTTTAAAACAAGCTTTTTAATTGCCTTAAGATCATAGGCATCAAAAAATTGATGCACGCGAATTATATTATTTTCTTAATCGTGGTAAAACAACTTGGTGAATGTTTACAGTTCATTTATTATAAGAAACAATATTATTCAATTAGGATATGATTTATTTTAGTCTTCCAATGAAACTTTGTCTAAGTTAAGAAATAAAAAGTATAATAAATGACTGAGTATAAAAACATTTCTGTATATCAAGTAGGAATTAACATGTTAGCAGAATGTAATTTACGGTTACTGTTAGATAGTATTTTACACTATTTTTTTGTACTCTATTTAATAATTGTTGATAAGAATGGCCACTAATTAGTCATATTAAATCGTGCATGTTATCTTACGTCGTATGGTAGTATCCATATTTATTTTGCACAAAGATTTTATCTAAATTTACACATAGTGAATATGTATCATGCATATCACAAAGACGAATATGTACTTAATTTATTGTAAATCATTAGCATTTTATTGTTCGACACTGTTAACTTATTAATATATGACACGTCGTAATGCACTTAACTTTACGACAACTTGAGTTACACGCGACAATAAAAAGAAACCAGGCACATAATCTTAAAATGTATTGTTTGAATCATTTAGCAATTTATATTTTACAGTGAATATTATTTGAAATAATGTGTTTTACTCATTATTCTGTATTAAGATGCAATTGTAAATTAAATTTCGTGCCATATAAAATTAGTGTTTCTTTTGTAAAATCACAATCTTTGTTCATATTTTTTAGTGGTAAATATAATTTATAATAAATCTACGTTACGTATTACAAATCTTATTCACGTTTAGTTATTGTCCCCTTCATAAAAAATTGATAACTAATTCTTCAATTGCAAACGATCTTTTTCATTTTTCAGATAATTCAGGAATTAGTTTTATAACATGAAAATATCAACGCAATATTGCCTTTTAGTAACAGATAAGATAAAAATCAATATCGACTTCGCAATCCTTAGTTATTATCAATTTGATGACTAATTATTTAAAATGAGTGTCGTATCGAGAACTTACACCCAATCAGGAATTGGGACACTTAGTATAATCGCAGTATTATATATATATACCTATATATGATACATACACATGTCCATTAGAGCTACGTGTAAAACCAGATTTCACACATACAGGTTGTTAAAAAATATGTAATTGACAAGAAAAACATTATTTCTTCTTGTTTTTTTGTTCATGAAGTAATAGTTTGTTTAATTAAAATCTACTATAAAATATATAGTAACAGTAAAAGCATGGTAAGGTTAAACGTACTAAATGATAATTATAGCATTAATTGTTAAAAATAGCAGCACTTACCTAAACCGCATATCTGACAAATTTTAGGCTCAGGAAAAGAGACAAATATCTCCAATGCTTGCAAAAATTTTAGCCACGGATGTATACATGACAGATCAGTTTGTCAAAACAATGGATAAACTTTTACCTTTTCATCAACTCAAAACACATCATAAAATGCTAGAGGTAAGAATGCAGTTTCAATTGGACATTCTTTATAATTAACATGACACTTTTTAGATATCGTGTCATGGACTAACTTGGATTCCAGCTTGGATAGCTTTTATCTGGGTATTTAGTAGTAAAAGCTTATTTCAAATGCAAGTAAATTTTCTCATAGGTACTGCTTTTGTATTCCTTATTTTAAAAACTATATAATAAATCAAAAATGCACAATAATATATTTACAATAATATGCGTGTACTTTTCAGGTTTACTCTTGGATGTTGTTATTGTTTCCTTGTTGAAAGCTATTACTAGGCGTCGAAGACCTACTAAAGCTAGTGCGATAGATATTGGACCAGATAAATTTTCATTTCCTTCTGGTCATGCTTCAAGAGCCTTTTTCATAGCTTGTTTCTTCTTGTATAATTGGCCTGTGCATTTTATTTTTGTACCACCTTTATTATGTTGGTCAATCAGTATTTGTATATCAAGGATCTTAATGAGGAGGCACCATCTTCTTGATGTCTTTGTTGGCTGTATATTAGGAATTATGGAAGCATTATTCATTGGACTTATATATTTAAATTATGAAACCAGTGCTGATTTAATCTGGTGGTTGACTGATGAAAAATTAGATGGTGGAGAGTATCATGTGTAAAAAATGTAACTCCTTTAATTATAATAAATAAAGATAATTTTTTTAATTTGTTGGTTCATGTTGTTCTATATTTTAAAAAAATTTTAAATAAAATAGTAATTAACTATTTTATACAATATTAATTTAAATTAGATTATTAATTCTATTTAATTTTAATTGTATTTGGAACAAATTTTCGTTTGACACATCGACTTGAGAAGAGAAATTCTGCACAAAAGATTTTTTTTTTTTTTAATTTTTTTGAATTTTTCTCATAAAGAAGGGTTATCATACACCAGAATCTCTATTTGTTAAATTTAAAAATATTGTGAAAACTGTAATGTAAAAAATACAAATAAATATATACTAATTTGATAACAAAAATGTATCTATAATCTGAATTATTATTATTGTTGTTATTATTATATTATGGTTTTTAAATTGTCGTCAAAATTGTTTTTTGGACTCTTATAAACGACTTTAGCATGATAGCCGCACCAATCAGAAGAGAGGCTTTAATATTTTACTATAGTAAGTTCGACGCATATTACCGATTGTAACTATATGCAGATTTATAATAGATTTGTGTGTTCTTTGCTGGACTGCTCACAGACTGCTCGCAGACTGCTCATCGCTGCAGAACTGGTTGTAGATAGTCTAACTTCCTAGTCAAAACGAATTTGTAAATTTTCTTTACAAATCACAATTATAATTTTGTATATGCTGTTTGGGCTATCACCAAGCCTAAACAGCTGTCATAATGCCACCTAAAAAACCTGCGGCAGCTCCAAGCAAGAAAACTGAACAGAAAAAAAAGGAAAAAGTTATAGAGGTAGGTTTTACTAACCAAACTAAAACACGTTTTTCAAATATAGGTCTCGCTGTTTACTGGAAAATTGTTGAAAATATAATAATAAATGAAACAAATATTTATTTTTATTTACTTTTTCTTGTAGGACAAAACCTTTGGTCTTAAAAATAAAAAGGGAGCTAAACAACAAAAATTCATTCAACAAGTAGAAAAGCAAGTCAAGTCTGGAGGTGTTCATCCTCGCAAATTAGATGATCCCAATGCCAAAAAGCTTGAAAAAGAAAAGAAATTAAAAGAGCAGCAGGAAATGGCTCTAATATTCAAACCTGTACAGACACAAAAAGTCGAAAAAGGTTAATCGATGCTTAGAAATATTTATTCAGTAATATCAGTGAAAATAAACTAAAAATTAATTCGTCTTTTAGGAACTGATCCAAAATCTGTTGTTTGCGCTTTCTTCAAACAGGGACAATGTATCAAAGGAGACAAGTGCAAATTTTCTCATGACCTAAGTGTAGAGAGAAAGGCAGAGAAAAGATCACTCTACTGTGATATGGATAAGGATGAAGATAAAGAAACGGATACAATGGATAATTGGGATGAAGATAAGTTAAAGCAAGTTGTTGAAAAGAAACATGGTTCAGGAGGAAACAGACCAACTACTGATATTGTAATTTTCTTAAACTTTCATGTAGGATTTATGCCTTGAAATCACATTTCTTTGTTTATTATTTTAGATTTGTAAATATTTTTTGGAAGCGGTTGAAAAGTCCAAGTATGGATGGTTTTGGGAGTGTCCGTCAGGACAAAAATGCATCTATAGGCATGCGTTACCACCAGGATTTGTTTTGAAAAAAGATATTAAAAAAGAAGATAAAAAAGATGAAATATCTTTAGAAGATCTAATTGAAAAAGAGAGAGCTAATCTAGGTCCCACCCAAGTAAGTATGAGACATTTTTTTAAGAACTATTTTTTCTACACATATATTTATAAAAAATCATTAAAACTTACAGACCAGGATTACATTGGAAACATTTTTGGCTTGGAAAAAGAGGAAACTAAAGGAAAAACAAGAGCAAGCTCTCAAAGATGAAGAAAAAAAAAGAAGCGACTATAAAGCTGGTCGACAAGTTGGTATTTCTGGAAGAGAAATGTTTTACTTCAATCCTGAACTTGCAGCTGGAGATGGTGAGATATTTATTATAAATGTTTGCCATTGATGTATGGGAGGCATAAAACTTATTTGGTTTCAGGTCTTGGTGATGACGGAGACGAAGCAGTCGCGACTTATGATCGCGAGGAAGATGGAGAAGAAAGTATACAGTACCGAGAATTAGATATAGATAATATTATGCTTGAAGCTAGCCAAGTAGACACTACTGGGATATGTACTGTTGCATTGAACCGTGATAAATCAAACAATGCAGCATCTTCAGACCCTCACGAAAATGTTAACAAAAACAGTTCTGCCCCTTGTAAGTTTATAAGATGATCTTTGGTAATATTTCAAGCCAGACTGCTTATTAAATTATATCTTAATTTTCAGCAGTTGATGACCAAGCAATGGCTTTAACAATTAATGAAAACCTCTTCACAGAAGAAGATTTGGAAGGCATAGAAGATGAATTAGGGGACCTGGATTTAGAGGAGTGATCCAGGCATCCCTTACAAGTATTCTCCTCTAATTTTCAACTGACCAACTTTCATTAATGATTGGTCTCTTGTTAACATATTACTTCCATGTATAAATACAGTGTGCAATGTTTTTTACTAGCTTTCCCCACATAACTGCACACAATATGCATAAATAAATGTTCAGAAGTAATAAATATAAATATTAATTTTATACATTTATTTGACATTTTGTCTTAACTGATCTTTCAACGAACTTTTGTAATGAATCAGTGAAACTATTTAGAATACAGTGTTATAAATAAAAAAATTGTATTTATTTGTCAGCCCTTATTTCTTTACTTTTTTGCAACTACTTCACAAAACCCAAAATATAAACTTTATCTTTTGTAATATAACGATTATAACAAATTATTCTTAAACTTGACTTTATAAATATATAAATTGTGTGAAAGGATTTTAATTTGTATCTACATTCAATCTTTTTTTTTAAATCAGAATAATGAAAGTGTCAAATAAGTTTCTCAAAAATATTGTATAAATAAAATATTTTATTTTTCCACCAACCATTTGAATTGCTCATTTAAGCCACTAATTAAAGAATATATTTTTGAATTAAAATCAATGTTATTGAAGACTACTGAAAATTTACAAATATACATATCCAAATCATAAAATGAATCAATGATTCTTGGAACCCATTCAAACCAATAGTAATATTTTAAAAATTATACAAAAATCTGTTAAACATTTAATTGCATTGGAAAACAGAACCTTCATTTAAAAAACTCAACACGCCGCAGACCTCTTCATCTCATTGATATTCATTCAATATTTGCATCAAAGAATTATGGTTTGTATGGAATAATGAGATTTTCTGAAAACTCTTTAACATTTTGCACTCCACGAACTTCTCTTTCTAATAATGGCAACTTGGTGACATGAAAATCTTCATATAGATCTGAAATCTATTGAAATAAACATGAAATTTTATTGAAAGATTATCATAAATAAATTGTTATTAGTATAAAAATTATAGCTTACTTGATCCAAATATTTTGCTTGTACTTTATGCCTAGCAGAACACAATCTACAAGGTGATTCTTCATTTTTGAGGAATAACAATTGATTTACAATAATGTTATGAGTATCAATGCCACATTTAGTTAGTTCCTGCACCAGCCTTTCAGTTTCATATAGTGACAAAAACTCTGCTATACAGACACATACAAAAGTGGTTTGATCTGGATTTCTAAACTGCTCATTTACTTGACGAATGACAGCAAGCATTTCTTCAACTTTGTTTGAAAATAAATCTACATTGAAATCTGTCATACCAAATAAAGTACTAAACTGTAAGCACAAAAAATTATATTGCAGTGAAAAAAATTCATTTTGTAAGAAATACAATTTGTACGAATAATAACCTGTGTGATAAAAGGGCTTATTTTCATTTTCAGCTTCATTAATTTACCTAAACCTTTTTCAACAACTTGAGGAAATGATAAAAGTCTCAATGTATGTCCAGTTGGAGCTGTATCAAAAACGACAACAGAAAAATTCATACTTTTGACTAATCTGAAAGAAAAGTCAAAATATTGTTCAGATAAACTTTTAACAACAATTCTACAAGCAAAATTGACTTGATTCACTTACTTCATGACTTCAGCATAGCTCATTGCTTCATCTATACCAGGAAATGCACCTATAACTTCTTGCATGACACTTTTACTTAAACGCATAGTGTCTCCAGTCCCTGTAACATGATTTTTTTAGATCGATAATATTTAATAACTTTTGAAAACAAGTTATAAAATCAACAAACCAATTTCTTGTTCGAAATAATCATCGGGTAACTCTGTTATACCAGCATTTGGATCGATTTCCATTGCAAACAAATTATCAAATCCATTTACCTTAGTGGGCACTTTACTAAATTTCTGATCAAATGCATCTGATATATTATGAGCAGGATCTGTTGAAATTATTAAAACGTTCTCTCTGACTTTTGATAGTTGCACAGCTAAGGAGCAGCTAAAAATGAATGTACAAATATGTGCCAATTTATTATTTCTTTTGTAAATTGCTATTTCAATTTGCATTGTTTACCTGCACGTGGTTTTACCAACGCCACCTTTTCCACCAACAAATATCCATCGCAATGAATGTTGTTGAACAACATTTTTCAATGAAGGTTCTAGTGGCTGGTACTCGTCAGCACAATCGCCGTCCATCTCGACATTCATTTTATTACTTATTACGTCAAATAATTTGTACTAATCAAAATATATATACAAGATGATTATAAAAATTCTCAAAAAGTTAGCCACATACACGTAAATATATAAACCAAGTACAAAATAGTACCTAATGGACGTACCACTATATATATCTGCACCTTGCTTATACCTCGCCTATGGGCTAGCACCTCGGACCGAGATGCGTGTAGTATCGATGAGAACTATGTTATCAACAAATGATATGACTTACATATATATATATATGTAATGCTATAAAACGCGCTGAACAGATTGTGAACGCAGCCGATTGGCGGCGTTGGGCTTAATGTTTATTGGAGTGCCGCTGCGGAATTCAAAATAGAGATGTAAATAAAAAACTTTATCATCAATATCTTTCAACACAAATGTTAAAGGAATTAGTATAACAACTTCAGAGTCTAACAAAATAAGTATAGCCGAGTACTATTGTTTCAATTTGCATATTATTAACCTTAAGAATCTTGAGATCACGGCAAAATTAGTAAATAGGATAGCGTGCCGCTGCGCGCGAAAGCTTTAGACACGTTTACTCAGCTGCATTCCGATCTCGTAGTAATTATACTTTATCTTGGTCTCTGATCAGTTTTTTGTATCAGCCGCTACTAAAGATTTCTTAATAAAGTAAGAAATCATTTGCTTACTTAACCACTTCTGTAATTCAATGAGAAACAATGTGACGACGGTTTATAAACGATTAATTTTTCACTTTCATTTAATTCTATAGTGCTATTTTAGTTGTTAAACCATAATATCTCTGATTCAAACAAATATTTTTATAATTCACAAAAAGCGGTAAGTTTTTATATGAACTAACAATAAATCGATTGATTAACTAAGGATCTTCGTAACTTTTTATACAGCTTGAACGTTTTAATTATTAATAACCAAACAAAAGTGGCTTCCTTTATCTAAACATCTTTTTAAGATTTAGATTCAGGAGGTCAAAGTTTGTTTGTACCTTTTTTAATAACATTGTTTCAAATATATCTTTATTAATTATAATAATTATTATAACAAAATTAAATCTTCATATTAAAATAGTATAATGGTAGGTTTTGTTGAGTATCTTGATTACTGCAAAAATTATATTCGCAAAAATAGTGTTTGTACAATATTCGATTCTTTTTACATGGCCTATTCCTGTACATAAGTCAAGTATGTGTATGTATAAATTTTTAATAACGTGCAATTATTGTTAGGTGATTGTTTTTGGTGATCACGATACAGGCAGTACTTGCTGCTGAGGAACAAAATTTACAACTTCGTGGTAAACCAACTCTGAAAAAGCGAAAATGAAAGGTATTGATTGGTGAATAGCGTTTCATTATTAAAAGTTGTTACCTTTCCATTTTTCGACTGTCAATTCCATGTCTTCGAAGCTTTGATCGTATGGCAATGAAATTGGCTCGTCTGTAGGATCCGCATACTGAGACAGGTAATGATGCGCGAGAGCTTGCTCTGCCGTTATTCTTTTTTCAGCATCCAGTTCCAACATCAGTTCCAATAAATCTATAGCTAATAAAATAATTCGCACATTGACTTGATCAAAATTGAGGCGCACGTGAATAATATCAAATTATTATAATTAAGAAATACCTAACGGATTAGCTCCTTGGAAAACTTCCTTAAAGTTCTTCTTTTTCAGTGGAGGTAAGCTGTGTATGTAATTTCTCGCCTAAGAAAGTACCAAATATTTTTCAAGGTTATTGATTAGGCAAAAATGTTTATTCAGTTGATGTTGCATTTGTAATCTATTGAAAAATAATAGTCTGCCAATGTCGACTATCCAATTAATAAATAAAGAAAATCTTGCTATTATCTATTAAACATCCGCGTAGGGTTTACTAAATAATTAGTAGCATAAACAATTGAAGTTGGATTTTAGATTACCTCTTGACTTGTAACTTTACTCATAGTTTCTTCCGTGGGTGTACCACAGAGCACTAATACTCGAGTTAGATGATCGATGTCTGCTCGATCATGGTTAAGGCGATCAACTGTACAAAATCTACGTTTTGTACATTAACATTTTTTAAGGTATTTTTTCACGATCATATTAATTCCAATCGTTTGGCCGAATATACTTAAATTATATTTTAATATTTTGTTCTATTACCGAATTCAAAATTGAAATGTTACAGAGCTGATGTTAATCAAGTAAATCAGTCATGGTAAAGCACACAACAATCTAACTAATTCTACTGTCATGCCACATGCTTTAAACTTTAGTAAGAAAGGTGCTGAGAGTGCGTAAAATAATTACTTCGTCTCAGATTTTTTTAAATAATAAAAATAATAAAAACAATTGATGCCAGCCTTCATCGGAAATATGAAATTGATTAAAATGATGTAAAAGTGTATTTTTGCGATTAAATTGGAAATCTATTTTCTAGAAACTTATTTTTAATTTATGAAACGAAGACTTGCACTGTTTTTACTTCACACCAGTTTAACAAAAGTATTACGTGGGAGGTACACACAAACTTACCGATTCGCACGACATTTTCTGCATAAACTCGTCTCGTGGAGTACCCAATAATTCCATAATAAGGTTTAATTGGTGGATATCTGCTTTTGCTAAGGTATTCTAAGTACAACTAAATCATCAATATTTCTCTGATTTTCAAATTACTTTTATAAATTAAAGATAAATTGAATTTAAAATGTCAACAGTTTCATCGTTATTTCATTTTGCAAGCAGAATTGGTCATTATTAATGCATAATATTATTCTCTATTTTTATTAACTTGTATATAAAATTAATTATTTGAACGAGTCGGCAACTAACACAATGAATATTCTAATAAGCCATGCGCTTATTAATTTTTTTTTAAATGATTGACAACTAATGTTTTTTTTAGGCAATTAAAATTATATTCAAAGTGATCATGAATTCATTGTTGTTCATAGCAATTCAAAGCTTTTTCAAAACAGCCCAAGTAATCCTTAGCAATAAGCAATTTTTAAGCATTTTTACAGCAAAGATTAGCATTAAAAAATAAATTAGAGTTAATAACAAAGCAGCATGCAGGTATTAAATTATATTCACACTTTAAACAGTTCAATTGTTACTAAATACCCAGTATATAAACAAAAGGATACGGTCTGTTCCTGGAAATAATGTTCTACCAGTTAATAACTCTGCCATAATACAACCAACTGACCAAATATCAACTGAAATTTTAATTAATTTAGAGTTATAAATTTTGACGTTTTACAGGGATTTTTGAGACTTATTTGATATACAAAACCTGTTTGATTATAGTGCATCCAGTTCAACATGATTTCTGGTGCTCTATACCAACGAGTTGCTACGTATCCAGTCATTTCATTTTCTGTTGGTCTAGCCAAACCAAAATCTAATATTCTCAATTCACAGTCTTCGTTTACCGCTATGTTTGATGGTTTAAGATCCTGCATTTTTAAAAGTGTTTGAAATTAATTTTTCCCTATAATAATTAGAAAAATCTATTACTGTGTTTAAAGGTGTGATTATACCCTGTGAATTATTCCAGCAGAATGAATATACTTTAGACCTCTAAGAATTTGGTAAACTAAGAATTGGACATGGTCATCTGATAACTTTTGAGTTCTCACAATATTATTTAGATCAGCTCCCATGAGGTGAGTTACTAAATAGCTGTTTTAAAGAAATTTTATAAAGCTTCATTTATAGATTATTGAAAGTTATCATAAGTTCTTACACATGCTGAAATTCCTCCAATGACGAACCAGTATGAAATACATCTAACAAACCTATCACCTGACAGACAATTCATAGCAATTCAAAAATTATCAATATATTGCAAATCGATTCGAATATGTAAAACATGCAAAACATTTTCTGCAGACTTACATTTTCATGATTCATATGTTTCAACATTCGTAGCTCTCTGTATGTTCGTTTTGCATGAACAGCAGATTGGAATGGTCTTGCCAACTTTTTAATAGCAACTTTATGACCAGTTTGTTTGTCTACAGCAGAGCTGAAAAAGTACAATAATATTAAGTTGTTTCAAACTACACAATTTTAAGACAAGTCAAACATTTCAAACCAAAAGGGCAAAAGAAAACAATTCTTAGAGAAAGTATTCTCAAAAAAGAAAAGAAAACGTTGTTTCCTCACCAAACTTGCCCATAAGCACCTGAACCCACAGGCATAAGCATGTGATATCTATCAGGAACTTCCCATTCCGTTTTGTTGATTTCATATTTGTTGAGTTTTGACATCTTTACAAATCGCTTCAATGACTTTCTAAATCTTAGCAGTCGTATGCTTCGTTAGTGAACCGGTATTTAATCGAAGAAACCTCTGATCCGCACACTAAAAACCAGACGACCTTGCAATCGTGAAAAATATTCGCGCAACTTCGCAAAAGATAAAATAAGACATTATTCAAGTATATGTATCTATCACCTTAAACTTGGAGAGGTAGAGAGTTACCTCTCGAGAGAGTTACACTTTTCTTATTGGCTTTATCTTTCACTCACGCGCAGGTACTCCCACACGGAAAAAACAAATATTCCTGCCGAGGAATGTGAGCTCCACTACTTTTTCGTCTAACGTAGCTTCTATTACATTTCTAATTTTCTTCTAATAATAAACGAAACACTGCCTTGCGCGCGATATAGAAAATAACACGAATAGCGCGGTTAATAATGATCAGTCGAACTACCTGTGCGCGACGTAAATGCGATGGCACTGTGCTATAACTGTTGCCGTTTCAAGTCCACACACAACTCCAAATTAGTTGAGTTGAAGTCCATTCAGATGTTGCACATGCTCACACACGTATATGTACAAGCATAATAACGCAACACACATGCACG